AAATACTTTGTTTGTCCCTCAAGGGGCAATTTAATGGTGCAAACAGAAGTACACATATACAGTTAATTTAAATACATATAAACCTGATCTAAAAATAAAAGTATGAAGACATATTTGTAATTTTAGATCAGTTTTTAACACAAAAATAAGCAGGTAATAAGTTTACTTTACTACGGTTTCCTTTTTGTCCAGCATTTAATGTAGCGAGATTTCTTTTGTGTGTCTTTTAAATGTATTTATTTTTTTATTTACTATCAAATTTAAATATCCACCAGGTAGCTGTAGTATTTACTATTTTAATATTTGAAAGTATTATTGCTTGTGCTGATTTTTTGAGCTACATTAATCCCTTATCACATCCGATTATAATTTGTATGTTCAAAAAAATTAGTATTTGTTGTTCAATCATCTTGTTAAAGATCAAGTTCACATATTTCAACAGCAGGTGGCAGCTGTAACTAGGCAAAGCTAGAGGAGCAGTTACACCCATCTTCCACACCTGTAATGTCACACCTTGTGGGCCCTTTCTGGCCTCATGGTGTGAACATGTGTTACAAACCTAAATGTCGGCCCCCCCAATCTGGTGTCTCCATAACCAACCTCAGCGGCCTCTTTCTCGAACTTCTCGATGGTCCTCTTGTCGATGCCTCCGCACTTGTAGATCAGGTGGCCGGTAGATGTGGACTTCCCGGAGTCGACATGGCCAATGACCACGATGTTGATGTGGATCTTTTCCTTTCCCATTTTGATTGACTGGTTTTTAATGACAGGGAGGATGGTTATGTAGACTTCTCAATGAAATCAGGGTTAAATTTGTGTATAGGTGTAGGTGAGCACAGTGGGACCACCATTGAAGTCTAACTGTTATTTAAAACCAGTTGACTGTTGCTTGCTAATGTCAGCTTGTTTTAACAGGGAGTTTTAACAACTTTATGTTTTAGGTTACTCAAAAGTAGCAAGCACACTTATAAATTAATTAAATAACAAGTCCTGTACTCAAAGTTTTACAAAAAATATATAATTGGAAGTATAAATTACCATAAAATGAGTCAAGACAGTTACCTCAAGAGTGCACTTGAGTTAATGTACTCGAGTAAATGTACTTCCACCAATGCACAATACACATTTAAGCTATGTAATTTAAATATGCTCGACAATAGAATAGCTCTGCTTTAATAAAATAAAACCTACATCAGGGCTTTATTTTGATGTTTTTGGCTGCTAACTAGCACCACAAACCTTAATCCTTGTAGAAACTTCAGTTTAATAGAATAAAATCTGTTCATAAGTCAAACCTGAAGATATGACAGTGTTTTAACTCACCTGGTTGAAAAGGTTAATGGAGGTGGCCGATGTCGGTTGTCTCCTGCTCCGTCTGTTCCTTCACCTCCCAAAAAAGTAATGTGAAGACGCCTTCTTCTCCTCCTTCTCCTGATTATCTGTTCGGTTTTTGTTGCACAATTCCTCCCACTAATAATTATACCGTACCCATAACCTACGTACACATAGTCGATCAACTAGTTCAACCAGTCTGTTCTTGTTTGTTATATTTTTTAAGCACACACCTTAATAAAAACATGTCCGCCTCACCTTTTCGTACAAACATGTACTCCTTCATCATCTTAGGATTTACAGAAGAAAGGAGAAACCAATCAACCGATTATAACTGAAACATGCCAATCAATAAATACTTGTAATGAAACACAAAAGAACCATTTTCATTTGGCAATGTTTAAGATTTTTATTGTTTTGGTTTCAACTTAATCATGATCATAGTTTCCCCTAAAAGGCACAAGCCTTCCTTTCCTGCGGAAACTTTTCCGATGGGTTTTAATCAGCATAAGCCAGTCCTTGAGTAGAGAGCTCTGCCTCAGAGAAGATGGCGTTGGGTGACAGGGAAGAAGAAGGGATGGGGCGGCCCGCTGCTGCTGAGATGCAACTTTTTGTTGGACGTCCTGCATGAGAATTCATTTCTTCTTCTCGGCCTTCTGTGCAGACTTGGTGACCTTTCCACCAGAGGCGGCCTTCTTATCGACAGACTTGATGACACCGACGGCCACGGTCTGCCTCATGTCACGGACAGCAAAGCGACCTGGGAGGAAGAGACGAGACGAGAGGCTTAAAAGATTTAGTATTTGACGAGACATCCTCTGTGTTTGAGTTGCAACTGGTGAGAGGTGAATGTACAGTGCACGTTATACTACAGTACTTTTAATTGATGGAGCTCAACAAATACCAGCAGATAAGTAAGAAGTAAAACAGTTGGACTAGCATTTTAAGTTCATTTTATGCTCTAAACATTTTATTATTATGGCTAACATTAAAAGTTTTTACTCAATTAAATTGTTATTGACGTAAGTGAGCTATTTCCCCAGCCCCAACACAAGTAAAATATATTAAATACACACCAGAAATGTATTTGAATCTAAAATTAGTTCTATATAAAGTTGTTAAGGCAAACATATTAGCAAAATAAATGCCTAATCACACATCCAGAAGACATTAAGGGGCACAATATCCCTTTTAACTCTCTCCACCATCTCCAGAGGGGAATATCTGGCTCTTTAGCTGCTAATTGGTCCACTATGTTCCCCAGTTGGTCGCTAAATGTGTGTGTGTCTGCTGTTTGGTGTTAGGCAGGTAGCATATTGTGGTACGAGTGGAGTTGGGAGCTGGAAATGCACAATAAAAGCATTCACAGCAGACATTTTTTTAATTTGTCCCAGCACGAAATGCATTTAATTAATTAATAATGGCTCTTAAGTGACCCAGCAACACGCCTGTGCTTGTCCTGCTATCACAGGTCTGCCAAGAAAAGAGTCTATAAAGCCCAACAAATTCTTGTGTCACCAAAATGGGCAAACAGCGTATTCACTCACCCAGTGGGGGATACTGGGAGAAGCTCTCAACACACATGGGTTTTCCAGGCACCATGGTGATGATGGCGGCGTCTCCGGACTTGAGAGCCTTGGGGTTGTCCTCAAGCTTCTTGCCGGAACGACGGTCGATCTTCTCCTTCAGCTCGCTGAACTTGCAGGCGATGTGAGCAGTGTGGCAGTCCAGAACGGGGGCGTAACCCTGGGAGATCTGGCCGGGGTGGTTGAGGATGATGACCTGCAGAGGGACAGTTCAAACATCTAAGATCATCGAGGGAAGTTGACTGGTTGGTGCTGGAGTTATTCATATCAGAAGGGTCGATAGAGGGAGATGATTGTCAATGATTGTTCTGCTGTGTAATAACGACGATAATGGTCCTTAAACTTTGAGGTCCACTGTGTAGGATTTAGTGGCATCTAGTAGTAAACTTTCAGATTGCAACTAACTGAACACTGCTCGCGTCTGTGGGGCTAGGTTGGCCATGAAACACGAAAGGCCTTATCTACAGCCGATGATTGGTTTGTCCTTTCTGAACTACTGTAGAAACATGGTTGGTTCAACATTGCGGACAGGAAGGCGACCCGTGGCGTCTGTAGATAAAATTAACTCATTCTAAGGTAACAAAAAACACAACAATTCCTATTTTCAGGTGATTATACACTAATGAAAACATACATATCAATATTGTATTCTATTTCTGCCGATGAACAATGACAGGCGGCCCAACAAAAGGCAGTTTTCTCAACATAAGAATGTTTTTCAAGTTGCCTGTGAAGTCTTCTTCTTAAATGACTGATTTATCCACAGTGCCTGGAGCGCATTGGACAACTAAGAGTCTTCATCTCTTCATAAATTAAACCATTAAAGAAAACAAGCTTTGTTAACTTGAGATAACAAGATAATTAACTGGTGATCTCAAGATAAGTGCATTAAAAAATTATCGCAAGCACGGCCGTGAGATAAGCTTCTGTAAAAAAACAAGAAGCCAGGACAAGTTCTTCCTAATTGCTCATTCCTTCTTTTTAATCTTTATTTCCTCTTTTTGTATTTTGCTCAGACTCACCTGGGCGGTGAAGTTGTCAGCAGCCATGGGTGGGTCGTTCTTGCTGTCGCCAGCCACGTTTCCACGACGGATCTCCTTGACGGACACGTTCTTGATGTTGAAGCCGACATTGTCACCGGGGAGAGCTTCGGTCAGAGACTCGTGGTGCATCTCAACGGACTTCACCTCAGTGGTCAGGTTGGGGGGAGCGAAGGTGACGACCATACCGGGCTTCAGGATACCGGTCTCAACCCGACCGACGGGTACAGTTCCAATACCTGAGAGGGAACAGGAAGCAATATGGTTGTAGTACGTGCTTCAGTTCGCTTCAAAATAAAATAACTTGCAAATGTTATTTCTCATATACATACGGTATTTATATGTGTATATATATATATATATATATGTGTGTGTGTGTGTGTGTGTGTGTGTGTGTGTGTTTATAGATATGTGGTTATTTTCTATCTTATTTATTTATTATCTATCACAATTTTTATTTAATTATCCATTGTAGCAGCTTGGGTAACGGCAGTGGGTAGACGGTAAATCAAGTTTTTTTGCTGGTTTTTGTTTTGTTTTTCCTTACTTTTCTTACTCTTTCTCTTACTTTTGTGGACACTGGTAGTTGGGTTGTTGGATTTAGTATTCATGAGGGAAAACTCACAGGCTCTGAGCACATGTACATTTTGTTTAATATGTTTTTAACCTGTGAAAAACAAAAACCCTAATGACGGCCTGTAGGAGCTGTAAAGTCTCAATATCTTGTCAGTGTTTCTCTAAAGCCTTCTGAATTTGATCCTTTATGGTTCACATTGTTACAGTTACAGACTGTACTGACTGTATTCATACCTGTCAGGTACAGTTGTGGTTTGCTGTGGTGGTGGAAAGTTTGCAGTAAATTCAGAAAAACCTCTGGCATGTCTGAACTAATTGACAAACTGTCTGGATTCACTCCCAGAATTTGTTCTTTAGCAGATATCAGAGGTGGATTTGAGAACATGACGCATCAATCAAGAGTCTCCAATTTCACTACGAGCTGCTGTTACTGATGTTGGTGCAACTTTTGAGATTTCAGGTGAGCAACTCCACTCTTTGTGTGGTTTAGATATTTTGTGACAGGTCCAGGTTTTGTTTTACTTGTCTTTAGGTCTTAATTTGCATATACTTAAAAAGGGAAAGGTAGAAGGGGAAGGTTGTCAGCCACGTGCTTTGTTTTATTTTCATAGGTAAATTAACCCCATTTTCAAACTACTGCGCATGTGACGTTGCAGGCTTCGTATAAAGTATAAAGACCCTTTTGTCATTCAGGTATCTTTTCCTGCACATAAATGTGTTCAGGACTTCATTCAGTCGTAGCAAGACTAGACATTATCAGAGCGTCAATGCTCGCATGATATTTGGCAACTTTGATACAGGAGTGGGAGGACTGGCTCGACCGGAGAACTGCGGTGAACCTGATAGTAATGATATGAAGCAAGAGGAGTGCCTCCTGTTCTGTCACAGGCTGCACCAGCGATGTTTTAAAAAACATTTGTTTGCCCTTGAAGCGTTAATTCATGATCACCGTGTGCAAGAGGAAGGAGTATTCTGCATTTTACAGTAAGACTGCTATTACATTTCTCAGCAATTTCATTCATTACACAGAGAATTACGTTGCTTGTTTTAGTGGAAAAGCAGGAATAGACACCAGACGGGACTTGGATTTATTTCCTATTTGCTCGCCGGCTGTAAATAAAGCGTTTGGCTGTATAAACTACAGAAGGGTTGCTGATTTGTTTATTATGGCGACTGTACAAGTTGTATTTTCTAGCTCTTTTTCGTTGCACTGTGAGGGGAAACAATCCATTTGCAGACTGAACTGAAGCTTCTCCCTAAATAATGAAAATCTGCTGTTTATTGGTTTTATTATCAACCTGATGTTATTTTCTTTACCTTGTGCTGCTGTGACCTTTACATGCATCTGATGGCGTTTAATTCACTTGTGCTGTGTTGGAAGTGATATGGAAATGTTCCTTAGTCCGACCTGATAAGATTACTTTGCCGTTTCGTCAGATCTGCTTGTTAAATGACTATTTGATGGATGAAAGGGGCAATCAGTCAGGTGTCTGTTTATGTTTGATAGACTAGTAAAATATCAGTTTGTATGAAGCCCATTTCCACTGACATTAAGTTGATTCCTTTTCCATGAGGTGACATGACTTGACACTCCTTACCGCCAATCTTGTAGACGTCCTGCAGGGGCAGACGCAGGGCCTTGTCAGTGGGGCGGGTGGGGGGCAGGATGGAGTCCAGAGCCTCCAGTAGGGTAACGCCGTTTGCGCTGCCTTCCTTACGCTCGATCTTCCAGCCCTTGAACCAGGTCATCTAAAATGGTGAATGGGAAGAGAGAGACAGAGAGAGAGGACAGGAAAAGAGGAGAGAGAAATGGGATAAGAGAAAAAAAAAAGATTAAATGTACAGTACGTAATTTCTGATGCAGCTTGGTGATGTTGTGAAATAGCGTGGGATCATGGGAGTTGTTGCCTTCGCCACCATTGCCGTCACTGTAGTTAGAAATTCTCCCGGTTAGGATTCCTTCAGTGTTCAGTGTTCAGGAGGTTTTTACACGGAGATGAATTATCCGCAGAGGTCTCCTCCTCTCCAAAATAAATGGACCCGGTGATTAAAACCGATAGAAACACTGAATAAAGCAGTTTCACCTTAAAAATCTGTGTTTCTCAGATGCTGTTTGGCAGATTAAACACGTCCCGGAGGGGCTGCTGCTAACGTTAGCTCAGCTTGTTTCTCTGATAACTTAAGATCCAGACGTCTGATGAGTAAAATCCTTTAAAATAAACATAAAACTGACCAAGATCCAAAAAGTGTATCATAAAAATGTGTCTTAAAACTGGATAAAAAGTAATTTATATCAGCTTCTGGCAGACAAATAACACAATGGGGATATGACGCCATTGACAGACGACCAGTGAAACGCACCAATACCTTAACATTGTTGGAAACATTTGGGATAATAAAAGTACAAGAAACTATATAGCATAGGTCTAATGTGGAAATGTAACATATTATAACTGTAATTATTTAATATAATAATCCAAGAATTCTATTAAATATTACCCTTTGACTTGTGTCACCTAGAAAATAGCCCCTTACCTTGTCACTGGCCTCCAGCATGTTGTCTCCGTGCCATCCAGAGATGGGGACAAAGGCAACGGTGGCGGGGTTGTAGCCGATCTTCTTGATGTAGGTGCTCACTTCCTTGGTGATCTCCTCAAAACGCTTCTGACTGTAAGGGGGCTCAGTGGAGTCCATCTTGTTGACTCCAACGATGAGCTGCTTTACACCCAGAGTGTAGGCCAGCAGAGCGTGCTCGCGGGTCTGTCCGTTCTTGGAGATACCAGCCTCGAACTCACCAACACCAGCAGCGACGATCAGCACAGCGCAGTCAGCCTGAACAGGGAGATATTATGTGTTTTATACATAACGTATAAAGTAAAGGTGGGCCTAAACCTGATATCACAGTATACTGTTGAGTTCGGATTTAAATGCACTAAAACAAGATGCAAACTTTGAGCCTGAAGTGTATTTACATTTACAACTACTCCAAGATACTGGCTACTTGTAATGTTGGCCATGTTGAAAGATAAGCACATGCAGTCTTTGCAGCATCTGAACCCTGATAAGAGCTTTATAAGAGCAGGTGAAAGCAGGTGTGCCTTTACCTGAGAGGTACCAGTGATCATGTTCTTGATGAAGTCTCTGTGTCCAGGGGCATCAATGATGGTCACGTAGTACCTGCTGGTCTCAAACTTCCACAGAGCGATGTCAATGGTGATACCACGCTCACGCTCGGCCTTCAGTTTGTCCAGCACCCAGGCGTACTTGAAGGAGCCTTTTCCCATCTGTGGTGGTAACGCAAATGAAAAAGCATGAATCAGCAACTCTCTATCTCTTTAACTGAAGAGATTTTAAAAATAGCTTACACTTTATGTTAATTACAATTAGATTTAACTGATGAAATACCGAGTGTCGCCCACCCCGCCCTCCAACATCCAGTTTCTAAATAGGTGCTCGCTGTAAATACCACAGAGGCAGTAACCTCACATTATATGGAGTAGTTAATGTATGTGTGTTCATCAGGTTTCTTATTCAAGGCTCCGTGGGAATATAAATACTAAACTTCAGTTAATCCTTTTTTATTTCAGATACCTTAGCCTAGGGGAAATATTATAGCCTCTTTTTTCATCCAACAAAATATGCCAATTAGCTGATTAGAAAGATTAAATTAAGTATATATTAGAGAAAATTGGGTTTAGTAATGTGGAAGTAATTAATTTAATATGTATTAACCTTTAACTTTTATAGTCTGATTCCCTGAGATAATGGCAGCTACTCCACTTCCTGTTATTTTGGTCAGTTTCGTACTGTTTACTGACTTTAAACACACCTTATAATTAAAATTATGCATTTTGCATTAGTAGTGAATAGAATAATTTTAATATTTTAAATGGGGAAAAATTATACATGTAAATATTGTGACTAGGATGAGAACTAATGCTGTATTTGACAAAAAAAAGACAATGCCTTTAACAATAAAAAATGTCAATGCACTGTAATCCAATTTAATTTGTAGTTTGTTAATTTTCAAAAATAAAAATCTATGCATTTAGACCAAATCGTGGAATTAAACCATCTTGCTTTTAATTATAAATTCATTAGTTCAACTGGGAGACACACTTTTGTTTTCTTTAACAAACGGAAATAAATGGAAAATAAATAAGAATAAGAGATCAAATCTGTAGACAGTGTTATAAAAAAAGGAGGACATATTTAACACATGTTCTACTGTATATTAAGGAGGACATATTTAACACATGTTCTACTGTATATTAAGGAGGACATATTTAAGACATTTTCTACTGTATATTAAGGAGGACATATTTAAGACATTTTCTACTGTATATTAAGGAGGACATATTTAAGACATGTTCTACTGTATATTAAGGAGGACATATTTAAGACATGTTCTACTGTATATTAAGGAGGACATATTTAAGACATGTTCTACTGTATATTAAGGAGGACATATTGGTGTTTTCGTGGTTACACCCTTGAATTTACGCACTTATTGTATATTAAAATATGTGTACACAGGGATATTGTCTGTACAGCTCACAGTGATTAGGACAGTACATACTTATTAACAGTAGGTGGCAGCTTCCACCCGTTTGTTTCCCCAGACATAAACTGTATCACTGCAAACATGAGTCCTGTAGTCGTTATTGATTACTCCAGTGTCTCCATAACCAACCTCAGCGGCCTCTTTCTCGAACTTCTCGATGGTCCTCTTGTCGATGCCTCCGCACTTGTAGATCAGGTGGCCGGTGGTGGTGGACTTGCCGGAGTCGACATGGCCAATGACCACGATGTTGATGTGGATCTTTTCCTTCCCCATTTTTTTGATTTACTGGTTGTAAAAAACAACAACATAAAGGGGGGAGGAAGCCGTTATGGGACATTAGTTGTGTGTCTCCAAAATGGACGGAGCTCGGTTGGACCTCCATTATATGTTGTGATTAATATCAGTTGGCCGCTACATTAATTTAAATCTAAACATCACGGGGAGTAGTTGTGTATATTTCAGCTTTAAACTTGTCTTTTAAGTAGCCAGAGTTCACTAATTTAATCTAAAATCAGCTATGTTACATGTTAAACATGGAGTGGGTCTATATCCTGTGAGGTATCCGTGCTTTGTCATTACTGCGGCATTAACGGTTAGCCGTTAGCCGTTAGCCGGCCGTTACCGTTAAACCCATAGACAGACGTTGGAACACGTAAACGCCGCATTGGCCTTGTTGCTGGGATACGTCAACCCCGCCGCCATGTTGGATCGGGCAAGACTAGCCCGTAAGCAAAAATACAAGTTTTTTTTTTCTGGATTAAAAACCACAATGACGTTCATATTTAAATTATATTATATATATATATATATATATATATATGGAGGATAACTTCAACTTAAAAGTTACTAAATTATCTGTTTATAAGTCAGTCCTGCCGGGTCCGACATGACGACGACCAATGCGGCGTATATATTTATATATTTATATATGAATATATAAATATATTACTGTGTGTGTCTCTATGGTTAAACAGTCGGTTAAATCCAGCATCTAGCCAACAGTAGCCGTTAACGATCTCTACATTAAACCGTCTACTGTTGTCCTTTTTCCAACTTAAACGCGACACACAAGTTACGGAAACACCCCATCTCCTAAAAAGTCATTTTCGGTGCTCGTGCCCGTCACCGGAAAGGCGACACCGATGAGTCACGCGCCATGTGCTCGATACCGGCTCCTCGGCCTCCATGTTGCGCCGGGAGCGCAGAGCCGCCATGTTACCGACTGATGCAAGCGCGCACACGAGCACACTGACACTGTGCTACAGGCAGCATAGGGGTGGAAGGATGCGCGTTCACGAGGGTGGAGAGAGAAAAGGACTACCATGACTGGCAGAAAGAAAATTCTGGCAACTCCTTTGTAGTCCAAGTTCATTGTAATCGTTTCTAGTTCGCGTTATTGTTTTAAAGGGGGGGAAGACAGTTAATTAAGCCTTAAAATAAAGCCGAAATATATCACCAGATCCTAAACAAAGCCTGGGAGAGAAATGCAGGAGGTGAGCCAGCATGTTTACCTATTATATGTAATAATGAAATATCCAACACAGCCATGCAAGCATCTATTTTCTAGCCCACATTCAGACTGATATTCAGACAGAGCAATAGACGCTGATACTTAAATACCCATCCCTGAATATAACCCTTCAAGCTCCTGCATCAACATGCATTTTAGCTCTAGAGTTTAAGCCTTTTAAAGAGATTAAAACATCACATTTCACCAACCTGTGCCCAGGAAATAAGACGTCCCCTGATTTAGAGCGGAGGGAAAAAAGGACAGAATGTGATCCGTCCTGTGTTTTTATACTGAAGCAGAGGAGAGGGAGGGCTGTGCATGCTCTTGTTGCTGTCAGACAAAAATAAGAGGTGCTATTGGCTGGGGCGGCATAACTCCTATCGAGGCGATTGGATGGCAAGTGTATCGCTGCACACAAGATAGCATGGTCAAAAACAGCTGCAACGCAGAGAGGCTCGCCTGTGACAGCTTAAAAAAAAAAATCCCCCCCAACACCAACTGCAAACAGCAAGAGGACAAAGACGAGCCAATGTCAATTTTTTCAAAGACATTTATTTTATTAGTTACCAGCAGCTTTCTTTCCAATTAAATTTGTGGCATTTTTAACATCAAGATACAGTTCTAAACCATTTCCAACTTAAAACTTAACTGAGAAGAAGCACTGTCATGTGATTCAGGTAAGTGACAATACCACGTAGTTCTTTTTTCCTGCGAAAACTTTTGCGATGGGTTTTAATCAGCATAAGCCAGTCCTTGAGTAGAGAACTTTGCCTCAAAGAAGATGATCCAGAAGGGGGATGAAGGGGGTAAGGGGTGGCCCGCTGCTGCCGGCACACATCTTGTTGCTGGATGTCCTGCACGACCATTCATTTCTTCTTCTGGGCCTTCTCTGCAGCCTTGGTTGTCTTTCCGGATACTTCCTTGGTCTCCACAGCCTTGATGACACCGACAGCCACCGTCTGCCTCATGTCACGCACAGCGAAGCGACCTGGAAATAGAAGATGGGCGAGCAGTTAGTCACGGCATGCGTGTAGTTGAGCCTGTCTTTTCATTCTGTTGCTTATGTATAAACAGTGTCGCGTGTAAACCGATACATACCGAGGGGAGGGTAGCTGGAGAAGGGCTCCACAACCATGGGCTTCTGTGGGATCAGCTTGACGATGGCGGCGTCTCCGGACTTGACGAACTTGGGGCTGTCCTCAAGCTTCTTGCCAGAACGACGGTCGATCTTCTCGATCAGCTCGCTGAACTTGCAGGCGATGTGGGCTGTGTGGCAATCCAGCACAGGGGCGTAACCTGCGTTGATCTGGCCAGGGTGGTTCAGGATGATGACCTGCGGACACATCGTGAATTTAGAACTCCATCCCAAATGCAACTCGATCCAGAACAGAAGTCACGCCGTTTCAAGCCATTCACAAAACCAACCTGGGCGTTGAAGTTGTCTGCTCCCTTGGGTGGGTCGTTCTTGCTGTCGCCAGCAACGTATCCACGACGGATTTCCTTGACGGACACGTTCTTGATGTTGAAGCCAACGTTGTCGCCGGGGACAGCCTCGGGCAGAGACTCGTGGTGCATCTCCACAGACTTGACCTCAGTGGTCAGGCAGGGGGGAGCGAAGGTGACGACCATGCCGGGCTTCAGGACACCGGTCTCCACACGACCGACGGGTACAGTTCCAATACCTGAGAGGGAAATTAAGTGTTAAGTATGCAAGAAACTCCTGATTTGATGAGCTTTAAGTTTTACCGTTGTCCTTCAGTAGGAAGATGTTGCTCAGTTCTTACCGCCGATTTTGTAGACGTCCTGCAGGGGCAGACGGAGGGGCTTGTCGGTGGGGCGGGCAGGTGGCAGGATGGCATCAAGAGCCTCCAGCAGTGTGGTTCCACTGGCATTGCCCTCCTTGCGCTCAACCTTCCATCCCTTGAACCAGCCCATCTACAGATTCAAAGAACAACAATAAGCCCCATGTCCAATCCATCAGGTTGACAAGTTAGAGACGCCGCACGGTGAATGACCCCTTACCTTTTCACTGCCCTCCAGCATGTTGTCTCCGTGCCATCCAGAGATGGGTACAAAGGCAACGGTGGCGGGGTTGTAGCCGATCTTCTTGATGTAGGTGCTCACTTCCTTGGTGATTTCCTCGAAGCGGGCCTGGCTGTAAGGGGGCTCAGTGGAGTCCATCTTGTTGACTCCAACGATGAGCTGCTTCACTCCGAGGGTGAAGGCCAGCAGGGCGTGCTCGCGGGTCTGTCCGTTCTTAGAGATACCAGCCTCGAACTCACCAACACCAGCAGCAACGATCAGCACAGCGCAGTCAGCCTAAAAAGAAAAATATCACGTAGTTGAGTTGAGATTCGAGTGCACTAACGCTGGGTGCAAATGTAGATCAAAGCTTGAACTTTTGGTGCATTAACACTCATTTACCTGGGAGGTACCAGTGATCATGTTCTTGATGAAGTCTCTGTGTCCAGGGGCATCAATGATGGTCACGTAGTACCTGCTGGTCTCAAACTTCCACAGAGCGATGTCAATGGTGATACCACGCTCACGCTCGGCCTTCAGTTTGTCCAGCACCCAGGCGTACTTGAAGGAGCCCTTGCCCATCTGCGGAGGAACAAAATAGGAAATACAGATTTAATTTTCCGTCTCTACAAACACACGATAGATGACTGAGCTGTGAATTCGATTAAAACCATTGGGTGAAGTTATAGACTCATTTAGTCGTGAAAGGGATTCCTGTAGACAGTAGCTCCATTTATAATTCCTTTTATTCTGTACATGTTCAGGAAGACAATGTGGATTACATAAGTGGTTGTATGTGATAAAAAAAGTTCTAGACATCCAATTTTGTATCATAATTATTAAATTAAAAGAATATAAGTATAGCTTTTAAAAATATGGGGCATTTCAGCTGTATTAATATAGTGTAATAATATAGTGTATTAATATAGTTAACAGCCCTGAGGCCTCACCGTTTAGTGCACAGTCACTACACGCGCTGCTGGCGTTAAGCCCCACCCCTGCGTGCGCGCACACGGCTGCTACATTCTCGTGCCGGGCGACACGGCTCAAAAGTGGGCACGCTGACGCCGCCATCTTGGCTCTAAACTAACCGTTATAACGATTATTAAAAGAAACCCAGAATATAAACGGCTCACCTCGGCGGCTTCCTTCTCGAACTTCTCGATGGTCCTCTTGTCGATGCCTCCGCACTTGTAGATCAGGTGGCCGGTGGACGTGGACTTGCCGGAGTCGACATGGCCAATGACCACGATGTTGATGTGGATCTTTTCCTTTCCCATTGTTTTAGTTTCTGTCACGAATTTAAAAAAGAGAGAAAATGGAGAAAGAAAAAAAAGCAGCCGTTAGCTCTCGTCGTTAAACCGAATGGAATGTTAGCCTAGCTGCCATGCTAACTAGTTTCAATATAACGTTAAGTGAACCGTGGCATTGCGGGCCCGGCACAATTTGAACACAGCTATGGCACGAGTTCATGTGTTTTAAAGTGCTTTATTTTATTAAATACACGCTTAAATTCACATTTAGAATCAAACACATCAAAATATGGCCGTTAATGTGTTTTTCAATCAACTGGTCACACCGGGGGTTTTCGCCGCTACCAGGCGGTGGCTGCTAGGCCTCACTCGGCCACAGGCCAGGCGAGACACGTGTTACTCCGTGGGCCACGTCGTATTAAGTTACAAAGATTGCCAAATATTCACCAGGCATTAAGTCCCAGACTCCCAACACCTGTCGGCCAAGAATATGTACAGTTGTTTAATAGAGGAGAGAGAATAAATGCCAATCCAGCATCCCCGGATCTCCTCTGAAGGAACCCCCTTCTTTGTTCCCTTCCCTCCTTCCACATCCTCTCCTCCGTCGTTTAAAAGTTCAATATAATCTCACCAAAGCTCAATAACGCACAAAAAGACAGTGGGATCGATCACGTACACAACCCACCACTGATATAAACGGTAACGTAAAGGGTTTGCTCAGTTAATCCCATCCAACAATAGAGAAGAGAGGGGGAAAAAAGAGCCACAGGTTTGTGTGTGAAGTTACATAACCGAAAATGACAAAAGTTTGGTATTTTTTTAAAAATTAAAAACAACACACTCCAAAACTTGGGAGTCTCGTAAAGCTTCACAATCCAGTCACAGGCCGCCGTGCCTCTCGCTCGCTTATCTACCAGATGAATCAAAGCTCAACTTACCGGTGTTTCTGGGTTTTCACGGCCAAAACTGCTGCCCCTAGCCAGGTAACAGAAAGAGGAAGAGTCGGGGTGGACTGGGAGGTTTTATACTGAAGGGGAGGCGGCCTCACTTCCCGTCGCCCTCCCCGGTGCAGACCCGCAAATCACACACATTCCTGCAGAAAAACGTCAGCACGCCGCCGGATGAACCGCCTGAAACATGTATGTTGTCTCACCACCAGGGATTGTTGAAATTTATTATTATTTATTTATTTTTTTTTAAAGAAAACTAACGACAAAAAAGAGAAAGAGAGAGAGAGAGAGGCTATGGTGGAGAAAGACCCAGAATCAGAGAGTGAAAACACACAGTTGATGCTGGTTATTTCACTCATTTTACACCTTTATTGATCAGTTGTTTGATTGGGAAACTTCCTGGTATGACATTTTTATTCCCCAGCTGTTATGTATACATACATTATTTTTAATTGGCCACTCCAGAAAGGACTAACACTTAAAAATAATCCACCATATTGTCCCTTAACTTACGCTGTAGTGTCAGAATAATTAGGAAATTAACATTAGCACACAGTTGAATCAATACTGGCCAACACACAGAGGATTAAACTACATAATTATGCATTTTAAGTGACGTATAACCTTTCGCCATCCTAGAAATAAATAAATAAGCTAGCAGAACACTACTGAATGTAGTGGGTGTAATACACCACTGTAGACACAATAAAGTTTGAAAATATAATAGAAATATTGAGTTTTCTTCTATTATAACGAGATACAGCTTCACCTAAATTCTAAATGTATAGTTTAAACTGAATAGAAGAAGGGTTTGTTTATTCATATGGCGTCATAGTGTATATATTACATATAAACTGCACACAGGAAAGCAGATTTTTATCATTTATTTAAAGAGAAAGTCACATAAAATAACATATATTTATATATATACACACACTAATATAACAGCACAAAGCTCTCAACCAGAGCCCCCAATCCCTCCCACCCACTGGTAATACTGGGACGACTCATCAGCTTGACAAGATTACTTTAAATCCCAACGAGATTTGCATTCAAACAGAGACACAGACCCTGAAAAGATGAACTCATGCTGTTTCTAAGACACCTTATCAGCTGGTCGTTTACACTCACAGCAGACACACACAGTGTTTGAGTGAATTAAACGAGATGTTCTGAGGAGGGTATCTTTAAGGGTCAGCTGGTTTAATGCTTCGATTAGGTTCAGTAGTGAATATTTGATTTATCTGGAGGAGTTAGACTGAATAAAAAAAGAACATAATAGTTGGGATAAACTTAAGAGAAAGGCCTGTTTTTGACACTGGGATGCTACTTGGAGGTCAGGAGGTCAGAGTCTGTCTCTTCCTCCAGCACTGTGGCATGTTGCCCAGTATAGAGGCAGCTGGCGTTCCCCCTGGCACACACACACACACACACACATATATATATATATACACACACACATCTAACTACTCGCTCGGCTTTCCCTCCAGTTCAGGTAACAGCCACTTCGATTTGGCAGCTGCTGCTTTCACTCAGCGGAGAGCAGAGCGACTACGAGAGGAGGAGGAGGGGAGGAAGCAGAGCGAAGGGGTCGATGTGCGAGGAAGGGTAGGGAGGGCGGACGAGAGGCAGGCTGCTGGGGAGATATGGGGGGAGAGGAGGCAAGCGATAAGATGAGTGGCGGGCAGAACGAGAGCGGCGGCTCGCTTGGAGATTAATAAAAAGTGAGGTTTCCTGTGCTGGAGTCACAGAAGGAACATTCAAGCAAAGATCTTGTGAAATGTATTTATTGTTGAATTATCTTAAAGAAAACATAAATGTCAGATACGTGCACTAGCTTTAAACAGTTATTAAACCACACCTGTAATCCTCAACCTACAGCAACACAATGTTTAAATACCCCCTGACTCTGCAGCCACAGTGTTGTACAACTTCCATTCATAACCAGAGGCTCAAAAATGTGGTCTGAACCAGTTTGAATTAGCATGAGTATGACGCGTTAGGTTATTGATTCTTAACAGTGGAGCGTCAGTGTCTTAATCGTCATTCTTCTGATCCACCATGAACAGACCTGTGGTCCTATGAGACCGGTTTAAATATCGGTTCATAACATTAAACTCTCCTCCGGTAGCAGTTCAGTCTGTCTTCATCTGAGAGTGTCTGGTTTCTTTATTGATGCTCCATCAGTCACTGCTTCCTATGGACACATTTATATCTTATTACATGAGGAGAAGAGCATTTTATGCCAGTATCTAGAGGTATCAATTAGACCCATGTGTCTCAGGATAAAGTGACTAAGACTATTTATGCAATGACATTACATGACGTTGTGCCATATTAGACCCGATTTGTCGACTTTTGATGAAATAAAATAGAAGTTTCAACCCTCATTAAACTCTTATATACTGAATTACACATTGAAGCAATATAAAAATAGATGTTCCTTTAAAAAATGGGTTGAAATTAAAAGTTAATGACAAAAAAAAAAACAGCAGATTTTTATGTTGACATTAGGCACCTGTCTGTGTACAGGTGTGCACTCATTGCCTCCAGCTGATATATTTCACAGTGACAGCTCTCAGTCTGGGAGTTCTTGAAGTTTATGGCCTGAAGATCTCAGTTGGGCAGCTGTAAACACCTCCCCTCGGCCTAAACACCCCGTTTAAAGACAATCGCTGTTACTAAAACATACTTGTGGGCAGGTAAATCGGAAGTATTTGACCTCTCAGATTGACAAGCGAAAGGCTGTTCAGGGCTTATTAGGTTGAGTAAGATAAGGCCGTGAGGGCTGAAAGGGAAACAGTCGACAAAAGGTGGAGCAAAAGAAACCTGGCGGAGACCCAGATGTGAAATCATTGCTCAGCGACACCGTAGTACTTGACCCTGTTTAAGTGTAGAGGGAAGTGGCTTCTTCACACGCATGAAACCACAGCACATACTCATGGTTTATTTTTTATTTATACACCAGATTGATAGTCTCTCACAGCTCTCAGACACGATTTAGAAGTTGTTTGAGAGGAGGAGGTTGTGTAGCTCAGGTTTCACCTCTTTGGCGACACCTTGCTCAGTGTCCTCCTGGATCCGAACTCTTCACTAATGTTCTACAATCAACAAACTTTATATTTGTATATATTGTGGGGTTGTATTTTTTGCTGATCTACCCTGTGGTCTGTCCTCTTCCAGGTCTACGCAGTGGAGAGGAGGTCGTACGGCTCAGGTTCTGCCTGGTAACACCTGAAGTTGCTCATTGAACTCCTGGATCCTAATCCTGTAATCTTCATGGATGTCTTTATGTCAGCTTGTATATGATGTGATTTTGTTGGTATGTTCTGTATCTAATGCATGTCTGTCCGTCCTGTGAGAGGTATCCCTCCTCTGTGGCTCTTCTCTGAGGTTTCTTACATTTGTTTCCCTGTAAAAAGTTATTTTGGGGAGTTTTTCTTCACCCAAATCGAGGGTTAATCACATTATGTTGTGATTTTGTGCTATATAAATAAAATCTGACTTGAATTGACGCTGTTACATCGGAAACTCATGAATGTCTGAACCAAATTTCAAAACAATCTCATAGTTGTTGAGATATTTTACTCAAAACCACGAATGTCAACCTCGTGGTGGTGCTAGAGGATGAATCAGGGTCTCGCCAAAGTCTGCAGGGTCCATCCTCTGGAGACCACGAGCGGCTGTACACAATGTCATGGCGATCCAAGTGACAGCTGTTGAGATATTCGAGTCTGGACCAAAGCGTCGGACCAACTGACCAACAATGCCACCCACTCACATGTACACCAAACGTCTGTGTCTGTGTGTGTGTGTGTGTGTGTGTGTGTGCGCCTGTAGGCCGCCACAGTGCCCCAACCACAGCTCGGCTCATGAAGACGTGTCCTCTAATGATCTGATGGCAGAAAGTAAAGCGAAGTACAACAGCTGTGCTCTTATTTGAGGCCCTAACTAGAGGGGTATGAGTGTGTGTCAGTGTATGAGTGTGTGAGTGTGTGAATATGTGTGTGTGAAAGGGAGAATGTGATTCAACAGTCAGTCGCTGGCAGCATGTTTGAGATGAGTCATCGGGTATGAGTGGTGGTTATAGCAACAGGAGAGATCTGAACATTTTAACTACAGACTGAGAGAAAAGCTGTTGTTTGTTGGTACAGATAGAGAAGATATAGATATAGATATAGAGATGTTATTTTTCTATATGTATGAGGTTCTTAATCTTCTGTCTTTAAATGCCAGGAGGAAATTTCACTGGTTCATATTCATAAATGCATGATGTAGTTTTTGTAACCATGTACCTCATGTGTATTTATTAAGGCACTAAAGCACACAAAACATGTTTTAAGGCCCCTTTATTGTACTGATTTACCTTTAAATATTAAACTAAGTTTGTTGTTTTTATTCACTATTTGTCATGTTTTTATTTTGTATGTTTCACCCAATACCTGGACCCTCTCTAAAAACAAGATAATGCACCTCAAGAGGCTGCAAACAATTTTCTTCCATTCAGCCACATGAGCAGGGAGGTAAACCACCGATGTTGGGTGATAAAGCCCGGCCCTTTTCAGCTTTATTGAGGTTTTACATGAAACTAATACAATAATAAAAGTGCCAACGGTGTCAAAGTGTGTTCATAAAGTACACAAGAACCAGAGAGTCAAAAGAAGTTGTAAGTCTGGCCCTTTCCAGTTCATCCCACTGGTGTTGGATGTGTCCGAGGCCAGGGAGTTATAGTATTAACCTGATGGGTTGCGAGATGAATTACAGGATGATAAAAGAGACAAAACTTCTAAAGTTTGTCCAAAATGTATCCAAAGTAAAAAAGGGAACTACTGCTATAACATATATTAAAAAAACTCAAGTCTAAATAATCACATACTTTCAGCTCTTTATCTAAAATGATTAAATTGAAGAGAGGAAATCACACTTTGGTGAAACATTTGACGCAGGATCACAAAAACACTCTGATACGGTTCTGAAAGATTTAAACACGATTTTGATCGAGAGTATAGTTTGAAGTGGGCAGCAGCATCAACTTGTTACTTCAGAGTCTCTTTTATCTGCCAGTTTTAAGAAACATGACGCGGTGTCTGCGTGGGTGCGGGGAATAAAAAGCCTCTGACTGAGTCTGAATGATGCCAACATTCAGGAGCTCTCCACATTCTCTCACATTCATGTGCATACAGGCAGAGTTTAAGGTAACTCAATCTAAATAGCAGTGTCAGCACACTGTATGCAATTATAATCTGAGCCGAGGGGAACAGTTCATGCAAATAAAGCACATTTGCAACACATAGCCAGATCCACATCTCCTGTAGCCTCCTCCCCCACACTCCCCCCCCACCAACTCTCCCTCCTCCGGTTCACACTTGCAAACTAAGTATTCCCTTTTGGTGTCCAGGCTATCGTCTGCATTTGTTTCACACCCGGAGTCTTAAGGTGTTTATCACACGCATATCACAGCCTCAGGGCTAGGTAGCAACTTGATGAAGTGTTTGGGTTTTACTTTAAGGGGCTGCCGGAAATTTTTATTCACCCACCTCTGCCTCTGATTGCACCCTCGAGCTACACCGGGAGGGGAGATCTCTCTCTGAATGGGGTCTTAATCTAATTCTTTTTAGCCATGTGATTGGGTTGGATTTGTAACGTTCTGGTGTGGCTCTGTAAGGCATGCTGAAATATTATATATGATATACATGCTGTATATTAATCAGTTATTAAGTGTATGTTTTCCTGCTTCAAATGCTTGATCAGTGGTATTTTGAGGATATTTATTAAATCTTTGATCCTTAAAACGCTCACCTTCTGATTCACAGTATTTTATAATCTACATTTAATCTACATAATCTATGAATTTCATCATTTTAAGAATCAAACTAGTCTCTTAACAGTTCTTTTTTCACATAGGAGATAATTTAGGGTAAAGGGACTTTCACTACACTGTAAAAATTAAAAAGTTGACAAAAACCCCCAAATTTCAAGACAACTTAGTAAAGTAGATTTTTGAGTTAACAGTTTGCCAACTAAGAGTCTTTTGTGGAGTAAACTCATAAAAGTACATATAGATTATTCACTAAATACTTTAAACTGCAGCACAAATAACAACACCACCAGTTTACACATCACTTTATACTTTTATTATTATAAAGTAACAGAACCACTGACAAACAGCAGAACTGATAGACAACAACCAGTTTTGTTCATGAATACAGATCAATGTTCATGACTGGAAGATGAACAGGACTTTTAATGACTTTACTTTGTGTAAGAGACTAACTGTGGATCTTAATTGTGAAACAAACAATAAATAAATGTGTCTGCCCCAATGGTGCTACAAACTAAGACTGTATCATCTAACTTATCTTTTACTGATCCAATCAAGAAAGGCTTTTTAAAAATAACTTTTTATGAATTATGAAGTATAGTGAGGGCTTTAATAATTGAATGTACAGATATGAAGTGTATACTCGCCCTCACTCTGCAACTACAGGTCTTTAAAAATGCATTAAGGTTAGCAGGGCTGGAGGCACACAATGCTAAGTTAAAATAAATAAATAAAATATTTGCTGGTGGTGTTTTATGAAAAGCCATAAATAAATACACTAAGGTGAAATATTCACACCATAAACGTCTAATTCAGTGAAAATAGGCACAAAATAATCTCATGTTATCCATTTGTGATGCTTATTGGTTTGACTTTAAACACCAAAAATAAAACCGCCAATAAAACCTTAAAATCAAACGGTATTTAAAAGGTGATTAACAACCAGAAAGAGGGAGAGAAATAAGATGGTAAAAGGGCGTGTGAATATCTTTCTTCTTCGTGCGGCGGTATACGTGCACAGGGCCGCCTGCTGTACCGGAGTACAAACAGCGGTTTCATTCATTCATCCGGGTCATTCATCAAAAATCTGATGCAAGCTCCACCAGCTTCCTGGTAACAAGAGCTACACCCTCCGAGCAAACTATCACTGACACATTAAACACATAAACCATTACAAAGAGGACTTTTGTCTGTGTGTAACTGCTGGTGGAAATGTAATAGAGTACAGAAGTATTTAAGGATACACAGTAGAATAAACCCAACTTTCTATGGAATAAGATTCACTAACTAACTTTTATTCTGACACATTTCTCTGTGTTTTAATGAATAAAGTTTATTGGGATTAATTTAAAATAGGCACTAACTTTAACTAAATGTGACCTATTCAGTTGTTTGTCAGTATAATAAACTGAACTGGGCTTTACACGAGAGGTCGTCATAGTTTATTTGATTAAGATTTGTTATTAAAATGTTTTCTGTTTCTTTATTATTTCTTTATTTCTCTTTGCGTTTTGACAACACTGTGAACATTTAGTTTCTTGCACCATCTAGTGGCTGCAGAGGAGAATAAACTATTATCTTTGAGCATTAAGTTGTCCTTGGATGGGGTATTTATTGCTGATTGTGTTTGTGGAAAAGTGAGTAAATGTTGTATCAAGAGGACAATCTGTGTATACACAACTTCTGCAGACAGAGAAAAACAACAGGCTGCATGTCACCAGGAAATACAATGATGAGAGTAAAAATAAAACTTTAGTTGTCTCTGAGAGTTGTGGGATTTGACCAGCGCAGGGGGGGGGGACCCTTTGTGGGTTTTTATAAAGCTGATTCTGAGCCAAAATCCTTAAATATGGATGTTTATAGGCCAAAAAAAATGTAGATATTGAAATATGTATCCACCAGAATTATATTCTTAAAAGGAAACAGCATTTGGATAATTGTTTTAAGAGATACAAAATACAGAAAATATCAGTTAAAGTTAAATGATGTTATAAAATGTGAAAGGAATGTGTTATTTTAGGGTATTTTAGGGTTTTGGATAAAGATGTGATACATAGAGCAACTTCTGTGACACCAGCGAAAGAAACCTCGACATGGAAGTAACCAGTAATCAGTCAAATCTGACATAATGAAAACTAAATAAATATAAATAAAAAAGTTTAAACTTATAATGGCTTTGTCTTTTTTTACTGGGATTTACAAACACTGTTATTTATGGCAGGAAAGAGGAGTTTCCTCATTTGTTTTATCAGCTTTATCCACTAAAACGTTAAATAAATGTGAGTAAAATGTTTTTAATAACTATTAAATAGGCTATAAATTATCCTCATCATCGAAATTCATGCAAAATAACATGCATTTAGCATTTAGTCTTTATCTCTCAGCACCTCCAACCTCCATCTGCTGATTTTACTTGACTGTAAGATTAGCAGCAACACACACACACACACACACACACACACACACACACACACACACACAGATACAGAGATACACCAAAACAAATGATTCCCCTCGTATGTTTCAGATTTTAGTTTTTGTTAGGTAAAACAAACTTGATTATTTTCACAATAATAATAAAGTAACACATATTTCACAGACATGTACAACGTCACAAACTTTCAAAGCACAGAGAAGGTAAAATAACTTAATGCATCTGTTTAAAAACATCATCTCTTTACAATCACAGTGAACTTTGACATTGCTGTTGACAAAAAGGATTTCTTTAAAAAAATAAAAATAAAGAGTCGGTATTGTAGTTGAAGAAACTGACAAACAGGCATCGTAGTCATAGTTCGTGGCACTAAAATTAAAACTTTGGTTTCCTGGATAAAACTTTCTGAAGATTGAATAAAACAATCTTTCCGGTGCATTTTTATATGTGAAAAGTGCTTCTTTTGGTCCAACTGGAGCCTAGAAGTGGTCAGAAAACAGATTCATCTGCAAACAAAGCAAAACACTTTAAAAAAAACATTTCAGTTTCAACTGTGTGGTTTGTTCGTAAAGCATTCGGTCCCATTCTCCTTTCACAAGAAAAACTTAAAAAACACACTAAAAAGATCACAAATTGATTTGTTTTGGTCTAACCTGAGGTATTACACGATAACTAATAATAACTGGTTATAATGTAAATGTTTAACTTTCTGTGACATTCATCGGCAGTAAACAGAAGGAGAGTAAACGTCATCACACCTTCCTGATTTTGGTAAAAGGCAGTGAATATCCAGCAGATTGTTGAATCATGTTTTTTCTTTAACATCAGTGCAAATCTGTTCACACACGCTACTTTAAAAAAAAAATCATAAAACGGGTTTAAACTGTCCCCAAACAGAAACACAGGCTCATATTATTGATAAAAACTATCCAAACACTGTAGAAACCAAAACATCTGAATTACTCTTGATAAAAACTGCCCTGGTCCAATGATATAAATGTGACACCGTCCTGTAGATACACCTCTCTCACTCATATTTAAGTGTGAATACTGCACATATGTTTATTTTATACATCAATTTACAAACGATAGACCTCTAAAATCTCCTTTTTCTTCTTTAGTACGATGTGTTCAAATGTCTTTTAAAGCCACTTTTTTTTGTTTGTTCGATGTATTTGCTGCATATTTATATGTTTTATATGGAGATGGACCTGCTCCTCTTCTTCTCGGCCTCGTCCCTCTCCTCCTCTGTGACGGCCCACGGTTGGATCTTCCCGCTGCCAAATATAGTGTAGACGAGAGCGCCGCCGACGTTGATCCCCGCAGCCACCCAGAACACCTTCCTCCAGCCCGCCAAGGTGTTCTGAAACCAGAGGAGCAGGACGAGGGGACGTCGGTATTAACTATTAACTAATTAAGAAACTCCTCATGTACAGAATTCACATGTATTTTTGTGCGTTTAACCACAAACAGTCTGTTCTGAATGTGTCTGAATAAAGTTTTTATACCATGATCTGTACACTGCTGCAATCTTTAAAGGAAGTTTAGGACCGTTTGCTGTTTTCCTTAAACTTCTGAGACTCCTCAACGCCACCATTTTGCTGGTTTACTACTTATGTATGTGAAATATCAGCGTAATATACAAGTTATTGAGCAAAAACAACATTTAAGTATCTTCCTTGCAAATATAATTTACTTGTCTTTCTTCCTTTAGTGCTACTTTTAGACATTTTGTTCTATTTTATTTCATTCTAATTTAAACCTACAACAAGGAGGTTTTAACTGGTTATGAAACAGTTTAAATTTAAATACTGATGCCTCTGTATGACCTACATAAATAAACAAGACCATCAGCATTGTTCTTAATGCCGGATTCCCCTTGAAATCAATGAAACGAGGCGGTGGAAACACTACCACCTTTGTCCACAGGGGGCGCCAGAATCAACAGAATGTTAAAGGTCCTATATGTTACATGTTTCTGTTGTGCAACCCTGTATTGAATATAAAGATAATAAAACTGAACATTGAACCTCAACTCTTCTCTTCTGAGTTGATTTGATTTTACTCAACAGTTTGTGATTTGGACGTCTGGGAAGGAAGGAAACCACCACAAGTCAATTTATGGCTTATTGCAAACTGGGAACTATTATCTTATCACCACAGTGTGACTGGAGCACTTTTATTGCTGATTATTTAGGTATTTATTGTATTGATTGGCAGTATGATGTCACCTTGTCACCTCCTGCAATTTAAAGTCCGCTCTCTTATAATAAATGAAACTAACCTTTAGAGTCTTTGACGTTGTTTCACAGTTAATCTAAAATATGAAGTTGTTCAATGCTGCAGCCAAACAACATCACTAATATCAGATAAATCAATTATCTCTGAAATGTTGTGTCTGTCTACTCTTCCCAGATAGAGTAACCAATCATTAATTACAGACTTACATCCTTAGTGAAGTACCCTGCAGCGATAGGTGCCACGACTCCAGGAACGGTCCCGAATGTGTTGGTGATTCCCAGAAGGAATCCTGCGTACCTGCAGGAAACAGGAGCAAATATTCCTCAGTATTTTATTTAAAATACAAAGACAGTGAAAGGAGGGAAAGACAGAGTGAGTTATTAACCTTAATATGTACAACTTTCCATGAATTAATGAGTTACATTACAATCACTACATTTCATTTATCACACATACTGTCTTAATTTAGAACCAAAACTGGAGGATTGTATCCACATCATCATATATTCATGTGTTTTAGTCTTGATTCAATTAGTAATTCTGATTATCAGTTAATTGTTTACGTAAATTTTCATGAATTACAAAATACAGTCTCTGATTTCAGGTTTAGTTCGCTCTGTTTTATGTCACTGTAAACTGAATATTTGGGGGTTTTGGACTGTCGGTCGAGACATCTGAGTTAATAAATGGACATAAAACACACTCATATTGCACCTCTCTAGTCTTCCGACCACTCAAAGAGCTTTACACCATATGTCACAGTCACGTCACACACAATAGCTCCTGGTGCTGTGCTATTTGGGGTTCAGTATCTTGCTCAAAAAAAGGAGGATTGAACCACCAATCTCCTGATAAGTGGATCGACTTCTTGAGCCAGAGCCCGAGTAAGGAAAGAGTATGAATGGTGACACCCACCGAGGAGCGATGTCTATCTGGTTGATGTAGACTCCGGAGGCGCTGATCCCTCCTACGGTTGTGGAGAGTGTGAGGAAGGTGACGGTGAGGATGTGGCTGCAGCCGGCGTAACTCACAGCTACGAGGAAAGCTGCCGGTGGCAACACACCTGCAGGGAGGAGGTGACAATGAAGTCTATTTACTCTGTTGTATCTGGATATTATGTGTCAACATTTCAACACAACATACTGAATCTACACCAGATGAGGGCAGCGTTACTCCATTCAGTAACTAGTGGAGGTCAGGTCCTCCAGGAATCAGTGACGTGGAGGATAAATTTAAATAAATATTACATGATTGAGTACATCACCACTTTATATAAATGTGTCCTATAATGGAAGAAGTAATAAAGTAAACATACAGTACATTTAAATGTTAACTTTACTTTAAAGTACATATTTGAAGTTAATTTGTACGTCAGCAGGTTACATATTGATCCACATGCTGCCTTGTTTTAAAAGATATTCTGAACTTATATGCTTTATTTTGGGCCGTTAAATTAATCTAGAAGAGTAAAACTCACTGTTAGTGGCTGTAAGTCAACAGTATTTGAGCTACAGTACATTTAATGTTTCTACTTGAGTGAACTGACAGCCAGCTGTTTCACGTGTAATCAATCAAATTGCTCCTTCGTTACTTACTGCAGACATTCCTGCAGGAAGAAGTGTTTTAGCTTGTCAAAGAATCTTTTAAAACAACACCTTGTGACAAATAACTGATCTTTGATGCGTCTTTCCATGTCAATAATAATTGATCCTCCCATCAGACTCTCTATATAATGTTTAACACTGTAGTTTCCCCCTATTAGACAATGGAGAATACAGAGCCGTCTGTATGTATTTGGACATCGTTTTACTCTTTGTGCTCACACACAGTGTATTTCAAATAAAATGTTATTATGAGGTTAAAGTTGATGCCATCCATCCATATTATGTGATCAGAGTTGCACACTCACACACTGGGCCAGAGCCAAGACAATACTGTCAACAGTAAAATACAGATTGCACTTTATACAATGAAGTCAAACTCTGTGACTCGACTGTAAATCACTTCTCTTTAACGTCCATTAACATAGCTCAAGTTCTCTAACAGTCAGTGGAAGTCAATATATTGATGTATGTAAGTGCATGTTGGAGGCACTTGTACTCAACTTGTGCACTTCCATTTTACGCAGCTTTATACTTCTACTCCACAACAGCTGAAGGAAAATATTGTTCTTCTTACTTCATTACATTTCACAGCTTTTGTTACTTTTCAAATTACAATTTTCATACCCTTCCTGTCCAGGGAAAAACACCGATCTCCAAATGTGGTGATTAGGATTTTTTGGGATAAACTGATGGATTAAGTGAGGAAATTCTCCTACTTATTGAGCTACATTAACTATTTAAAAACCCTCTTGGATTATCTGGAAAATGCTTTGTCACAAAGCTAAAGGCTTTAAAAGGCTACAAACATCTGATGATCTTATAGAGTATGATGCATTGCTGTAGAATCAATTACCCAACAGTATATAAAGTTAAAATTAGATCAACCTTATACATCTGCAGCAGTAAAATGCAACATACACATACATATAATAATAAAAGACTAACAGTTTTTGAGTACTTTTGATACTTAAAGTACATTTTTGCAGATAAGACTTTTACTTAAGTCAGAACTTTTACGTGTAACAGATTATTTTCAGTGTGATATTAATACTTTTAGGATCTGGTGACAGTCCAAGCACACACAAGAAGGGCTAATACACAAAGAGGATCTGAGAGGTTTCCTTACCCAGGATTGTGAAGAGTTTACGAACGGTGGTGACGCTTAACAACCTCCTCTCGATGAGGAGGTCGGCTACGACACCCGAGAGCATCGATAACAACCAGGCACCGAGGTACGGCAGAGCAGAGAGGAAACCATTCTGGACAGAGAGAGAGAGACGGAGAGAAGTTGTTTCTATAGTCGTTCTATATTTGTCTTACACAGTGCCTACATCCATATATCCACACTTTTTTTACATGGAAGAGAAGAACAAATAAATCAAATCCTCACCGATTTGAGGTCAAAGTGCATGATGTTGTTCATGTAGGTGGGCAGGGAGGTGAGCAGGGTGTAGTACGACCAGTTTGAACACATCTGGGTCACTATGATGGCCCACAGAGGGACCGACAGCAGCATGGGCACCAGGGGCACGGACCAGCCATGACCTGTACCCTGCAGTTCAGATTAATGACAAAAAACAACCACACATATAATGAGAACAATCCTTATTTGTCACAGGTTTAAGGATACAGTAAGAAGGATTATTTAACATACAGCTGAGGGGAAGAGAAAGTAAAACAAAGAGAACAATAAGGGAAATGGAAAAGGGAAGTTTGAGTGGGAATTTAAGAATAACGTTACACTGCAAGCGGTAAAACTCTCCCTTATGAAGTAGAGAACCAATTCAGTTTCATTACATCCAAAAACTCTCTTGCTTCCTTTTATCTGACAGCTGGACTGAAAGTGTGGGAGGGGAAACTGTACGAGCAGACTGCACTGAACCAGAGTTTTATATCTCATCAGCAAAGAGGAGCTGCAATAAAGCGTCTCAGATGATATTATCTTCTTCTGGTCCTCTGGTTTTATAAACAATTACCTCTTTTCCCATTCGTAATCACTAATAATTATTTGTTTTTTGACCCGCAGCCCAATAGAAAATGAAGAGAAAGGTTGAGAAACACGAGATTTGGTGTCATAGTCAATAAAACGTTGGTTAATGTTTCATATGCACCTGAGGTCCAATGGAGTTTATGATGTAATCTCTCTCCTCTTTGCTGATTCGAGGATCGGTGCGAGGATCATCTGACACAAAAATAAACCAAACGACTGCCCAGAGGCAACCAGCACCTCCTGACACAGAGACGGAGAAAAAACCTTTTATTGAACAAGGTGGTGAGTAATTAGAGGAAAAGGTGTTCACTGATTGCCTGGTGTCATAGAAATATTACCACAAATACCGTTAAAATACTGCTAATGGTTAAATAAAACTAAATTACTGTAACTACAACAAGTATCATTTAATTGCATCTAACTGCATATTAATCAATTATAACAGATCATGTTGTCCCGGGGACTATAAAAAGAGCCAAAAAACAAAGGACACAGTGGGACAATTCTGGGACAGTCAGACATTTATCAATACAAATAGTATATATATAATAATTTATAATAATATAAATATATATTTTCAATTGTTAAGTACTCAAATTGTCACGTTGTCAAGTTGTCACCAGCACAAACTCTACTCTTGCCTGAACACACTTACACAAGTAAAATCAATTACAGAGAGAGACCAGTGTTGCAAACTTGGTGACTTTCTCGCTAGATTTACCTCTTAGCGACTTTATTTCTAAAAAACTGCCAGGGAAAACAAGATTATTCAAACTTATTATATTATAATTCATTCCCACGGCTCTTCTGCCAACAGCGTCAGGCTCTCTCCCTCTCCTCAGTAGGTGTGGTGTGTGCTGCACGTTTGATAATCCCTCTCACTCTTTTTGTCCAGATCTTTGGACTACAGTGTTCCTACAGTTTATGTGTAAACAGTTTGTTTGAGCTTGTAAATATTTAAATAGTCTGTTTGATCTTCTCGCTGCTTTCCATGGCGGACCAGAGTGAGACAATGAAGAGATCTGTTGTTAAACCTTTTTATTAGCAATATACGGTAAATATTATTTTAACATTTGGGACAATAGTTGAAACTAAAAATCAGCTGAAGAAAACATCTAATTCTGGCTCCACCCCTCTTTTGTGGCAGCATTTACCACCCTGGTATCTTCCCTGTGAGAGACTAAAGTGTGTCGTGATGTATACGAGTATGTGATTGTATTTGGGTTTCGTGTGTGTGTCTCCCATCACACTCACCACAGATGTAGAAGACAGCGGGCCAGCCTAAAGTCTGGCAGATGTAGCCGGTGAGCGGCAGAGCCAAAAAGGCCCCGAAGTTGGCCCCAGATCCCGACAGGGTCATCAGGCGAGAGCGCTCCAGAGGAGGAGCCCACCGAGCCCACATCGCCATCATGGCCGGGAACGTCACACCCTTTGAGATGGAGACAGGCAGTCAGATGGGCAGAGAGTGAGACAGGCATCCATAGCAGAGTGTGGATGTGTAGCAAATTTCAAATGTTTCCTCTGCATTAATACATCTGGGATGGTGCAAAATAAAGCTGAAATGATCAGGTTGTGAATCAATTAGTACAGTGTTTAGGTACTTTAATACATTAATTATGCAATATCATATATAATTCCTAAAAAAAGTGTAATATAAGTTCAATAAACCACATTTTATATTCAATATTTCGATTTTTAAAGATCCTCAGTGAAGCACAAGTAAGTGCAACTTATCAAAAGAGACACAGTTCAATGCAACAACAACGCTGTTAATAAGTTATATAAGTATTTTTCTTAATAAATCAGACCCTGATGGCCCAGCGCTGTGATGTACTTCTCCATTCAAGCATTTATTTCTCTACCAAAAATGTTTTGCACTGATTGGAGGTATACTGATGAAAAAAGTTTGAGAATCACTGGATCAGTCGATTCATTCATTTTGATAATCAATTAATCATTTAAAGGACCAGTGTGTGAGATTTAGTGTTTCTACAGTCAGTGTTTGGTTTGTTTGTTCTGGGCTTCCGTAGAAACATGGCTCTGACTCTGTAGATAAAAACAATCATCATCATTCTAAGGTAACGAAAACACAATAATTCTAATATTCAGGTAATTATACACTAATGAAAACATACTTCTGCCAATACATCTAAACTAAATCTTACACACTGGACCTTTAAGAGCTTTATTTCCTGACATTTTATTTGTTAATCAAGAAAATCATCAGCTGATTAATCAATAATGAAAATAATTGTTGTAGTTTGAGCTCTATTGTAAAAACAACTGAAGCATCACAGGATACAATAAATGTTCCCCTGAAACACAAACTATTAAGTGAGTTAAAGAAAGTAATCAGGGTAATTGATCTCCTGTATATAATCTCTTGGAGACATTGAGGCTTTTAGAAGAATTAATTTACCAGAAACGTTACTGAACAATTTAATAAATCTTGTGTAGCCTCAAGATCAATGTCCAATTTCACTAAACGCCAATATCTGCCCGATTTATCTGCAGATGAATGAATATGTTACTCTGTTATTGTTGTTTTAAACTAGAGATACACAGACAGAAACTGTGCACACAATAATGAAGCTCAACACACACTCTCACCTCTCCAAAGCCCTCCAGCGCTCGCAGTGCAAACAGCCAGTATGAGCCCAGCTGTGCAGCCAGGGGGGTGAGCAGAGTGAGCGCCGCGGTGCCCAGAACACCCACACCCAGGAACATCTTCCCCCCGTAGTGACCCGACAGGTAGCCCCCTGGGATCTGTGTGCACAGGTAGCCGAAGAAGAAGGCCCCCAGCAGCCAGCCCTGAGTCTCCGAGTTCCACGGGTACTGAGGGATCTGGGGACAACAGGGAGGACAGAAAGAGAGAGAGAGTGAGTATTTAGGATAAAAGGCATTTAAAACATGGGGGGGAAAGGCAGGAACACACAGTTGACTCTCATTTAAATCTGGTTTAGGATAAGTTTATCGTATGAAATGTCTCGGAACAACTACCGAACTACACACAATATATTTAAGAATTGGCAAAAGTAAAAAATGCTTTAAAAAACACAGTTACCCCCTCAGGTTGTGGGAAAGTATCACTGGCGTTTTCCATCCCCGGTGGCATCGGACAGGCGTGGAATACGGAGCTGTTCTGGGCTGGTTTGGGGTCAGTGGAGTTCACCATGGCCACCATGGCGACACTGAGGTTGACCCGCAGACCGTAGACCACAGAGAAGCCGAAGAACATCAGGACGGCCAGGTTGAGGCGAGCCGAGCAGCACTGTGGAGGGACTGTTCACACAGAAGACAATCATATTTACATGTAGTCTGTTGGTTTTGGGGGATTTATTTTATAGGGACAGCTGAACGTAGACAGGAAAGGATTCATGCCCGCTCCACCAGGTGAGCTACCAGGGCGCCCCACAGTCGGGTTCCTTTATGGGTTGAGAAAGTTATCCTACTTTTTAAAGAACTATGTCTTTATTAGCTAAACGAAAAACATTTAAAAACACATTGAATCAACTTAAAAACACATCAGAAAACAGCTGATAGAGTGATTTGACAAACTAATATAAACTACATATAAAGAAGACTTGTCATTTTAGAGAAAGATAGTTGATTGTTGAACCTCATTCCCACGTAGTCAACTACTGACACTGTAGGTTAGGGTCAATATGGTCAATGGGAAACAATGTCAGTCTTACTTTTTGGTGTCTTGCTTTGAATAACATCCACTCTCACTCTCTTACTCAAAATATTCAGCTATGTTTCACCCCTTTGATTAACAACACACTAGATAATTGCATTAGATTGTCTTAATTGGTCACATAAAACAATAAAAAAACATTATATTCAGACAGTAACTGGACATAGTTTACAGGCCCACTTTGCAACTCTTTTAACTCTTTTAACCTCTAACTTTAACAGTTTCATTATCAGACCATGTTCCTGTCTGCGGCCTTTATCGGGGTCACAGGCCTTAGGTCATATCAATAACATATACTAACTTGTTGCCTCGTGTGTATCCACATATTCAAAGAGCTGTCGATCAATTTGAAAGTTACAGCAGTTAAATTTTGTCTACATTTTGATCTGAATCTGAAAATATAGCAAACCTTTTATTATGTGTCTTAACTTGGAATCGTTTGCAGCTTAAGGGTCAACTCTAGCTCACTCAGCTTCTGCCAAATTTATCTTTATTTCAGTAACATGTGATTTCACTGCCCCATCAATTTAACTGCAGCCTTTTGATGGTCAGCAACCTCATTAAGATCTTACGTAAGAGGTAGTCTGTAACCAGTGAGGTGCTGATGTGTATACGACAGCTTCAGACAATCTGCTGAGTAACCAGAGTGACAAACCTGTGACAGAACAACAAAATAACAAAATAAATAGCGTGTTGTTCCACGCTGGGAACAGACGCCCAAGACATTACACTATTTTATTTGTTATTTATGTTATTATTATATTATATTATTAAAAATAACAGTTAGTTCCAGCTTTACATCTCATTTTTGTTTGATTCTGGTGGCCCCTGTGGACGAAAGCGTTGGTGTTTCAACCGCCTCGTTTCATTGATTTCAAGGGGAATCCGACAGAATCCGATCCTGTGGCAGACATTAAATATATATTTATCTACATATATATATCTATATATAGATATATATATGTGGAAATAGACAATCTTTTCACTCTTTTTTGTTTCTGTAGGTCATATAGAGGCATCAACATTAAATTTAGACTGTTTCCTAACCAGTTAAAAACTCCCTCCTGTAGTATGTTTCAGTATAAATGCAACTGTAAGAACTTATTGATTGTCTTTCTATCTTTTAATCCAATCTTATAAACACACCTGCATCGTTCTCAATGAGGGGTTCACTGTCCTCACTCTCATCCGACTGGGCCGAGTTGATGGAGTAGCCATTTGGTAGCGGCATGGCACTCGGCTGGAAATACTAAAACTGGTAAAATGATGTCACTGACTCATGGTGTCCAGGAAACCTGTGGGAGAGATGAAGGTAGTAATCAGAAAAACAGACGTACACATTAACACACACACACACACACACACACACACACACACACACACACACACACACACACACACACACACAATTACACAATACAAGAAGTATATACAGTAAATACAAGTGACACAGCACGTCAGAAGATTTTGATTGTTACTGAAATCCTGTGAGCCAGAAGCTAAGCTTAACAAAATCTTTATAACCTGATACACAAATTAGTGCGACACAATATGGTAAAAAACTTATTTTACAATTATTTTGACAGATATTGACATTGTGATATGATTCATGATTATTGGAAATTGATCATTTTCGCATCACAATTGTCATTTTCACTGAACAAAATGATTAAAATCATGATTACTTGACATTTATTTCGATCTTTAACAAACAAAAAAAGCTTTCTTTCATCTGGGGAATAACATTTGTAGACCAGGCGTCTCTGCAGCTCTACAGTTAATCATTATAATGCTATCCCATAATATTTCTAATAAGTGTGCAGCCCAAAAACACACAACGATACCTCCTGATGTCTCACGATGTTAGAAAAGTTTGACCAAACTCTCCAAACTAAGAGTTATTGATCAGAACGGCTTCACTGCAGAAGGAGGGAGAACTGAACTGAAACATATGATCAAGGTCAAATCCAAACACAACATACGGGCGCCGTTGTCGTTGTTGGGTAAAACCACGCTCTATCTTCAAAAACCTTTTTCAGGAAGTGAGAAAACCACCCGTTGACACACATCTCTTTCCAGGCTTACCGACATGGTTTTGTGTAACTGAAGGCGGTCAAACTAAACGTTGGTACAAACAGATAAGAATGGAAACACGTGAGGATTTGGTGCTTGGTAAATATCAAGATTTAGAGATTTTCTTTGTCAAACGTGACAATAAACTGAATATATTTGTGTTTTGGATTATTGGTAAGAAAAAAACAAGAAATGTGAAGAAATCACCTTCAATTATGGGAAATAATTCACTATTTTACGACATTTTGTACACAAATAATTAATCAGTAATGAAAATAATTGTTAGTTGCAGCCCTAAAAGAATGAAATTGATCAGTCTTGGTTGCAATAATAACTTTAATTTGAGATATTAAAGGATATAGAGTAGCTAGGAATCCAGAGTCACTGTTATTGCCATATGTAGTCATTGTTGTGAGTTTCACTTCTCTCATCGTTTAGCTTTGATGGGCAGAAAAATCTGAACTCATGATGTTGCTCGCAGGAGAAAACTCAGGAACTGAGAATCACATACTTCTTCGTAGCTTTAATGATGTGCATTTTTTACCGTTAACCAACAAGTTAAAGGGGAAAAGGTCGGTTGGATTCTGTAATGCCAAGAGAGATATACAGTGTTATCACAGGACATAGCAGGACAACAATGGCACAAAGAAGCAGCTGGTCTGAGGTTATCACGTCAATAAACAGTCAGAGTGACGGTGAATGACCCTTAAATGATCGCTGCTGTCTGACAGATTTGGCCAAACACATGTTCATCATGTCCAGTCAATATCAGCAAGTTTCGATGTTTCAAGTCAATTTGTTTTGTCTGAGGAACGTGTGAGCGACCTAAAACCTTTGAACCAAAATGTTTGACCAAAAGCAGTCATGCCTACAGCTTTGAAACCCCCCTGTTCAAAACTGTGTTGGTCAGCACATACCAGACTAACACTGCAGGGACTGTATTCATAATCGGCTGATTATTCCCTCATTTAAGCGACTGCTCATTTGGTCTATAAAAGGTTGGAAAACAATGACAAATCAAGGTAACGTCATCAAATTCAAATGTGTTTTGTCTCAAAAGCACCAAAACCTGAAGAAATATAATTTACAATCACATAAAAGAGAGAAAATAAGCAAAAGCTCCCATTTAAGAAGCTAAAACGAGGTCATATTTGGCATTTTTTGCTCAATAAGTGACTTAAACAAACAAATGATTATAAAAAATAGTTCCTGACAATCAACTTAATTGATAAATCCACTAAATGTTTCTAAAAAAAGATATTAGGAAACAATGCAGTTGTAAAGAAGTTATTTCCTCATTTGTTTGCCATTACAAACTTATAGTAGGTATCGGTCTGTGTACAAGAAGGAAGCAAACCAGAGAGAAAGGCAGTGTGAGGGGACGTCTGTGGCTCTAATTATACAATATCAGTGCTCTCAGTCAGTGACTTCCCAACCTCAGTGGGTCAGTAATCGTCAATGTTGTTGATATGTGTGTGAGATGTGTGCTGGAGATGTCTGTATTGTTTTATCACTGATCAACTGTTTACTGTCAGGGTCCCTAAAGCTGTGGAGTGACCTGCCTGAGGAACTTACATCAACCAAATCAATACCGTCTTTTAACCCTATTCTCAAGACACACTTTAATAGACGTGTTTGCGTTTTATTTCGTATGTTTCAATTCAATTTCAATCGATTTGAGTGTTTTTAAAGCACTTTGTAACTGTAATTTTTGTGACACAAATCATTTACTTTGCCTACTTTACTTTTTAGGATCTGCAACTGATAGAAAAATAGCAAATTCTATAATATTTCACAGGTTGTCTGTTTTTTTTTGGATGACAAAGCATTTATTATTTGCCATGACCACGTGAACGACGTCTGCAAAGTTAGTGTCTGTGCAGCTATGTGAGAGCATATCATGAGATCCTCAGAAAAACCAACCCAAGTCACCTCTCTTCTCTACAACAATTAATGCATTATGTCACATTAAATTGCTTCCTAGTGTTAACTGGGGAGGAAAAACTCTCAGTTACAGCGGCAAAGCTTTCTCCACCAAACCTGTTTCCTATAACAATTACTGTATATATATATATATAAACTAATGTACTCAGCACAAAGTAATGTTTTTAAATAGGTTGACTGATTTATAATGACGTTAAACAGAAACAGAAACTTCTACCTCTACTAGATATAAGGTCATTTTACTGTTGTTTTTTTTAATTATTCACCAATTTATAAAAAAATTTAACTGATTAATTTTCTGTCAACCAACTGAGTAATTCATTAACTAATCCTTACTGCACTAAAACACAGCACAACACTGTCAAATATGCTCATAATTATAAATAACACCAAATACTACACTGCAGTTTCTGCGTTTTAAAGCTCGTTTAAAATGAGAAAAACACATTAATCATCAGTGGATGTCTGTTATGTATCAGACATATACAGATATAGTTGTAACAAGAAGCAGAAATATATAAACTAACTTACACAACACCTGCATCATTTAATGGCTCACAGTAAACACAGTTGGTGTATTACTGTTTAACGACCACGTACAGGGACGTTTAGAGAACAACAGCTCACCTGGTGAAGGGTTTTACATCAAAAGACACTCGGTGAACGGCAGCCCGGCGCGTTGTGGTGAAAGTAAAACAACAACAAGAACAACTGGAAGAACTGTGTCACATAATTTACCGGCGACACAAGAAAAATGAGCTGTTTTTCCACCACCAAAGGAAACGGTCACATGAGTGTTTGCGGGGAAACGCAGATCTACATAAAGAGTGGATAAGCTACGCGTCGCTTTACACCATCCAGTGGGTGTTTTATAGATCTGTAGTGCGGAAGTGACGTGGGTTCCTCGTCTGACCAACAGCTGGTTCGCAGCAGAGGAAAGATTAAAGTTTATTAAATGATTTGTTGGGAGTATAATAGATTTAAAAGGATATAACTTTAAAGAAATAAGGTTTAAATCTTCTTCTTTAATAAGCAATGTTTCCTCTGCATTTTTTTTTTTTGCCTACAGCAAACATTAATTTTATAATCATGAGGTTAAAAGTGATATAAGACAAAATCTATTTTATATTTAATAAATAAAGAGTACTGAATAAATGATACGTTCACATAGCTGAGATTATGGCTGTAATTGTTGGTTTGCAGTGGGTGGAAGAAGTGAGACCAGGCGGGGTATTAATGTGTATTAACGCTGCAATTAGATTAGATTTAATGTTAGAAATGTTTTAATGTTTAAATAGAAGTCAGAGATTGGGGAGAGATGTTAGTTTTTGATGGGTGTCTGCAGAGAGGGTGGCTAAAAGTAAATATGAGGCACATAATGCACATTTCATTTGGGAAAGGGGGGAAGGTAAAGCACAAATCAAAAAGAAAATATCTGAAATTTGACACAAGAAAAAGATAATAAGGGTAGAATATACTATAAAATACAGTTAGAGCACAAAGTGTTAATGAAGATACAGAAAACAGGACGTAGTTATATCTAGACTAAGATTTAATCCCCACTGGTTTAAATAAGACATTATTTTTTTATTGGGTAAGGTAAATATAACAAGTATATGTCCATTGTTATATGAGTTAAAATGTGTAACATGTAATACTGTATTAAATAAAGAGAGAGAATAAAGGGTGAGAGAGGCTGGAGGGCATTTAGAAGGGATATTAGGGGCAAATGGAGAGAAGGTGTGGGGAAAGAGATTTTTTAATAAACACATGATGGTTTGGTAGAATTTAGGGTTTTATTGTTTTATTATTTATTTGTGTATTTATGTATTTTGTCCACAGACTAATGTAAACTTCACCAGATGCGGTTCTACATACTCCGCTACGGTAGGTGGCGCTACGCACTCTACCCGCCATAAACCCCTGAAGAAGAAGAAGAAGAAGAAGAAGATAGTTATTGAGTTTCTAGTTTGTTGTAGTAACAGATATTAATAATAATTTTAAAAAATAAATAAAAAACATAACATCTTATTTTCACTGCTTTTATTCCTCTTTAACCGGTTAAATAAAAAAAAAAATAAAAAAAGCACTTCCGCCGCCGTCGTTTTAACGCGTTGTTATGGCAACGCGTGAACCCGCTGTTTGTTGTTCAACTTCACGTTAGCTGGTTATTTAACACGTCTTAAGTCACCTTAAATTAAACAGCTGTCGTCGTACTCATGGCCCATTACAGAGTGAGTAAGTTGGTGCATACTTTCTGTAGCTGTTCGTCATTATTATTATTATTATTTAAACTGTTTTAACGTTGTGAAGCGTGGGGGCTAAATGACGAGCTAACGTTAGCGTCCTAGCAGCGGAGGCATTGAACGCACCTCGGGTCTAACAGTCTTCCTCTTTGTCGGGTTAGTTTTCTTTATTACGCATGTGGAAGTCAAACAGTTGTCTTGTGTTTCAGGCCTCAGAGTCGAAGCGGGAACAATTTAGAAGATATCTTGAAAAGTCTGGGGTCCTCGACACGATAACCAGCGGTACGTTACACAAACAATTAAAAGACATTATGCAGCATGTTAACGTTTTAATCCAGTTAAACCCAATAGTTCACTTACTTCTGCTGCTTCATCACCGTTTCGTCTCTCCTGCAGTTCTAGTGGCACTTTATGAAGAGACTGACAAACCTAACAATGCACTGGAGTATCCTTTTCACATGTTTGCAGCTTTTTAGAGCTTTTAGTGGGAATGATGATAAACAGGTGTTGGTTTGCCTTACATGAGGAGGGAGGACAAAACAAGATTGGATGGATTCTGTGTGTTTATTTAAAAGACATTAAAGGGATTCAGGGTTATTTTTGTAAACATAGCTTTTGAGTTTGGTCCATCGTGTACATCTGATGACATACATTGACAAAATAATATGAAGCTTTTTCATGCTTTAGTTGAACCTACAGGAGAAAAAGCTTTAACAACAATCCCTTGCTATTCTCCTTTGGGGTTTTAGCGGCAGCTTGCATCCTTGGTGTTTCATCTTCTGTAATTAGTTAACTCTTACAGTGTCCCCCTGTTGTCTTAAGAAAGCTGACACAGCTTTCACACTCCAGTATGTCCTTTTAAACTTGCTCCTGTTAGTTCGCTCTTTTCGTTCCCTCCTTCATGTCCTTTCTTTCTGTGATATATTTCTCTGCAGTACATGTTCTACTGTTTCTGTTGTTGTCAATGTTCAGGTTACTGTGTCATTACTACCTCCTGTTTCCTCCCGTCTCTCTCAATACCCGCTCTATTTTGTATTGCGTGTCCTCTGCTGCTTCTCCTTATTGATTTTCTCCCATGCGATCCCTTTTCCCTCTGATTTTGAATGTTGAATTGTTGAATTTAACAGCTTGCTCTCCGTTGCTCTCGTTTAAGAAAAGTAGGATAATTCTTGGAAGAATGTAATGTTGTTGCAGATTTATTGAGTAGCCAAAGAGGCAGTCCTGTCTCTGGTGTTTGACTCACCGGAGGTAAGATTGCACATTGCTCTGCGGGGGATATCGATCAGTTAATATAAAGCTCATTATTTCCCCTTTTAAAGCATTTTTAGTGTGTTTGTGTATGTCAACCATCCACCTGGGGAGATACGCCGCCATTCAGCTGCAACACAGGTTCTAAAATCTGTAACTTGGCCGGCATTTGTGGTGTCCTCATCTATTAGGAACAAATGTGTCATGGGGAAACGAGATTGAACATTGATTTCAAAGTGTGAATGATGAAACCCCCTGCTATATAATTGAATCCAGCCAACCAGGCTTCAGTTTATTGTACTTTAGTGTGTTGCTGTCACTCTATACATACGATACACTGGGCAGAAGACACAGGGAGCTTTAGGTTGAGTCAGAGGAGATGTTTTCTCACGGGAATGTCCTTAAGCAACAAACCTTTTCTTTACATGAATGGCCCCAGAAAGCTACAAGTCACTGTTATTGGATAGTAGCTTGACCCACGTGGATTCCTTCAAATTAAAGACGTCTGTAGACTGAATATCGAGAGCACACGTTGACCTTAACCACCTGCACAGTTTCATAAAGCTTCACCTCGGTGCGGCTGGTCCAGAGCCGGCAGACGTTGAGACTCTTCGCATGGAGCTGGCTGATCTACAACAGAAATGCAACCTGCTCATGGAGGAGAATAAAGAGCTGAGAAACAGGGTGAGAAGCTTGGAATATGTCTAAATGTACAGATAACAATGCAACCGTGTGTTTTAAGTCTGTTGCTCTTACTGTAACCTTTAACCTCTGTCTTAATATCATTTTCCAGCTGATGCAGTACGAACAATCGCCTGATAATGGAGCAGCAGAGTGAAGATCTGTTGTTGCTTTCTGGGGTAAAAAAAGAAAAGAAAAACATTAAACAATATCGCTTTTTGAAGAATATGTATATGTTTATTACATAATAGTGGATGTACGGTGACCACAGAATATTTTTTGTTAACATTTTGCTTTGTCATCAATAAAAATGTTTGGTTTTTTTTAGCATTGGGCAGCAGTCATTCTCTTCATTTCCTAAACTGACTACTGGTTCCTGTTTCTGAAATAAATGCATTAAAATAATAATTACTACATTATTTTTTTCGAATGGTCTTTAATTGATATCAACTGCATGAATGAGTATCATCAAGTAGAAAATACATTTTCATACAAAACCAAAGCAATAATTCAGAGATTGCTGCTTGTTTACCTGATGGGAAAATAAAGTCTGATAGATGACGACACATTAAAGACATTTTTATTCATGTCACCCGACCAACGCAAAGATATTCAACACTCATTTTGCAGAACTGGGGTTTATTTTTACATTTGTTGTTCCTGCTGAAGGACTCTCAGACACGTTGGATTGAATCAGACAGTGTCACCGGTTGCATAACACCACTATGCGACCTAAAACAACGTTATAGATTAGTTGTCCATTTTTCCATTGCCCCTCTAATCAGTCAGACAGAGCTGCCGCATACAAACAAATCATTAAATGTCCATCTGAATCTCTGTGGCAGATCTGGAAATGTGAGGAAACGACAGAATCCATTGTGGTCAAAGTCTGAAGAGCAGAATGTCATTATGCTTTCTAAGTTCTTGTTAAATGTTCTTCATCTTCATAGCAATGGGTAACAAAGGCTTGTTTGTGCTTGTTTTAATGTCTTTTAAAGAACATCAAATGTGTGAAAAGTGCAGTAATATAGTGTTCACATAACCTTCACCCAAACATGGCTTATTTAGAGTATCTGTTGCCATGTTGGTGAGCAGACAGTCATTGTTTTATATCTGCAGATCAGTTGGAGCTCGTCTGCTGCTGGCACTGCTCGCCGCTGACACTCGGCGGTTTGGAGAAGAAGCGGTGGGACTGTTACTCTCACGGCTGTGTCGAGACACAGAGCTCAGCTCCCCTGCAGAGTCCGGGCTCTGGGACCTGCTCGGCCTCTTAATGTCTGATTTAGGGAGCATCCTCGCTCGGGGGCCGACACAGCTGCTACGTAGCTTCATGCTGTTGTTCCCGGGGTAGGAATCCCCGCTGTCTGAGCCGTTCCCCTCCACCAGAGTGGAGCAGTTCCACGGTGGACTGACCCTCCGTGTCTTCCTGGCAATGCCTGACAGCGTTGTGCAGGAGGAGGTGTCTGCTACGGGGAGGGTGGGATACTCGGAGTTGGGACACTCCATGTCCTCATGATGGGGCGAAGATTGTTCCTCTGGCTCATCCTGTTTGTCTGCAGGAGGAGAACGTGTCTCGCTGCTTGTGTTGTTGGAGTTGCTGTTTTGCTCCGTGGGGCTCGGCACTCCCTCCTTGCCGTCCTTGTGGCTGTCTGGCTTTGCACCAGGGTCCCCTTGTATTGGGACGAAGGCAGAGGACGCATTGAGAAGAGGGTAGGTAGGTCCATTGCCCTGCTTCTCCAACAGTAATGTGTACCCACATGGTGCTGTGGGAATAGTAGTCTTACGACCCACAGACGTGCCCATGCAAACCTGATGCACAACCGAGTTCTTTTTTGACTTGTTGAGGTAATAATCATCGAGGTCGTCCTTCAGGTGTGGGTAATAGTCCAGGATGCCCTTCTTAATCTTCTTGAACCCCAGGTGCATGATCTCAAGAAGGCTGAGGAAGAGGGAGATGCAGGCAATCGCTTGCATGAACATCATGAAAACCGTTTTCTCGGTGGGCCTGGAGACGAAGCAGTCCACCACGTTCGGGCACGGCTCCCTTTCACACTTGTAAAGAGGGCTCAGGTGGTGTCCGTAGAGGATGTACTGACCCATCATGAAGCTGACCTCCACCACTGAGCGAGTGACAATGTTGGCCACATACGTACACAACAGCGAGCCCCTCAGCGGTGCTTTGTTGAGCTTCCCTTGCTCCAGCTGCCTCATCTCCTTTTCAATCCTTCTCCTCACCTCCACCAGCTCCGCGTCCACCGCCTCCATCTCGCGACGGAGGGCCACCTTCTTGCAGTGCCGCTCCTTCTCCAGAGCTCGCAGCTGGTAGATGGCGTGACCCATGTACACCAGGGAGGGCGAAGACACAAAAATCACCTGTAGCACCCAGTAGCGGATGAGGGAGATGGGGAAGGCCTGGTCGTAGCACACGTTGCGGCAGCCGGGCTGCTCGGTGTTGCAGATGAAGTCCGACTGCTCGTCGTTCCACACGTCCTCCGCTGCGACGCCCAGCACCAACATCCGGAATATGAACAGGATGGTCAGCCAGATCTTGCCGACCATGGTGGAGTGGATATGCACCTCCTCCAAGATCCCTCCGAGGAAGTTCCAGTCTCCCATTTTTTTACATTAGCAGTGCTATAATGATAGAAAGTCATGATTTGTTAATACAGTCCGACTGATAACCGGATTTTTGAGGCCAATACTGATGTTGATATTTGGGTTCGTTTAAAAAATCCAATAATGATACATCAGCTGTTTGTAATTAGACAAATAATTTTGAAACAGATCACAAATCTCAGTTGAAAACATGAAACATGGAAGTCTGCAAACGTGGAAATAAATGACTTCCTTAAGATGCCTCATTAGGTTTGTAGCCCGACTAATACGGAAGTTTTGAGGCTGATACTGATATTCATATTTGAGAGTTTAAAAAATCCAATAACAATACATTTTAAACTTCCCTAGATTAGTTTTTCATTTTTAAGAATTATGACCAGGTACAGTTTTGAAGTAACTTTACTTTCTTTTATTTCCATTTTATGCCACTGCATTTCTGAGGGAAATATTGTACTTGGTATTGCACTAATAGTTTTATTTTAAATTCTCTTTACAGCTGGAGTTAAACACCAGTTTTCAGATAAAGATTTTATACAGTAAAAGTAGTTTTTAAGATGAAACATTCCTAATAACCAAACTACCCAACAGAATATATAAAGTAGCTCCACTTCTAGTTCTAGTCTGATGGTATTAAACTGCATTAGGTATTTTAAAGTGCTCTCATCACACAGTGGTAAGTTAAGTCAACATTTAGCAACATCTTAATAAAACGCCTTCAAAAATATTGGCAAAAGTGTCAATTGGTAATCATTAGACACCACAAATCATGTCAAACAATCAAATAGAGATCAATAATTGTGATCCATGATGTTACCTTAAGAGAATTATTCAAAACTAAGTGTTTCCTACAACAAATTAAAGTAAACGTCGCTCTAAAGCTGAAATGTTCGGTTCACTATAATCAGTCAAAACTACACAACTCTCAAAGATGTCATATATTTATTTAAAAAAATATTCAACTTACCTTCATCTTGGATATGAAATGTATCAATAAAGGGTTTGTACAATGATGCTGCTGATGCTGGTGAACACAATCCTACAAGCCCATCTTTAATCTTCTTTATCCTCTCGTTATAAAGGTCAAATGTTCACACCGGGAGAGATTTCAGTCTCCACTGTTGGTGAAAACTGGACAAATGACCCCTGCGAGCTCTAGCTGTTCACAACTTATAGCCTACGAAAGACAAAAACAATCAATACTGTCGCAATGCTCTGCTGCCATTTACCTCGCAGCAGTGGGAATGGACTGACTGTCAGTTCCTGCGAGTCATTAGGGGTGAAATGTGCTGAAAATATTCAATCATTTGACGCCTATTTCTAGTTGACAGTTCACACAGGACAGAAGTGGTGCACTGGGTTGGCGCCGCTGATCTCAGAGTGACCTGAAGGTGGATTACAACCCTCAACTATAAAGTGCTTCTGGAGTGGATCAATATCCTGATGTCTTACTGAATGATCGGTTAAACTAGAAAGTGTCCTGTATTCATTTACAACAGCAAGATATTGAGCAGCATCTCTGTTACCTAACGAAGGGTCGGTCGGCCTGACACCAATCTCTGGTGGGAATACAACCCCAAGTTAATTCGGTCAATTAAAGTTATACAACTTAATACACGGGTAAATAAATAAATTAAGGTTAGTTATATTGATCAAAAAGGTGTAGAAATATATACAGAATATGTATTTTTATACAAACAAAATTCATATACACACCAGTATTCATACTTCTGTTTTATATTTGTCAATTCCTATTTTTTAATATGTTTTAAAATCTATTTAGTGTATTTAAAATGTTAGTTTCCTTTTCAAAATGATTCCACAAGTTAAATCTTTAAACATTTTTTGTTTTGCATTTTTTATATAGAAACAAAATCTCTGCACAGCTGAATGTGTGACTGATGCATCAGAGGAAGGTACAACTTGAAAACAATGAGGGTAAATGGGCAGCATACACACACACACACACACACACACACACACACACACACACACACACGTAGCTGCCTTTTTAGGTAAATATTTAATGCATGATTTAAATGTAATGTTCTTTTTTAAACTGAAACATGTATAAAGAAACATACAGAGATTTGTTTCCTCTCCTCCTATTATGTTATTTTGTATTCTGTTTATATCAATATTGTTGTAAAATATTAAATACAGAACAATTATGCTGTTTCCACCAATATAGAAAGATTATAAAAAAACAAATTGAAACGTGTGAATGGATTTTATGTTTGATAACACTGTAGTATGTCTGCTCTTACATTGACTTATTCTCTAGCTGTGGGATGTTGCTCAAGATTAATGGGAATTATTGCCTTATGTTTTTTGTGTATTAGTGCTATTGTCTGACTGATGAAGGTCATATAAACCCTCATTGTTTCGCATTTGTTCTACTCTTTGTTTCTGTAAATATAATAATTCCTCTTTGTTCATGCTGACTTTAATTTAAAAAAATGGATACAATCTGGAAGCATCTTACTTTTTTACTTTATACATATATTGTCCACAAAATCTCTAAATTTGAGAGCATGTGAGGTTATACAAATGACATTAATTGGTTCATTATAATAATCGGTTTACAATTGGATTTATGATTTGTTGTACATCCCAACACAACAGCTAATAATCTACTGTAACTTTACAGGTAATCACATACATACAGTATATACAACGTCTCCTTGGTTCAGTCTGTATTTACAACCAACCTCTTACTTAAGCTCACCTCCATGCTGCCACTGTTTAATCAATGTTATTTTATTTCCAATACGGGGATCAATGGGGCACGTCCGATTTCATACATGGCTGCTTCTTCACTGTGAATCTAATTTAAGTTGTTCCTCCCAGCTACTGATCCATTAAAAGGAAATCAATGACTGTGGCTGGACTGACAAAGTGCTGGTCTGTTTTCCATACAGATGATTCCACTCTCATAATAATAAAAACACCTATTTAATATCAGGGTGTTGGGGGGGGGGTACTCTCTGAATTACTTTCTCCTTTTTGTCTCTTTAGATTCTGTCTCCTCAATAAATCAATCATCTTCAGCTGCATTTACAATCAGAGTTTACAAACTGAAGTCACACACCGATTCCTTATACTGAATGTTAACCATTTATTACTCAAAATAACAGTTTCTTCCTACTAAAGATAGAAGATTAGGAGAATAAAACATGCAGTGACGAGATTCATCCTGAAAAACCATCAACAAACAGTCTCGGAAACACTGGTGAGAAACTTTTTTTTTTTCGTTCCTCCTCTCAGAACTGAAATTTCGGATAAATGTTCCAAAAATAAAATACCTCTTTAAAAGGTTTATAATCTTACAGAAAACATCACAAAATAAAAACAGATTAATGTACATTTTTAAACAGTTTGTGGTTAAGGTCACTGGTCGACAATATTCTAACACTTTTAAGGACCACGGCAGAGTTTCTGTGCATTTTAGCTAAAACTCAAATACTTTACACCACTGCTGACCCGTTTCCAGCACAGACCTCATCTGTTACAGGTTGTAAATGTTTCTCTTCCAGACACGGATTCATTTTCTAAGTATGAAAACCACCGACTGGAGCGACTTAAAACTTGAATGTCAAGTCTGCTGTCATTTCTCTCAGTCACGTTATTGTTGCAGGGTAATGCAGTGCACTTTTTAATTAGGACTTTGACAACATAAGCTGATGATTATCTCAATAATGCTCACTGACAGATTATCTCAAGCAAATTTTAAGATTTAAATAAATTAAAATAATAATAATCATATAGTAAAAATAAATGGACACGTGGCTGGAAGAAGGGAGAAGTTGTGGAAACAGGTCAGCAGTAAAGTAAAAAGTATGTGATTTATTATAAATGTGATAAAACACGCAGAAACGCTGGTTTGATTCATCGACAGACTGATTTCCTTTTAAAATACTGAAAGCTCTTTTTTTTTTGCAAAAATGGGTGCATAGGGTTTAGAGAACAAAATTATCAGTAAATGTTTATAAAAAACACATTTATTCCTGGTCGACTACCACTGAACACAGACTGTTTCATATTCCTATCAGGAAATCTTACCAAAACAATTCTTTATAAAACCAAGCGAAGGACCAGCATTGTTCTTAAAATGGAGCCGAGAAAAAACAAGCTTTCTACAAATGCTTCAGTGGACGTTACATTCATGTCAAAACAAACAAACCTTTCCTTGACAAATGACCAACTCCGGTCCATCTGACAGAATGACAGATAAGAGTGGGGGAGGGAAGGGGGCAGATACTTTTCTAGCGTCCTCCTGACTTGCGTCCGGCCCAGGATCGGGACCGAGAACGTGAACGGGAGCGTGATCTTGATGCGGACCGGGACCTGGAGCGGGACGGGGAGTGTGTCCGTCGCACTTCTTCCTCGGTGTAATGGGAAGTTGACGCCGGGTTGACGTTTTCTCGCGGAGATGCAGATTTGGAGCGCGATCGAGATCTCCCTCTGGACTCTCTCCGAGGCCTCTGCCTGTATCTGACAATGAGACAAGTAGCTGTAAAAACCTGCAGACCATCCGGACACTTCTGTGATTATCAAACATCTGGGGACTCAACATAACCCTCACATAGAATTCAGCGTGGCGGAGACGTTCTTCAGCAGTAACTTTTATAAAGTCGCCCAAAAAACACAACTTGTGTTCAGGATTCTGTCGCGTGTGAAGGAGGTTTGATGTTAATGATAGAAACCAACGTGGTACCGATGATGTGTTCACTCTTGCTTTACCTGGTAAAAATAAACAATGAATCTGCACCAGAGAGCGTCTGTTTCTGTGTGTCTGTGTCAGACTGTACAGGAGGTGCAGAGCGAGCAGAGATTGTCCTCTGGCTAATCGATTGCAGGTACTTTTAATGTGACTGAGAGATGCTTTGCTGCCAGAGTCAAGGTAATTAATGGGAAACACTAGAATTGGCCTTTTACATCTACAGAGGAAACAGGTCCTCTGGCCTTTTGTGTTCTTTGTGAGTTTTGCAGCCAACATAGTTTCTCCTAAACGCTTACAAGGTCGAGCTGTATTCAGCTGGTTGCCATCACCGACTTCACAGCTGGAAGCCACTGAATCCTTCACACTGGTGCTTTAATTATCCAACAATTTAACAATAAATCTGCCTCTCTAAGCGTCCGTATAAAGCTACACAATGTGACCTGGGTCAGACGTTACCATGACGAAGGCAGAAAGAGAGTAACAAACAGTGTCAAAGAGAGGTTGTACCTGTCATCCTCGCGGCTCCTGCTTCTTCCTCTCCCATACACCCGTCCACGAGAGCTGAAGAAAGAAACCAAAACGTTATCTTCCCTTTTAAAGAAACATTTAAGTACAACTGTGTGAAGAGTAAGTCGGCACTGACAGGTCTCTGAAAGAAAAACTCACTCTCGAGGACTCTCTGATCGTCTGCGATGGCGATCGTAAGACGGGCTGCGTGATCTGTATCTGTCGTAGCTGCGGCTGCGTGAACGTCTGCGCCGGCTGTCTCTGTCGTAGTCATCGTATCGAGACGATCTGCCTGGAGATCGCCTCTCCTTCGATTTCATCTGGTTTGGTGCTGGTGTGAACAACAGTGATGGGAAACATATTAACACAGAGTAGAAATAAATAAAAATAAAGCACAAAACATTCATAAGAGTGAGAGTTTGTGTGGAACTGAACTGGAAACTCCTCAGCAAGAGTTAAGTGCTTTCTCCCATCAGCCCTACAGAGTACAACCAGACAGCCTCCTCTATACATTACAGTTAGCACAATGGTGTATGAGGAAGTGGCTGCAGTCAATATTTGCATGACAAGATAAACATACACTGAATCACAGAGGGAGCAATCTGATGCAGCACTGTTTGTGGAACTAATAACTCCACTCAAAACTGAGAAAGGCCTTAGAGGGTTCGGCTTCTGGTCGCACACCAACCAGCAAGTATTTCCCCTTTGACAGGAATCGCCTGCTGTTTTTATCTTTTATTTTGCTACCACGTCACTGTGCTGTTATTGTTCAACTCAGTCACTTGGATCATGAACCCCGTCCTGTCCACTGCTTCATCTGACCGCCGGTGTAGCTGTATATATTCTGGCAGCACAAAATCAATATATTACTGACGCTCCTCCACTTCAGTGCTGCCTAGTGTGTGCTTCTTCTGTGCTGCCAACAGTACACTGCTCCCTCATACACACAATCCAGGTACCGATGTATGATTTAAAATGACGCTGAAGTTTTAACACTTACTCTTCCGGTCACCCTGGGCAAACTGGATTTCAATCTGCCGGCCACAAACCCACTTCCTGTCCAGACTGTGAAGAGCATCTTCTGCATCGCGCACATCTTCAAATATGCTGAGTGGTTAAGGTTTTTGTTTGCACTCATTTTTTGGAAAAGGCCACACAAATTCAAATAAATGTTTTGAGTGTTTTTTTTATTTCATTTTTCTCTTAGGGTGAAGGGAACAAAGGAAAACACTATTTCCCTTCACATCAAATATAAATTCCACTGTACTTTCATAGAAGTTCATTTTTCTTTAATAGCACACTGTAGTTTACATTTATGGTAAGAGGGATACAGAGCATACATCAAACATTTTCTTTCATCTGTGTGGCCTTATTTAAAAGGTAAAACAGACACAAATGATGTATTACTTAATATGATATAACAAATGAGAATAACAACAAACACACTCAGTAGATTTTTGTAGAGATAAAAGATGAAGCAAGCTTTTCAAACACAAAATAATTGTCTTGAGGGATCAGGACTACAAATATAAATATATATATATCTAAACAAATCAAATACATTAATAGTTGATTAAATTGCTTTGATTAAAATTAAAACGTCATTGATATCACAGGGAAACGCTGATTTTGTTGTCATGTCAAATTTGTGGATTTGTCTTGGGAGGATACAAAATAATTCAGACTTGTTACCTTTGCCCATGCTTGACTTTGAACTTCATCTTGATCTTTACACTCTTTAATCGACTCCCACAGAGACTTGGATTTCCTGCTTGCCTTTTTCCTCTTAAACCTCTTTTTCTTTTCCCAATTCTTTGCCGCCATATCCAAGCTTTGTCTCCGTTCCCTTTTCCTCTTCATGCTTTACTTTCTTTTTTCAACCTTTTTCCCTCCCTCTGATCCTGAAGGTCTGTGTGACTTGTCTTTACAGCTACTCTATATGGGGTCTTTGTTACTCTTTGTGGCCGCTTCCACAACTGGATGCTTTTACATTTTCTGAAGCAATAACAGAGAAATATGTGTGTTAGATATTCAATCAAATGATGTGCAAGGAAAAAATAATACGTCACAAAAAAAAAGCATATCTTCTCTGCTGAAAGGAAATTAAAAAATCTGTTAGCAAGAGACACAAACACAGTAAAAAATAAATTCATTGGGAAAGGATATTGAATGTATGCAAATCCTCTTGGTTGACGTGTATAGAAGTCAAGTGGGATGTAGACATCTACTATCGGCCCATAGCGGCCAAACTCACGCCGCAAATCCTCAGGCCTGAACACCGTAAATACAAGTATGACTCAACTGACCATCACGGGCAACTCTACCTACATCATCAACCAGTAAGAACAGCTGGGAGAGGAGCTGACGAGAGGGCTAAAGGGACAGTTCACCCCAAAACGCAGTGCGACTTATTTGACCTCTTCTAACCTGACAACCCGCCCCTCCTGTCACACATTTTCTTTTTCTGTTATTTGCTCAAGTTCGACAGAAGCTCGAGCACAATTTTTATTCTAAGAAGGTTGTATTTTATTTTGCAAATAATCCTGATGTTGTTTTGGGGTAAACTGGCCCTTTTTTTTAAGATTATAAGACTATTTTAGTTTAACATGCAATTCAATGTAAAAAACCCCACTAACAAGTCTATAGCTCATATAAGCAGATGCAGCACTGTTGCCCCCATTTTGTTAGATTCAGATGTTCAAGTAAAACTTTACAGCAAATAAAAAACGAGTTGTGTTTAGAGTGCATGGGTCAATATGTTACCATGACGACGAGAAACATATCAATTAACACCAACATGCTTTTTCCCCCCCAAAATTCATACACACACTGTAGGCTGGGTAGTAATTGATGATATGCAATCAGATTATGATAAAGTGACTGTAGTCAGACCAACTTAGATCATTTTAATTTTTTTTTGTTTGGAAAAAAAGTTTATGAGAGTCAGAGAATTTCCAAATTAGAGAAAAGAGCACCGAACTGTTGGAATATGAATTGGAATATATATTTTACATAACCTAAATGTAAATTCCTGTTTTAAGTACTCCTTACCTTCTCTGTGACTTTGTTTATTTTTACCTGTATGCACCACAACACCAAGGGCACTTGGCATTTAACCTGATTCTGATCCATTTTGTCCTGTTTCCCTCGACTGTAAATTGTCTAACAACTAATAATCAAAACTAATCTTAAAAGTATTATTGTTACTAATTTAGCTGGACTAGTGAATTAGATTGGTAATAATATCTGTGTTCTTTGTATTTAGACGTATTCTTCTGACCCAAATCAAGTAATGTAGTTTTATACAACACATTTGTAAACAGGAACCAGTTATTAGTGTCTTTTTCTCATATTTTTATTTTTTAAAGTCACAATATCTTTATAATCTCAATGTTACATTAACTGTTGCTTTTACTGACTTATTGTAGTAACATTACTTTATCCATCACTGATGTAATTTAACTCTTGTGTAAAGACTTTTAAGTTTTTCTGATGACGTTAAAGTTCATAAACGTTCATGGGACCAAGTGATGAATGAGGTTTCAAAAGCTTTTCTAACGTTAACCCATTCAAAAGGTGTTGCTTCACTTTTATTAAACCCACACCTGAACAGGTAATGTTCGCTGTCAGATAACTAACGCTACACATTAAACCAGTGGTTCCCAACCTGGTTCTCGAGAGGCCTTCTTGATCTTAAGACATATTTCATGGATATTTCATATTAGATTCAAAACTGTACAATGAACTACGAGTGAGTGAACTTTTTATACAACTCTCTGTCTGTATTATGTATTTTATAACTTGTTAACAATCATACAGATTTAATCGGCTTCTTTTTTAACAAATCCAGTGTTTTCTTGTTCCTGACTCTGGGCCATTGTTCTATTAGACAATTTTTATATCAGGGCTGCAGCTATCGATTAATTAAGTAATCAAGTATTCTATCGATTAATCGGATAACAAATACTTTTGCTTTATTTAAAAGTAACAATAGAGCAGCGGTTCCCAACCGGGGGGTCGGGACCCCAATTAGTGGACGCCAAAGCTTCACAGTGGGTGGCAAAGGCCTTCTTGAGTTTAAGAAATAAACACAGTAGGCTTATATCTCAGCACTTTGTTTATTTCTGTGAAGAAAACTACCACTTCTGTTCTGTATGAAGACAATGACCAAGCATCGGATCAGAATAAACACTGAATGTGTCGAAACAAAAAGCCTATTAAAGTAGTTAAAATGGTTAAAAATAGAAACATTAATTATATATTGTGTATAAAGTTCTGTTATGACTTCCTGCAGTTGTTGTGTTGTCACTGTTTATGTTCACTACTATTGTTGTTATTATTATTATTATAATATTGAATATACACTGGAGCACTGCAGTAAACAGTTAATTAAAACATAATCAACCTCAGCTAATTAAACAATAACAGGGAGCTTTAATAAAAGTTAACAACAGGTTAACTTTAATAATAACGGAGACTACCGCTGAACTAACGTTAGTTAGACTCGTTAAAGATAAAATAGACTAAATTAAATTAATTAAAAACATCTTTTACCTGAAAATCACCAACACATTAAATAAAGAACGAGTTATTTGTTTACTTATAAACAATAAAACGTGCAGCTGTCAACGTGCAAACAAAGAGTGACTTACTTTAACTAACACATGAAATAAATATAATATATTATTATAAATTATAATTATAACAGTTAATATTTAACGTGGGGCTCTGACGACGAGGCTAACCCTAAGCTAAAGCAGCTAGCCGCCGCTAATGTGAGCATTATTATGGGATGTAATCGCGGCCGGACTCACCTGGACTCATCGGAGATGTTCCTGACAAACAAAGACGTGTTTGGAGGCCTCATGTATCTGTCCATACAGCGACAAACACAGCGGGGGGAGTTGTTTTTGTTGTTGTTGTTTTTTTTTTTTGGTGGAAAAGGAAAAAAGCTGCAGTGAAAATATGTGAAGCGCATGCGCACTCACAGTGGGTTCTGGTTCTTCTTCTCTGGTTTAATGGTGGGTCGTAAAGCAACGTGTTTCAGGCGCATACCGCCACCTACTGTACCGGACGGTGTAACGCCAGGGCTGACACAGGTTATACAAATAAATAAATAAATACAAATAAATAAATAAATACAAATAAATAAATAAATACAAATAAATAAATAAATACAAATAAATAAAGTATATCTTATGACACTGGTTCCTAACATTTTTCCATGAGAGACCCCTTTTCTACCATTAAGTACATTGATAACCCCTTACTACATATTTTATGGATATTTCATATTATATTAAATGCATACAAAATAAATAGAAGAACTGATAAACTGTACAATGAACCCAGACAGTGAACACAAAAACTGCAGGAAGTTTGTGTAAAACGAGCAATTTGGATGAATTTTAAACAGATTATTTCCCGTGAATATTACATCAGAGGCGAGTTCCTCGTAGTTTTGGGACATGTTTATATAATTCTCTGTCGGTATTATCTTTTTAAGTTTTTAACAACCAAACATACTATCTAAGAAAACTGAGATATATGAACCAGTGTCCTACGATCTAATCCTTGCAACATTCCCTACTTTTTTCTCTCATCCCTAAAATCCCTCACACGTTCCAAGCCCGCCTTAACTCATATCTTATTATGTAAGCTCACCTTTTTAAGGAACATCCCATTTATCTCAGATGCACTTTGACATGAAATAAATGTTTGATTTTAATCCAGTATGTCCTAATCGTAGGACACCACCTGCAGCTGTGGCAGAAACAGAGAGTGGACTGAATAAAAAACAAACAAGTTGGTTTATTTAATCATTAAAATTTATTCAGAAATATATTAAGTGTTTTTTATTGTGTTATTTCCATCTTGAAGCTGAGAAGGTTTAAAGCTGCAGTAGGTAACTTTTATAAAAATCAACATTTTGTCATATTTGCTGAAACAAAAAGAATCCACTGGACCTGATTGAAAACAACCAAGCACAGGAAGAACCCAGAAGAACCCAGAAGAACCTGATTCCTTCACAGATTATCACTCTCTTGAACTTCTGTCGGTATGTAGAAAAAGTTTCAGCAAGTGTGACAACAGTTATATTTTTTTACAAAACCTACCTCCTGCAGCTTTAAGAGGAATCCAGTGGCTGCCAGGATCAAACTCGTTTGCTTCTGCTGATGAAAGTCACAGCGCCAGCAGTGACAGTCTGGAGGAAGCAGAAAGACAACATGGCTGTTTCACATAAAAAGAACTTTCTTCCAAACACTCGTCTTTATAGCAGTTCTTACAAGAATTAACGCCACTGACCTCGACCATCTCGTCCCCTTGGATCTCTCGGACAGAGGTGAACTTGTCGGTCACAGCAATCAGCTTCCCATTCTCCTCTCTGACGGTGCACTGCTCAAGACCAAAAACATTTCATGGGGCAGTGGTTCTCAAACTTATAAATAATGCCTCCTGTGCATAAATCAAACACATTTTCTAACAACCAATAACAAATTAAAAATGCTATTTAAATCATTTAAAACTGCCAGAAGTTTGAGACATCAAAGACACAAATCTCTCCTGCTATACTGAGAAAGATTGTCATATTTAAGTTATGACTGACATTTCTTCAATGAGAATCATGTTTTTTTTCTTTCCTGTCAAACATTCACCCCAAAGATAATCATTGTTTAAATATCATTGTATCTAAATATTCTGCAAACAGGAATGTTGATTGACTTCATCAAAGGAAACCTTGTTTCTTCATGAATCATATTCTTACAATGTTTCATGCATGGGGCAGTGCTGAGGGAGATATCTGCATCATTTACAACAAGCTCTTAACCAGACTCACTGTAATCTGCTGACTGAAGCCTGCGCAGACTCCTGAACGGAGAATGTTGACATCCTCAGCTCACAAACTAACATACAAAACTGTCACGTCTTCACTTCTGTGCTCTTTTATGCACAAAGAGTTTGAGGCTTTACCTTGAACTTCCTGCCATCCACAGCAGTGATCTCCGACTCCTTTCCGATGCTGAACGAGTGGACTTTGGTGCAGACGGGAGTCTTCATTGTGTAGGTGAAGTCTTTGCCGTTCTGCTCAATCACCAGCACCGGTTTGACCTCCTTTCGCATTTTGACAATCATTTGAGGTGCACCTTAAAGACATATTTTTAAAAATTAGAAGTATGATGTATATGTAGGTAAATTAATTCTTTAAATATGAAAATATTCTTACCGACTACTTTAAGGAAATCCTCAAGGTTTTCCTCAGAATAAACCTTCCAAGTGCCGCTGAAGTCCATACCTGCTGGTCGTGTCGCTTGCCTGAGGATGTTTGTTGTTCTTGTTGTCATAATGCCATCACACACACTGCTGGTTGGCAGGTTGGGGACTTTAAATTCCCTGTTATTTGGACTGGAATTTCCAGTGAGAGCCATAATGGGGCTGAATATGTAAGTCCTCATTCACAAGCTGTGGTGTACCATCTTTACAGACTGGAGCAACAGATGTTAAGTTATGTGTTCATGATACAGCAGATACCAGGAGAGTGCATGTGAAGACGCACAAACAAAATCACTGCATATTAAACACTTGACTTAGGCAATGACATACCTTTATTTCAGACAAGAATTAAAGCTTTCCTTCTTTTTTTTTTTTTACAGATATTTAAGATGACTTTTTTTTCCCTCTCTATATAAAAATACTTCAACTGGCAAACACACAGAAAGAAAATACATTTTAAGGCAAACATGTGCAGGCAGAAAACCCTCAGGCAGTTCAGTGCTGTTAAGTGCAGATATGAAAAGGCGATACACTTGTTTAACCTCCCAATCAAAAGGTCTCAAAGCATGCTCAGTTACAAGTAACACAGACACGTAGAGCTTCGTCACAAAAAAACGTCAACAAACTCGATTACTGCTGGAATGTTACTGAGGCTCTGCAGCACTTCCAAACACCATGAATAGAGCACACGTAGAGCACATTGTGGACAGAAACACTCATTTTCTTTCTGCAGAGGGCATCTCTTAATACTGTGCCATGTTGCAGTCCCTGAGAATAACATGGATCAGTCATGCAGCAACGTTAAATACAGTGCTAAGCTTGTTCACAGACACAAAACAAACATTTGCAGCTTATTCTTGAGTTTTTTTACGATATTTTAACCTTCTTGGATCACCAGATTTGTGCTTTCTAATTCACCAGGACACTTTTAGCCGTGCAAAACATGTTCTAGTTATACCCTCTTGTAATTTTGTTATAGTTAATGATATAGCCCGATCGATATTTTTGAGGCAGATTCCGATACTGATATTCAACATTTACATTTAAAAAGGCCAAAAGGCACCAGTGTACTTCTTCAGGACTGTTTGTCAGACGTTCCCTCACCCGACGTCGCCTGACTTCTGGAAACTTTCCGACACTCACACACATTTCACGCTGTGATTCACCAGTTGTGAAGAGGTGACAAACCAAGTGAAACATTACGAATGTCTTTAAGGAGAGACTGTCTGAAAATGTGTGCCGTTATTTAAACTATCGGGTCTCCCCCTTCTCTATGACGACCAGCTTTTCATCCTCCTGGTGACGCCCAACAAATAAAAACACAGCTGCCTTTACTTCTAAAGCCATGCTAGTGGCTCTGTGAGGCTGTTTATAGGCCCAGCAGTTCTTAAGGTCCATCAGTCCACTAACACTAACCAGAGGGTAAAATGTTTACCATCACTGTCTTAGTTCAGGGTGTTTTTATGCTAACATTTGCTAATTAGCACTAAACACACAGTACAGCCGAGGCTGATGGGAACGCCACAACCTTTTCATTAATTTCATCCTAATAAAATTAAAAATTCATCATAACAGGCAATTATTGTGTGTATCAAATTATGTGGCAATTTATTCAATAGTTGTTGAGATACAGTGTTTGACCTCATGTTAGCGCTTGAAGTAAAGTCAGCGGATCATCAAAGTCCTTAAAAAAGGTCATTCTGTGTCTGCCAATAGATCCTCCTAAATGTTACACACCGGACCTTTAAGATACATCCTCTGGGGACTGTGAGTGAGACCGCCACTAGCATGGCTAAAAACAAACTTGTCTGAGCTCTCTGGAAGACAAACTTTGCGTTGTGGACCCTGTTTCTAAATCCCCTAAAACATATCTTTGGTATTTCTGCACAGCAGTTTCCTGTTGCTCATCAGCCGATATATCAGTGATAGGCTAATGTTGGTTTAAAGCTTTATTTTATTGATTCCTTATACTGTGCTTTTGAGGGGGGGTAACTCCGACCATGTGGTGCTTCAAGCTTAAATCAAGTGCTTTGTTTTTTTTTTTTTTTTTTACTATTTGAGGCAAGTCTGCTAGTTAAGACACACAATGCTGACACTTGGCTCACTTCAGGCTGTAATAAGATCCTGAAATAGCGAACAGTCAAAGGTGCATGCTTTGGCAATGTGTTACATGATAAAGCTCCTTTTGAATTTATGGGGAAAAAAATGCTGGAAAAAAGGAACAATTTGCATAATCTCATATCACAAAAACCTGAAAAAGAATAATACTTAAATGAATAAATACCAAGCTTTGCTACGACTCCAATTCATTCAGGGATCTCCGCTCATTAAACGCAACAGACCAGACGAGGAGATCATCCTCTGCTTCCAATGGGAATAATATGTGCTTCATTACGAGCGGAAGGAGCCGTCTCCCTCCTCCTCCTTGTTTGGACCAGGGTCACTAAGGCAGCGTGACAGTTTCAGTTGGTCTTGCTCCTCCTGCTCGTCTGGCACTTTGGCTCTCTGTGCGCCGCTCTGATTGGGCCTCTGGGGCGATTCGCTCAACAGGCTGACGGCATCAGGAGGGATGGGATTTGGCTGAACTGTCGGGCCTCTGGGGCTCTCACTGTCATCGTAAGTATAAACCTGGTGTTCTGGGATACAGATGCAGTTCGGTTTAGTGCTTTAAAAAGGTGGAGAACCTGCATTTAGTTTCTGTGCCGCTCGAATGTGGAACAAACTGCCAGAAGAACTAAGACTTGAAACAATGCCGACTACTTTCAAATCCAAGATACAGACCGACCTGTTTAAACATTCTTAAGTTTATTAGTTTGTTTATTTTTACTGTTTTTCCATTTGATTTCATACATTTTATAATTTTGTTTGCAACAAACATTTTGTAAACCACTTTGGGTTGCCATGGGTATGAAATGTGCTATATAAATACATTTTTAAATTTGCAAAATCATCACATTTTTGCGATGTTCTTCTTTTTCCTTTTAAATAAACACATAAAATTAAGGAGCCTTTTAAATGATCAAGATATGTACTGTTATTATCTCCTTTTTCCACTTTTTAATGATCCTTTCTGCATTATGTTCAGTCCCAGAAATATGTCGAATTAAAGAAAACATTGCTTCACTTTGAGTTTAAAGCAGCTTCATACGATAAGATATTTTTTACTGACCTGGTTCAAAGCAGACTTTTCTTACTGGCGTTGTTTCCTGCCGGTTTGCAGGAACGGTGAGGTAGTGACTCATCTGTGAATGAGACACAGATGTTAGTCAGGATGGACTTTATTTGATAGCCTAATGAATATCACAACTAACAATCATAATATTGAAACTGAAGATGTAAGTCAACATCTTAATTAGACTGAATTGCTGTTTAGTTTCACTTCATTCATTATATTTTAATCGTCTTAACCACAGTGAATGGAATTACAACCATGAAACAACTTAAAAAAAATAAGGTTCAAAGAATAAACTAGTCTCAGCACAAATAACTGCATCTGTTAATAAAGTTGGCTAATTTTATAAATCCTGTTGATCTTGTATTGTCACACAGCTCCAACATTCACAAACAGAATCACAGCCTCTGTTAAAAAAACTCACCCTCCTCTCCATCTCCACCCTCTGCCTCCTGAAGCGAACCTCACTCACGTTGTCCTCAAACGGGTCGATGAACAGGTCATGTCTGCTGTAGGAACGAAGCTGAGGACACACGGGACCATAAAGCGTCACAAACACATGTATTACTAAATCTTCTTCTTATCGACTAACTCCTCACTGCGATACCGACCCTTTGTCTGGTCTTCTGCAGGTTGCCTCGCAGAATCTTCCTGATCTCCTCCTCACGACTTTTCGAGATGCTCGGGATCGCCCGTCGTCTCGCCGGCCCTCTTGGCTGAATGTTTCTGTCCAGACACACACAAAATGTCACAAACAAAAGTATTCAATAAACAAATTCTGTTCCCCAAAGCACAGAACGAGCATTACCTATTTCTTTAAGGGATGATCTACACCAGTGGTTTACAACCCTATTGGCTTATTTAGAGTTATTTATTTACTTTATTTGCTTTTTAACACTATGGTGGCACCGAGAGATCAACACACTGAAACTTAAAGTGGCAAACTTGAATATTTTTCTTTGAATAAATGTCTGTTATGTCACTATCTATCGCAAAATGAGACAACACAGTGGAGATTGAGCATTAAAATATTAAAGAAAATAAATAAATGAATATTAATACTTTAATATTGGAGGACGTAATGGAGCAAGAAGTCACCCTTACTCTTAATATTAATAATTTATAAACTGTCAACACTTTTCATTGAGACGATTTCTTGTCCAAATGAAAACTCACAACCAGGACACTGCTAGTATTTTATCTAGTATTTGTGAGTCCTCTGGGCTTTCTGCAGCCCACTCCTCTAAGACTGATACTTACTGCATTGAGACAGATGACACAATCGTGGGCAGCTTGGCGGCGTTCCCGCTCTCCACCAGCATCATGGCCTGTTTCATCTCCATCTTGTTGTAGAAGGAGATGAGCTGAGGCTCGGTGGAGCGTTCGCCTGCGATCAGCCACTTCTTCACGTAGGTCTTATTGAAGCGGTTCAGCCTGAGTGCGGCAGAGAAATCTCTCATTAGTTGAGCTTTTTATGTTATTTTGTCTCTGTTCCTCAGTCTCACTGACCTTCACGCACACGCTAGAAGTGTTAAAAAGGTTACTTGGCATCCCACGACCAAGGTTGACGTATCACTACATGCATCCACTATTACTACGACTAAATTCAAATATTATTTAAGATGAAGGAATAGATCTGGTTCTCAAACGGTGGTATGTGGATCACTGGTGGTACACAAGTTGCTTCTCGTGGTATGCAGCGGAAGTGATTTTGTTTTAATATCAGCCAGTTACGTAGTCAATTATGAGCTAAAATGTGATTGCAAGATAATAAGAAGAGGTAAAATTAATAGTTCAAATGTCTCCAGACGGGAAGAGAAATGTGGACTAGGAGTATCTTGAATCACCTCCATTTAGGATTCAACAATAAAAAAAATCTTCTTTTTAGAAATAAACCTCTTTATCGTCGGTCACAATGATAGAGAGAGAGCCTGATATTTTCTGAGGTGGTGCGCAGTGTACAAAGTTTAAGAAACAGTGGAATAGAGGATTCAATGTCACTGGAGTTAATGTGAGTCAAGAAACTGGGTTTTTAACAGCAATGGGATTTTAATTTGGCGAAACTTCCTGTCACTCCGAAGCAGCAAACCTTTGCAGCAGCAGCAAGATGGGACAATTTGAAGTTTTCATTAGTTAATTTCCTCCCTATTATAGTTTTTTTAATTTACAATATATATCATTAGTAGGTATCCACATAAAACCATCACACACTTTTGTCCCCACTCATCATATAAAACTTACGAGGTGTACGAGGGGTGCTCTCTTAAAAAGGCAGTAAAAGGGAGGAGATAGAGGACATGCTGAGAAAATCATACTTGTCTTTCCAGTGATGATGTCCGTAATGACCACAGATGCATTCAATTCCTGTGAGGAGATGATCCAGGAACTGAAGACAGAACGAGTTTTTATATGCCGTTATTTAGTATCTAGTATGTTAGTTTCTAAACGATGAACAATAAAACAAAAATAGGAGTTTAAAAGAATGAAATCAACAGAAGTTTGATCTCTATTGATCTCACCTGTGTGTGAATCTCCTCATTAATTGATCCCTTGTTCTCCTTCTTCCTCTTCACTGCCAGAAGCTCCACCAGAGGCCTGATTGTCATTCCCTGAACACAGCAACAGGAGTGAGGATGTGTGGATGCATGAACTGTACATTGTATGATACATTGTGGTCGGATGAACAAATAACTTTAAAAAAGAAGCTGCAACATGCATATTTGTGCAAGTTGTTGCAAATCCAGTTAACGGCCAACAGAGGTCAGTAATAGTTACAAAATATGGAGGATCAAACCTGACAAAATTACATTTCTGGTTGCCTTTTTTTTTTTATTTCTTTAATTTATTTGTCTAATATGTTAATTACTATATTTTATTTCCCAAAAAGTCTTTAATCTAAAAACAATTAAACATTTCTCACCTGCACATAGACGGTGAAGAAGATGACTGTGATAATGGCGGTGAGGAACATGTACTTCATCTTACTGTTGGTCAGCAGGAACCCGAGTGAGAAGGCTATGGCACCTCGCAGGCCACCGTAGGCCACGATGAACTGGTCCTTCGGGGTCAACTTCACAATACGGAATTTATTGATTATGTATGTGAGGCCAAGGACTCCTGAAACACACAGAAACAGCATAATAGATTTTATATAGAAGAGGACAGGGAAGAGAGGAATTAATACAAATGAATACAGATGATAAAATAAATTATTAATTACAACTTTGCTAATGTCAGTATATTACCCTACGACTACCACTAGAAGTCACTCAGGCAGCATATTTTATTGCGTAAGGAAGCAATAATATTCATGGTCAACTACAACCATCCTTTAAATCTTTTTTTCTTGTTTCTTACAGTGAAAAGTTGTGAAAAAACAGCACAAAATGAAATGAAAAAAATGCAAGAATTAATAAAAACCCAGACAAAAGTCAGTATTTGACCACGTTTGGTTGCACTGACCCAGCACTCTCGATACCAGACAGAGGATCACGGTGGAAATGACGAAGGTCCAGTTCCAGGCGTGAGGACCGGCCACCGTGGAAACACCGAGGAAGATGAAGATGAGTGTCTCGCTCACACTGCTCCACATCTTCAGGAAATATTTGACGGTGGTGTACGACTTGTGGGAGATGTTGGCTTCCACGTATGGCCGCATCATCACGCCACAAGCTATTAACCTGAGACGGGAAGGAAAGAGAATGGATGAGCTTTCCAGCACAGATTAAGGTTTAATGAGGTTAGTTTCTGCAGGTTTTAAAGCTGCGTGAAACAATATCTCTACACAAAACTACCGTTACTAACCAAATCATAAAGAGTGGCTTCAATACAGCCGTCCAACCCTCTTCCTACTAATGGACACAATGTAAATCTGTTTGTTTTTTTCAAGTTAAATTAGGTTTTGGAAATCTGTCCAGTGTGATCACTTCTCCGCCAACAGCAGGAGTCTCAAACTGCTGACAGAAAGTGCAATAATAACAGTAACTAACTAACATTATACTTAATAAAACAGCAGTTTCAGTACATGTTTATATCATTTTTGTTCGCAGCCAGGCAACAAAGGCTGGCACCTTTGACCTTTGCCATTATTTTAATGTAATTTATGTTAATTGTATGTAAAGGTATAGATTAAATTGATATGAAATATCATAATTAATAAAAATCTTGTGGGCTGGATTATATTATATGTTTGACAATAGACAGAGGAGGATGCAGGGCCAGAAATGGCTCCCGACGTACAGAAATCTATTAAAAAAATAGTCTGACATGTGTCTGTTTGCGCCTCTAAAGCTCACAAATGGGCCGGTCGCAGTGACTTGTTGGAGTCAACAGATATAATGACATCTAACATGTTAATTAGTGAGCTTTAAAAGTGTAGGAAAGAGTTAGGCTAGCAGTTTCCCTCCACTTCTAGTCTTTATGCTATGCTAAGCTAATTGGCTGCACCTTAACATTCAGATTTAAGTGTCGTACAGATATTCCCCGTTTCTTTCTCCTCCCCAAAGAAGAAGCAAAGAAAAGCAGAGTTTCTTTTTGGACTGTGGTGAATCATTGACGGTGGCCCTTGATATGAAAGAGTTTGGGGACATTTATTCTTGTCCTGCTCCGCTTTGTTCAACAAGTATGTTAAAAATGGAGCGGAGCAGGTATATTCTTTCCTGAAGACGAATAACAAAACACCATACACTGAGAACGGACTTACGACATGATCCCTGACAGATGGAAGACCTCAGCAGAGAGGTAAGCCATGTAGCTGTAGAGGAAGACGAACAGGGGCTCGATGACTCGGGTGTGAGAGGTGAAGCGGGAAGTAAAGGCACCCAGAAGGCCGTAAATGGCTCCCACCAGGATGCCTCCCAGCGAAACCACGAAGAAACAGACCACACCGAGGAGGGCATCGACCACTGTCACTGTCCCTGCGTGGGAAAACTCCTCGAACAGGTGATACAGAACCTGCACAGGGAGAAACACACACTTCCTGAGTCCTTAATTATCTGTTTTGTGTTTAATTTAAAAGGTAAAATATGCGGACTTTATGCCTCTCAGACTTCTATATGTTATCTTTGTGAAGGAGGTTATGTTTATTAACAGGAAATCTCATAAATCGGGATCAAGATGCAGATCCAGGACTTTTGATTTTTTGGGGCATTTTTAAGAGAATTTTCTTTACTGCAACTTAAACTCAGTCACCAGTTTAGGAAGTTGGCTACATCTATCTAATTATACAGAGAGTGACAGAGTCTAAAACAGTTCAACCAAAACTAAACAAACCATTTTTCTTAATGGGCCCAACAGGGATATAAACAGTGCTTTAAATACAAAGATCCAAACAAAGACAGAGCTGGATTTTACACTGAACTTTTGACTCAATAATAATTTGTATGTATCCAAATGTTATCAAACATTTTGTATTTAGCTAAAAAGCTAAATATATAGACAGATATAATTATTTCTTTCCTTCCTGCCTTTGAAGCTTTTTAAAAAAGGGGCAGCTCACCACAAAATATAAAATCCATATTTTTACTCTTAACCTTAATGATGTGATGTGAGTTGCTGAGTTTTGAAGACATACTGTAGAGGTGTCTTCCTTCTCCTTGAATATAATCAAACTAGACACCAGAGCATCTCCAGCCTTCACTTCACTCACCACAGTGACGGCGTCGTTGAGAAGCGACTCCCCGAACACGAGGATGTGCAGCAGCTCGTTGATGTGGATCTCCTCGAACACGGCCAGGACGGCCACGGGGTCTACGGCCGAGATGATGGAGCCGAACAGCAGGCAGGACAACAGGTCGACGCTGGCCAGCTCGGCTCCTCTAATCTGACACACGCCGTACATCGTCCCACCAATGAAGAAGGCGTTCCACAGGGTCCCCACCACGGCAAACACCAGGATGGTGCCCATGTTCTCTGTGAAGGCCCGGATGGGCAGGAAGTAGCCGGCATCGAGGATGATGGGAGGCAGCAGGTAGAGGAAGAAGAGCTTGGAGTCGAGGATGGGGGCTTCCTCTCCGATGGCTTTGATGAAGCCGCCCACCAGCAGACCGACGAAGATCAGCAGACAACTCTCTGGGACGACGTTGGACACCGTGGGAATAATGTGAAAACCTGCAGAGGGACAAGATTAAGGTTTTTAACTTCATGCTACTGAAAACTTGATGCTTGCTCAAATGTATTTAAACTACTAAAAGTAAAAGTTGGGACGTAAGAGAAAGAAAAAACAAACAAACATGTGTTTCTTCTTGTTCCTACAGTATGCAACTTCTACAAGTGGAGAAACCTGAAGCTACCAGAGCACAAACACTGAGAATGGTAGTAGGAGACATCTTGTGTCCAGCCGGAAAACAATTTACATTTTCATAGTTTCTGTAATATTTATTGACTTAGAAGGATGCTTTTTTTTAAGGATATTAATGAGGTAATTATCTGTATATACTGTATGTAATTTAGGAATAACTGTGACACACTCATGATGAATTATTATGATGTAATGTTATTATTCAGGGTCTACTAGTTACAACTGACGATTTCTCAGTGGTAGAAATGAGCTGAGTTTCATCATGTATGATCATGTAATCACTTCTTTACTCTTAAGTTGGCAATTCAGAGAATTTTTAAGTGTAATTCTCATACAATTAAATAATTTGTAGTCATTTAAAATGTGCTGAAACATTTATACTAAATATTATCTGGTTCCAGCATCACAAGTTGCTGCTTTTCTCTGTTTTGTATGAGTTTAAATTCATTTTTATACATATTTTTCTGTATTTTTGGACATTTCATTAATTGAATTATTACTGAATACTAAATAAATGCAAGATTAATCAGTAATAAATAATAAAATATATGCACAATACTTTACAAATACAACAGAACTGAACGTAGAAGGATGCTGCAGGACACGCACACATTGTCCACATTACCTTGTACAGAGTGAGTCTACATTTGGAGATAACTGCGTCCATTAGAGTTTGGTATGACAGTAAAAAATGATCCACTCTGCACAGCAACATCCTCATGAAATATAAAACATGTTACAGCTGCTGCAGGCGAACAAACAAACAAACAGGCTGTTTATGGGAACAGAACGGCTGCCTGAAAATACATGCATGGTTTCCGATTTTATGTATTTAATATGCAGCTGATGATCGTTTTCATCATTGGTGATCCTTTCGGGCCATAAAATGCTAGAAAATGACACAATATGTTATCAATATGATGTAAAAGTTACAGTGAATATGAATGTATTAGTCATGTTCTGTCTATCTGCCACTCTTTTAGTTTCACATTTGGTCTCTCAGCTGAATGAGGCCTTGACATTCAGTCATGTGATGTGGGGTCCAGGCCGCTGTAACAACCGTTTTCTGCGATGGTTTATGCAGTCAGTAGTCTCGTGTACAGCCGTCCTCGCCCCCTCCTCTCCTCTCTGACTCTGCACACTGGGATCTTTGTTATCGAGCAGTGCATTAGGACAGGAAGTCGGACCGGCCCTCGGAGACAACAGCTGGAACGAACAGATAAGATGCCAGAGAGCTTCGTCCAGGCTCACTCAGCCAACGACAGACTGCAGGAGAGATTCCTAGAATCAGAGTCGTCTCTGCCCCGGTGTTTTTACACTCAACGTGGTGGCGTGATGGATAATACCATAAAAATAATGAATGATTATTTACACGCCCACTGTCCTGTGGAAGAAATAAACCTCAGTGTAATGAGGGCTGTAGCCACGCTGAGGACGCCAAGGTCATGTCCTAACTTTCTTAAAATAGTTCCAAGTTTATTTCAACGGTTCATACAAATGCAGCTCAAAGTGTTTAACTTAACTAGTGCTATAATTTCTCTACCAGTTTTATTTTCTGCCCAGATTTTAAATCTGTCTGGTCTGACTAAACTTATTTGCCATTTATTGGTGTTAATGTGCCTTTTTACTATTATCTCAATGTCTTTTATTTGCTATTGATTTGCTGTGCATTTCACTGTCAACACAGACTTTTATAGTGATGCTGTTTAATTACATTCAATGGAGTTTATATTCATATTATACATGTTTGAGTTTTTCTTTGGGTGATACTGATATTTGTCTCAATTTTGTTTTTAACGACTTGTGGCTATAAGATTTTACATTTATGAACTTTATAATGTAATTTTGTCATATTTTATAAATTAACTAAAACATGTCTTTCTTCAATGCTACAATTTCCTGTCACTGATAAGTTGACTTCCACACACAGATACTGATATATTGGTATATGTCGGTTTGGCTCCATTTAGAGCAGGATGAAACAAAGATTAGACTATGATATAATAATATTTACACCAAACATACTTGAAGAATTAAATTAATAAATCAAGAGGGACAGTTTGTGATTTTCTTAAACGTTGAAATTTTTACAGTTTGGCTGATAGTTTAAAAATGTTTTCGATGGGTGGAATCTATAGATCGTATAAAACATGGCTGTAGTCTCTGTGAGGTTTCTGAGGAGCCGTTCTGAAGCTCAATGTGGTCGGCTTTGGCCGCTGCTATCCTGATTACGCCGGCTCCTGGCTAATCCAAAAATGAACGAATACGCTGAGTCGGGCTGAATGAAGCTTTAAACCTTAATATAATTTAAACAGGTGAGTTATATAAACATTAACTACAGAGATCAAAACCATTTTTTGTACCAGATTTAAAACATGTTTATTTCTGCTGTATAGTTGGGTATTTTAATATGAGCCCTTATGGAGATTGACTCACTTCTGGAGCCAGCCTCAAGTGGTCGTTTGAGGAACTGCAGGTTTTGTTACATTCACGTTGGTTTCATTTGACGGCCACAGACGTTGCTGCTCGGTGGGATCGCCAACAAAATGTAGGAGAAACCACCAAGATTTAGACTGAGTCTCTATGAAGAACCGAGTAAGTCGACTGTCTGTGGGATACGTGACTTCTTATACCAGACGTATCCTGTCGTAGTCCAGAGTTTAGCCTCTCAACCTTTTGACGATTATAGTTGATTTAAAGCTGAAGGTCACAGGCAAGAAATGACTTATAAATCTCCAGAGATATATTTAATCCCTCTAATTAGTCTGAACAACTGCTTTGAAACCCTTTACCAAGGCTGAATTCTAATCCTTTGACATTTGCTGCGACTCCAAACAGACAGACAGACAGACGCCCTCACCATCAGTCTGTGGAAACACTATTAGCACTCTGTTACAGCCCGCAGAAGGAACATTCAATCTTTCAACAGCAGTGAAGAAAACAATCATCTCTGCCCATAACCATCTGTCATAACCGTCTTTCAGCCTCTGAGCGACACAAGTTTGGTTGTGAGTCCATTAACACAAACAAAAACTGCCTTTTTTTCATCTAAAAAATACATCCAGGGTCAGAAAGAGGCTTCTTGTCTCAGGCTGAAGCAGAAAAAAATGCATTTGTTAGGTGGACTATCGCAGTGTCACTGATCTGTAGGGTCACTAAGGCTTATATACAGATAATGTTGTAACTTGTGTTTTTTCCCCCCTTGTGGTTGTGTACGTGTATCACTGGAAGATGCACGTTATATGTTTGATTAATGGTGTTCTTGTACTCTAATGTGAGATATAAAAACTCAGCAGCTGGTTGTTTCTATATTTAGTAGAACATCCTGACTCATAATGTATTTATATCCTAACCACTGCTATTATTGTCCTCTTCTCTTTTCCCTTTTTTCTGTTAGACTGCAGACATTTTGCAGTAGAAATTACAAACTTTCAGAACCAAAATCTGAACGCAAACCAACTAAAAATCCCACAAAATACAAGTTTTGGAGTCCTCTTCAGTCTGGATAATCCGCACCCTTCAATGTCTGATGACCCAGCCCCTCACTTATACTGGAGGTGGGAGTTTTAATCAGTTTGGCAGCAGGGAATCCTTCTGTAAAGAGTCATGCGTCACTCACCAAGTTTCATGAGCAGGGCCAGGAGGATCCACAGAGAAATCTCAAAGGGCTTCCTGACGTGGTCGTAGTTGAAGGACAGGACGGGGAAAGCCTTTTTGTGAGCGGTGGAGTTAGTTTGGTGATGGGAGTCATTTCTCAACGTCTCGTTGTTTCCCGCAACAGCATCACGACTCGCGGAGGCAGCAAAGATGAAAACGACAAAAACGAGCAAAAAGCCGCATATTAACCCCGTAAAACGCGGATTGGAGCTCCTCCGGTTGGGACCAAGCACAGCCATTTTTCAGCCGGTTTGAGGGCTGAACTGCTGCTGCTCAGCTCTAGATCCGATGAAGATGAGGACAACACAGGAAACGAGCGTGGTGCGCCACGGAGAAGTGCGCACTTTTACGCACAAACTCCACAGGCATCTTAAAATTACGCATAGTTCAGGAAGAACAAACGGTGATTTATGTGGCAGACAAACATGCTGCTGTCATCGATGGGTGGTGATTTTATAATAGCATCACACCGTTTATTTAAGCCCCCGACGGTTTTGTTGCCTGGTTGATCCCCACCTGTTGTTTCCTCCGCCAATGAGACTCTAACGACTGGCATCAAGCAGAAACATCCATCAGACAGAAATCTCTCACACTGAACTCTTTTTCTCTTTGCTCAACATGCAGCTGATTCAGAGTTTGGTCAGAATGAAAGTGACATCTGCTGGAGAGGAGGACCACAAGGACCACCAGGCAGCCTCCAGAATAAGCACACATCTATGGTGGAAAGTAACATTTAGAGTACATTTACTCGAGTTCTGTATTCAGATACAATGTTGTATCCTTGTACTGGACCTTCTGGAGAGAGATCTCTCTATTTATCTGAACTGAAGGAATCAGTGCTTTATTTATTTATTATTTATTTATTATTATGTTTTTTAAAAGAAACTATTTGTATTCCATAAAACCTTCTGTGCCTTATTGGAGAGTTCCACATTCATAATTTAAAAAATAATGAACAAAGAGGTAGTTAGTTCCTTAAAGAAAGTGCATCGTGGTAAAAACCATTCAAAACATCCCTCATTTTGGATACAATGAAAGAATCTATATGATGTCGCTTTTGTTTAATGTTTCCCTAAATCTTATTTCAAAACTCAGTAAATTATTAGGCAAATTCTTATTTTATTTGTCTTCATTATTTCCAGTAGTGCACTTTTGTTCCGTTTCTTATAATTTCTGTATAGGTGTGTTTTAAAAATCGTTTCAATTGACAGAAAAAAGTTTCCTCATTCGTTCATGCCTTCAGTTACCGTTGCTAAGCTATGATTGGACAATCTTTGTTTGGGGGCGGGACCTAGCGACCGGTCATTTAGTCGTTCTGACGTCGGAATGTTTTTTTTTTTATTCTTATTTTTCTTTGATGGCGTTGGAATGTGATGACGTCACAAAGCCAATAGAACGTTCTCTGATGGGTTCTTTAATTCTTATTTGTTTCTTTGAAGTTGGAATGTGACGTCATTCAAAGATCAAAGCATATGGAACGTTCCTTTGATACAAAGCCAACATGATTTCTATAAGCTTAGGACCCAAATCCAGTTGACTCAGTTCAGATTTGTATGAGCACATTCACTTTGTTTCAGAAAGACCAGCAGAGACTAAATCTGATAACATGAATCCAGCAAACCCTAAAGATGTGGATCTGGCTGTCCCTATGGCCATAGCGGAGACCATTCGTCCGCTCGTCCACATGTCCCTGGACAGACAGACGTCGTCCCAGAGGGCTGAGCTTCAATCCTTTAAAAGGGAGACCGAAAGTATTATTTCGAAAGAAAGAAGTCTGAAGAAGGCTCAGCTGACTCCTGTACTTCTTTTTAGAGTGGATGAAGAAGATGAAGAGGAGGATGAGGATGAGGATAAAGACAAAGACAAAGACAAGTTGATGAAAATTACTGAAGCCGTCAGTACCATCCTAATTCAACAGGCGGCTGAAATAAATCTAATTCTTGAGTGTAAAATCAACACTTATGATTGCAAAATCAAAATGTCTGAAGAGGAAGAGGAGTTACTGATATCCAGCACCTCCAAAGACGCCGAGGAAGCAGCTTTGGACATCGCAAGGACAATACTGGAGAAAATCTCCATTAACACCCCATCTGAACCAGAGGACGAGTCCTTATGGATAAAGGTGGGGAACCAACTGAAGGCGTTTTTGGTGAACTTATTCACCAAGGCGGCATTCCTTAGATTTATTTCTAAACTGAGGAGGAGATTTCTCTGCTTCATGGCAACTTCGGAAATGGCTTCACTGGAGGAGCTAGTTAAGGACATGGAGCAGGTGGTGAAGAACATGCACCCACCAGAGGAAGATGACGAGTGCCTCTACGAAAAAATTATGACAAACTTTTCCTGCGGCCGTAAGAAAATGGCAGAAGAGCTGAGCCAGATGATGATCCATCACCTGAAACATGGACATCGTCTGAATATAAGAATGGAGGTCCAGAATGAAGTGGACTCCTTCTTGAAGTTGACATGGGACTGGCTTGTCGTGCAGATCCATCAGCATCAGAGGAACAGGGACAGAGTGACTGCTGCTCTTAGAAAAATTAAAAGAGTAGTGGAAACTCTCCCAACGCCAAGTGAGACTCATCTGGCACCAACTTCCATCACTGAAGCACCAGCTTCCATCACCGACACACCAACTTCCATCACCAACGCACCAACTTCCATGACAGACGCACCAGCTTCCATCACCGACACACCAACTTCCATCACAGACGCACCAGCTGCAGTTGAGGCCTCAGCACACCCTCTCCCAGAGTGGGATGAACTGAGCTGCAAGCTTACTGTGGCTGTACTGGTTAAACAGATCACAAAAGATCACTTCATTAGACCGTCCAATGATGGCGTGAAAACATTGACAGACATGCTCTGGTCAGAGACTGAAACCTCTGACGTTACTATGAAACGGACCAAAGACCACATTAAGAAGACAGTGAAGGCAGTGCACAAGGACTTGTGCAAAAAAATGGGCGGTGCAGGAATCGTCCGACTGGGCCTGCTTTCACAGGACACACTGATCTACAACATGATAATCGAGACCCTAAAAAAGCATCTGTTGGGGCCACAAAAGAAATCCGGAGTTAAGAAGTTCTTCAAAGGTCTTTTCAAGACCATGGCCAAGCCATTTACTGCACAAAGTAAATGTGACAGCAAAGATTAACCATCTGCAGTCTAAAGGGCGGGTGGGACAGTACTTTGTCATGGCACACAACACATCTAACTGACAACATTACGGTTAGGTGAGCTATTTCCAGGCTCCTGCTATGACAAGTCTCACCTTGCGTGGGTTTCCTCCGAGTTCTTCGGTTTCCTCCCACATTGTAATTAATTAATTAATTACATAATTCAAAAAATATTCAAATATCTAAAAATCAAAAAATACAAACATCATGTTCAACACTCTGTGCTACCAGCCTCAGTTCGACTGGTAGCACAGCGTTCAACCTGAATATGAAGTAGGACTTCAGGTCTTACAGGGCCACACAGGTGCCTCAGTGTGCTGGCATGGGTTTACTCCGAGTGCTTCGGTTTCCTCCCAGATTTTTAAGAATATTATTTCAAAAATAATAATTAAATAAAATTAATTAATTATATTCTTGTTTTAAAATATTTTCTTTCTCACAATTTGCTGTATAATTGTAGATGTGTAACTCAAACTGAAGTTATGCTGGTTGAAAGGTAACTCCAGATTATTATAACTGGAGCAGGATATTTGGTTGTTACAGATGATCGTCAGTGCTGTATAATATGTATTTAAAACACAACATGAAATTACATTTCAGGAATGAAGTGTTGAGAGTATGTCGCCAGCAGTAAACTAATAATGTTAGGTACCTCCTGTATTGACTGGACAGTACACACAGACATTCTCAAGAGCACACTTTATTGCCACACTTCCATACATAGAACATAATAAAACACTATGTAAACAGCACCTTCTGTATGTTGGCTCTATCAGTACATGTCCCCTTTCTTTTAATATTACTTTATCATTTTTAATTTTTTCTCATGTACATAAAACATGACCTAAACAGTGTCACAACAAAAAAATAAAAACATCCTTTCCAACACAATATTACTGCCTAATTGTAACATGAAATACATAAACTTTTTACTGCTTTTTATAAACAGTAGCTGCACAAGATTTCACTTTTTTTCGGTAGCTGCTATTGCCAAGTGAACAAGCTGGTCGATACATTTTACAGGCACCAGGTGCAGTACTGAACTCAGAGACAAATCTTTGTCTCTTTATTTATAGACGTTTTGATGGTCTGACACGATTCCAGTCGTTCTTTGAATTTACAGAATAAAGAAGAATAAATTGTTATTAGAAGTCGTCTTGCAGGTTTAGCTTGGATCAGAATAAACAAACGATTCACAGCTCACACATCCTCTCCATCTCTGTCAGCCCCCAGCAGAGAAGAATTAGTAAAACCAACAACCATTGCTGATTCCCACAGAGTCAGACCTCTTACTCTGGCTGCTGTCTGCTCCGTGGAGATCTAGAGGTTCTTTGTTTCTGACAGGGCTGTGAAGGTTGTAGAATCTGAACAATAGCCAACGAGACCAACAAAGTGTCAGTATGTGAAATTTGGGGTTTTTCGCTGCATTTTTAACTCTTAAACTTGCAGGAATTAATTGATTTTAATGGCCATGTGAAGGCAGCAACTCATGAAAAGTTGACTTTTTAGCTACATGGTTCTCACAGGACAGCAACACTACGAAGATATGTTGATTTGATAGACTATGATATGACACAACTACCCAATACTTTTACTTAAATAAAGTTTTTAATGCAGGATTTTTACTTGTAATGGAGTATTTTCACATTGTTGTATTTGTAATGTATTTAAAGCAGCAACAAGGTACTTTCATTTTATGTTTTGTGTGTCACCACATTGTGATTTCAAGGGGAATTAGACCAAATCCAACCCAGAGGCAGGCATTGAGAATAACTGTATAGAAACAGCAAATCATCAATGTGATGGTCTTGTGTTAATGCAAGTCAGTGGCATCAGAATTAAACTGCGACTGTTTCATAACCAGTTAAAACCTCCTTGTAGTACGATTAAGTAACTGATCTGAATACATCTTCCACCACTGTTGGTACATCCTCTCCATCTCTGTCAGCCCCCAGCAGAGAGGAATTAGTAAAACCATCAACCATTGCTGGTTCCCACAGAGTCAGACCTCTTACTCTGGCTGCTGTCTGCTCCATGGAGATCTAGAGGTTCTTTGTTTCTGACAGGGCTGTGAAGGTTGTAGAATCTGAACAATAGCCAACAAGACCAACAAAGTGTCAGAATTTGGGGTTTTCCGCTGCTTTTTTAACTCTTAAACTTGCAGGAATTAATTGATTTTAATGGCCATGTGAAGGCAGCAACTCATGAAAAGTTGACTTTTTAGCTACATGGTTCTCACAGGACAGCAACACTACGAAGATATGTTGATTTGATAGACTATGATATGACACAACTACCCAATACTTTTACTTAAATAAAGTTTTTAATGCAGGATTTTTACTTGTAATGGAGTATTTTCACATTGTTGTATTTGTAATGTATTTAAAGCAGCAACAAGGTACTTTCATTTTGTGTTTCTCACAACATGCAGCTGATTCAGAGTTTGGTCAGAATGAAAGTGACATCTGCTGGAGAGGAGGACCACAAGGACCACCAGGCAGCCTCCAGAATAAGCACACATCTATGGTGGAAAGTAACATTTAGAGTACATTTACTCGAGTTCTGTATTCAGATACAATGTTGTATCCTTGTACTGGACCTTCTGGAGAGAGATCTCTCTATTTATCTGAACTGAAGGAATCAGTGCTTTATTTATTTATTATTTATTTATTATTATGTTTTTTAAAAGAAACTATTTGTATTCCATAAAACCTTCTGTGCCTTATTGGAGAGTTCCACATTCATAATTTTAAAAATAATGAACAAAGAGGTAGTTAGTTCCTTAAAGAAAGTGCATCGTGGTAAAAACCATTCAAAACATCCCTCATTTTGGATACAATGAAAGGATCTATATGATGTCGCTTTTGTTTAATGTTTCCCTAAATCTTATTTCAAAACCCAGTAAATTATTAGGCAAATTCTTATTTTATTTGTCTTCATTATTTCCAGTAGTGCACTTTTGTTCCGTTTCTTATAATTTCTGTGTGTGTGTGTTTTAAAAATCGTTTCAACTGACAGAAAAAAGTTTCCTCATACGTTCATGCCTTCAGTTACCGTTGCTAAGCTATGATTGGACAATCTTTGTTTGGGGGCGGGACCTAGCGACCGGTCATTTAGTCGTTCTGACGTCGGAATGTTTCTTTTTTTATTCTTATTTTTCTTTGATGGCGTTGGAATGTGATGACGTCACAAAGCCAATAGAACGTTCTCTGATGGGTTCTTTAATTCTTATTTGTTTCTTTGAAGTTGGAATGTGACGTCATTCAAAGATCAAAGCATATGGAACGTTCCTTTGATACAAAGCCAACATGATTTCTATAAGCTTAGGACCCAAATCCAGTTGACTCAGTTCAGATTTGTATGAGCACATTCACTTTGTTTCAGAAAGACCAGCAGAGACTAAATCTGATAACATGAATCCAGCAAACCCTAAAGACGTGGATCTGGCTGTCCCTATGGCCACAGCGGAGACCATTCGTCCGCTCGTCCACATGTCCCTGGACAGACAGACGTCATCCCAGAGGGCTGAGCTTCAATCCTTTAAAAGGGAGACCGAAAGTATTATTTCGAAAGAAAGAAGTCTGAAGAAGGCTCAGCTGACTCCCGTACTTCTTTTTAGAGTGGATGAAGAAGATGAAGAGGAGGATGAGGATAAAGACAAAGACAAAGACAAGTTGATGAAAATTACTGAAGCCGTCAGTACCATCCTAATTCAACAGGCGGCTAAAATAAATCAAATTCTTGAGTGTAAAATCAACACTTATGATTGCAAAATCAAAATGTCTGAAGAGGAAGAGGAGTTACTGATATCCAGCACCTCCAAAGACGCCGAGGAAGCAGCTTCGGACATCGCAAGGACAATACTGGAGAAAATCTCCATTAACACCCCATCTGAACCAGAGGACGAGTCCTTATGGATAAAGGTGGGGAACCAACTGAAGGCGTTTTTGGTGAACTTATTCACCAAGGCGGCATTCCTTAGATTCATTTCTAAACTGAGGAGGAGATTTCTCTGCTTCATGGCAACTTCGGAAATGGCTTCACTGGAGGAGCTAGTTAAGGACATGGAGCAGGTGGTGAAGAACATGCACCCACCAGAGGAAGACGACGAGTGCCTCTACGAAAAAATTATGACAAACTTTTCCTGCGGCCATAAGAAAATGGCAGAAGAGCTGAGCCAGATGATGATCCATCACCTGAAACATGGACATCGTCTGAATATAAGAATGGAGGTTCAGAATGAAGTGGACTCCTTCTTGAAGTTGACATGGGACTGGCTTGTCGTGCAGATCCGTCAGCATCAGAGGAACAGGGACAGAGTGACTGCTGCTCTTAGAAAAATTAAAAGAGTAGTGGAAACTCTCCCAACGCCAAGTGAGACTCATCTGGCACCAACTTCCATCACCAACGCACCAACTTCCATGACAGACGCACCAGCTTCTATCACCGACACACCAGCTTCCATCACCGACGCACCAACTTCCATCACAGACGCACCAGCTGCAGTTGAGGCCTCAGCACACCCTCTCCCAGAGTGGGATGAACTGAGCTGCAAGCTTACTGTGGCTGTACTGGTTAAACAGATCACAAAGATCACTTCATTAGACCGTCCAATGATGGCGTGAAAACATTGACAGACATGCTCTGGTCAGAGACTGAAACCTCTGACGTTACTATGAAACGGACCAAAGACCACATTAAGAAGACAGTGAAGGCAGTGCACAAGGACTTGTGCAAAAAAATGGGCGGTGCAGGAATCGTCCGACTGGGCCTGCTTTCACAGGACACACTGATCTACAACATGATAATCGAGACCCTAAAAAAGCATCTGTTGGGGCCACAAAAGAAATCCGGAGTTAAGAAGTTCTTCAAAGGTCTTTTCAAGACCATGGCCAAGCCATTTACTGCACAAAGTAAATGTGACAGCAAAGATTAACCATCTGCAGTCTAAAGGGCGGGTGGGACAGTACTTTGTCATGGCACACAACACATCTAACTGACAACATTACAGTTAGGTGAGCTATTTCCAGGCTCCTGCTATGACAAGTCTCACCTTGCGTGGGTTTCCTCCGAGTTCTTCGGTTTCCTCCCACATTGTAATTAATTAATTAATTACATAATTCAAAAAATATTCAAATATCTAAAAATCAAAAAATACAAACATCATGTTCAACACTCTGTGCTACCAGCCTCAGTTCGACTGGTAGCACAGCGTTCAACCTGAATATGAAGTAGGACTTCAGGTCTTACAGGGCCACACAGGTGCCTCAGTGTGCTGGCATGGGTTTACTCCGAGTGCTTCGGTTTCCTCCCAGATTTTTAAGAATATTATTTCAAAAATAATAATTAAATAAAATTAATTAATTATATTCCTGTTTTAAAATATTTTCTTTCTCACAATTTGCTGTATAATTGTAGATGTGTAACTCAAACTGAAGTTATGCTGGTTGAAAGGTAACTCCAGATTATTATAACTGGAGCAGGATATTTGGTTGTTACAGATGATCGTCAGTGCTGTATAATATGTATTTAAAACACAACATGAAATTACATTTCAGGAATGAAGTGTTGAGAGTATGTCGCCAGCAGTAAACTAATAATGTTAGGTACCTCCTGTATTGACTGGACAGTACACACAGACATTCTCAAGAGCACACTTTATTGCCACACTTCCATACATAGAACATAATAAAACACTATGTAAACAGCACCTTCTGTATGTTGGCTCTATCAGTACATGTCCCCTTTCTTTTAATATTACTTTATCATTTTTAATTTTTTCTCATGTACATAAAACATGACCTAAACAGTGTCACAACAAAAAAATAAAAACATCCTTTCCAACACAATATTACTGCCTAATTGTAACATGAAATACATAAACTTTTTACTGCTTTTTATAAACAGTAGCTGCACAAGATTTCACTTTTTTTCGGTAGCTGCTATTGCCAAGTGAACAAGCTGGTCGATACATTTTACAGGCACCAGGTGCAGTACTGAACTCAGAGACAAATCTTTGTCTCTTTATTTATAGACGTTTTGATGGTCTGACACGATTCCAGTCGTTCTTTGAATTTACAGAATAAAGAGGAATAAATTGTTATTAGAAGTCGTCTTGCAGGTTTAGCTTGGATCAGAATAAACAAACGATTCACAGCTCACACATCCTCTCCATCTCTGTCAGCCCCCAGCAGAGAAGAATTAGTAAAACCAACAACCATTGCTGGTTCCCACAGAGTCAGACCTCTTACTCTGGCTGCTGTCTGCTCCGTGGAGATCTAGAGGTTCTTTGTTTCTGACAGGGCTGTGAAGGTTGTAGAATCTGAACAATAGCCAACGAGACCAACAAAGTGTCAGTATGTGAAATTTGGGGTTTTTCGCTGCATTTTTAACTCTTAAACTTGCAGGAATTAATTGATTTTAATGGCCATGTGAAGGCAGCAACTCATGAAAAGTTGACTTTTTAGCTACATGGTTCTCACAGGACAGCAACACTACGAAGATATGTTGATTTGATAGACTATGATATGACACAACTACCCAATACTTTTACTTAAATAAAGTTTTTAATGCAGGATTTTTACTTGTAATGGAGTATTTTCACATTGTTGTATTTGTAATGTATTTAAAGCAGCAACAAGGTACTTTCATTTTGTGTTTTGTGTGTCACCACATTGTGATTTCAAGGGGAATTAGACCAAATCCAACCCAGAGGCAGGCATTGAGAATAACTGTATAGAAACAGCAAATCATCAATGTGATGGTCTTGTGTTAATGCAAGTCAGTGGCATCAGAATTAAACTGCGACTGTTTCATAACCAGTTAAAACCTCCTTGTAGTACGATTAAGTAACTGATCTGAATACATCTTCCACCACTGTTGGTACATCCTCTCCATCTCTGTCAGCCCCCAGCAGAGAGGAATTAGTAAAACCATCAACCATTGCTGGTTCCCACAGAGTCAGACCTCTTACTCTGGCTGCTGTCTGCTCCATGGAGATCTAGAGGTTCTTTGTTTCTGACAGGGCTGTGAAGGTTGTAGAATCTGAACAATAGCCAACAAGACCAACAAAGTGTCAGAATTTGGGGTTTTCCGCTGCTTTTTTAACTCTTAAACTTGCAGGAATTAATTGATTTTAATGGCCATGTGAAGGCAGCAACTCATGAAAAGTTGACTTTTTAGCTACATGGTTCTCACAGGACAGCAACACTACGAAGATATGTTGATTTGATAGACTATGATATGACACAACTACCCAATACTTTTACTTAAATAAAGTTTTTAATGCAGGATTTTTACTTGTAATGGAGTATTTTCACATTGTTGTATTTGTAATGTATTTAAAGCAGCAACAAGGTACTTTCATTTTGTGTTTCTCACAACATGCAGCTGATTCAGAGTTTGGTCAGAATGAAAGTGACATCTGCTGGAGAGGAGGACCACAAGGACCACCAGGCAGCCTCCAGAATAAGCACACATCTATGGTGGAAAGTAACATTTAGAGTACATTTACTCGAGTTCTGTATTCAGATACAATGTTGTATCCTTGTACTGGACCTTCTGGAGAGAGATCTCTCTATTTATCTGAACTGAAGGAATCAGTGCTTTATTTATTTATTATTTATTTATTATTATGTTTTTTAAAAGAAACTATTTGTATTCCATAAAACCTTCTGTGCCTTATTGGAGAGTTCCACATTCATAATTTAAAAAATAATGAACAAAGAGGTAGTTAGTTCCTTAAAGAAAGTGCATCGTGGTAAAAACCATTCAAAACATCCCTCATTTTGGATACAATGAAAGGATCTATATGATGTCGCTTTTGTTTAATGTTTCCCTAAATCTTATTTCAAAACTCAGTAAATTATTAGGCAAATTCTTATTTTATTTGTCTTCATTATTTCCAGTAGTGCACTTTTGTTCCGTTTCTTATAATTTCTGTATAGGTGTGTTTTAAAAATCGTTTCAACTGACAGAAAAAAGTTTCCTCATTCGTTCATGCCTTCAGTTACCGTTGCTAAGCTATGATTGGACAATCTTTGTTTGGGGGCGGGACCTAGCGACCGGTCATTTAGTCGTTCTGTCGTCTGAATGATTTTTTTAAATAATTCTTATTTTTCTTTGATGGCGTTGGAATGTGATGACGTCACAAAGCCAATAGAACGTTCTCTGATGGGTTCTTTAATTCTTATTTGTTTCTTTGAAGTTGGAATGTGACGTCATTCAAAGATCAAAGCATATGGAACGTTCCTTTGATACAAAGCCAACATGATTTCTATAAGCTTAGGACCCAAATCCAGTTGACTCAGTTCAGATTTGTATGAGCACATTCACTTTGTTTCAGAAAGACCAGCAGAGACTAAATCTGATAACATGAATCCAGCAAACCCTAAAGATGTGGATCTGGCTGTCCCTATGGCCACAGCGGAGACCATTCGTCCGCTCGTCCACATGTCCCTGGACAGACAGACGTCATCCCAGAGGGCTGAGCTTCAATCCTTTAAAAGGGAGACCGAAAGTATTATTTCGAAAGAAAGAAGTCTGAAGAAGGCTCAGCTGACTCCCGTACTTCTTTTTAGAGTGGATGAAGAAGATGAAGAGGAGGATGAGGATAAAGACAAAGACAAAGACAAGTTGATGAAAATTACTGAAGCCGTCAGTACCATCCTAATTAGACAGGCGGCTGAAATAAATCTAATTCTTGAGTGTAAAATCAACACTTATGATTGCAAAATCAAACTGTCTGAAGAGGAAGAGGAGTTACTGATATCCAGCACCTCCAAAGACGCCGAGGAAGCAGCTTTGGACATTGCAAGGACAATACTGGAGGAAATCTCCATTAACACCCCACCTGAACCAGAGGACGAGTCCTTATGGATAAAGGTGGGGAACCAACTGAAGGCGTTTTTGGTGAACTTATTCACCAAGGCAGCATTTCTTAGATTCATTTCTAAACTGAGGAGGAGATTTCTCTGCTTCATGGCAACTTCGGAAATGGCTTCACTGGAGGAGCTAGTTAAGGACATGGAGCAGGTGGTGAAGAACATGCACCCACCAGAGGAAGACGACGAGTGCCTCTACGAAAAAATTATGACAAACTTTTCCAGCGGCCGTAAGAAAATGGCAGAGGAGCTGAGCCAGATGATGATCCATCACCTGAAACATGGACATCGTCTGAATATAAGAATGGAGGTTCAGAATGAAGTGGACTCCTTCTTGAAGTTGACATGGGACTGGCTTGTCGTGCAGATCCGTCAGCATCAGAGGAACAGGGACAGAGTGACTGCTGCTCTTAGAAAAATTAAAAGAGTAGTGGAAACTCTCCCAACGCCAAGTGAGACTCATCTGGCACCAACTTCCATCACTGACGCACCAGCTTCCATCACCGACACACCAACTTCCATCACCAACGCATCAACTTCCATGACAGACGCACCAGCTTCCATCACCGACACACCAACTTCCATCACAGACGCACCAGCTGCAGTTGAGGCCTCAGCACACCCTCTCCCAGAGTGGGATGAACTGAGCTGCAAGCTTACTGTGGCTGTACTGGTTAAACAGATCACAAAAGATCACTTCATTAGACCGTCCAATGATGGCGTGAAAACATTGACAGACATGCTCTGGTCAGAGACTGAAACCTCTGGCGTTACTATGAAATGGACCAAAGACCACATTAAGAAGACAGTGAAGGCAGTGCACAAGGACTTGTGCAAAAAAATGGGCGGTGCAGGAATCGTCCGACTGGGCCTGCTTTCACAGGACACACTGATCTACAACATGATAATCGAGACCCTAAAAAAGCATCTGTTGGGGCCACAAAAGAAATCCGGAGTTAAGAAGTTCTTCAAAGGTCTTTTCAAGACCATGGCCAAGCCATTTACTGCACAAAGTAAATGTGACAGCAAAGATTAACCATCTGCAGTCTAAAGGGCGGGTGGGACAGTACTTTGTCATGGCACACAACACATCTAACTGACAACATTATGGTTAGGTGAGCTATTTCCAGGCTCCTGCTATGACAAGTCTCACCTTGCGTGGGTTTACTCCGAGTCCTTCGGTTTCCTCCCACATTGTAATTAATTAATTAATTACATAATTAAAAAATATTCAAATATCTAAAAATCAAAAAATACAAACATCATGTTCAACACTCTGTGCTACCAGCCTCAGTTCGACTGGTAGCACAGCGTTCAACCTGAATATGAAGTAGGACTTCAGGTCTTACAGGGCCACACAGGTGCCTCAGTGTGCTGGCATGGGTTTACTCCGAGTGCTTCGGTTTCCTCCCAGATTTTTAAGAATATTATTTCAAAAATAATAATTAAATAAAATTAATTAATTATATTCCTGTTTTAAAATATTTTCTTTCTCATTATGTGCTGTATAATTGTAGATGTGTAACTCAAAGTAAAGTTCTGCTGGTTAAAAGGTAACTCCAGATTATTATAACTGGAGCAGGATATTTGGTTGTTACAGATGATCGTCAGTGCTGTATAATATGTATTTAAAACACAACATGAAATTACATTTCAGGAATGAAGTGTTGAGAGTATGTCGCCAGCAGTAAACTAATAATGTTAGGTACCTCCTGTATTGACTGGACAGTACACACAGACATTCTCAAGAGCACACTTTATTGCCACACTTCCATACATAGAACATAATAAAACACTATGTAAACAGCACCTTCTGTATGTTGGCTCTATCAGTACATGTCCCCTTTCTTTTAATATTACTTTATCATTTTTAATTTTTTCTCATGTACATAAAACATGACCTAATCAGTGTCACAAAAAAAAAAAAAAATCCAACACAATATTACTGCCTAATTGTAACATGAAATACATAAACTTTTTACTGCTTTTTATAAACAGTAGCTGCACAAGATTTCACTTTTTTTCGGTAGCTGCTATTGCCAAGTGAACAAGCTGGTCGATACATTTTACAGGCACCAGGTGCAGTACTGAACTCAGAGACAAATCTTTGTCTCTTTATTTATAGACGTTTTGATGGTCTGACACGATTCCAGTCGTTCTTTGAATTTACAGAATAAAGAAGAATAAATTGTTATTAGAAGTCGTCTTGCAGGTTTAGCTTGCATCAGAATAAACAAACGATTCACAGCTCACACATCCTCTCCATCTCTGTCAGCCCCCAGCAGAGAAGAATTTGTAAAACCAACAACCATAGCTGGTTCCCACAGAGTCAGACCTCTTACTCTGGCTGCTGTCTGCTCCGTGGAGATCTAGAGGTTCTTTGTTTCTGACAGGGCTGTGAAGGTTGTAGAATCTGAACAATAGCCAACGAGACCAACAAAGTGTCAGTATGTGAAATTTGGGGTTTTTAGCTGCATTTTTAACTCTTAAACTTGCAGTAATTAATTGATTTTAATGGCCATGTGAAGGCAGCAACTCATGAAAAGTTGACTTTTTAGCTACATGGTTCTCACAGGACAGCAACACTACGAAGATATGTTGATTTGATAGACTATGATATGACACAACTACCCAATACTTTTACTTAAATAAAGTTTTTAATGCAGGATTTTTACTTGTAATGGAGTATTTTCACATTGTTGTATTTGTAATGTATTTAAAGCAGCAACAAGGTACTTTCATTTTGTGTTTTGTGTGTCACCACATTGTGATTTCAAGGGGAATTAGACCAAATCCAACCCAGAGGCAGGCATTGAGAATAACTGTATAGAAACAGCAAATCATCAATGTGATGGTCTTGTGTTAATGCAAGTCAGTGGCATCAGAATTAAACTGGGACTGTTTCATAACCAGTTAAAACCTCCTTGTAGTACGATTAAGTAACTGATCTGAATACATCTTCCACCACTGTTGGTACCAGTGCTGTCTCAAAAAGCCCATGGGCAAGGCTTTAAACTCCAAACTTAGACTGATTCATGTGACATAGAGGAATATGGTCCTCACTCTCATCTGAAAATGTATCTATTGATGTCCAACATGTCACGAGATCACTTCCCCTGTCTGAGTTTCATCCACATGAGTCACTCCATACAGACTGTGCAGTCGGCCGACAATTTCCCACAAAACCTTTCCACATGGACGAAGCCTGAGAACCATGGAGCTGTTTTAATGTTAGAAAAAACACCTTGAGAACGTCGGTATATAGACACCTGCACACAGATATCAAAACTGTAACCATTTTTATTTGAGAATTACATCAAAATACCACTTGTGTTACTACATACGAATGTCTTATAGTGGCATTTTACATTTAAAGACATTTCCTTTATTAAGTTCTTGTACAAATATGAAATTTAATTTAGCAAACAGCTTTTCTCTGCTTATTAAAGGTCCAGTGTGTAACATTTAGGAGGCTCTATTAGCAGAAATGGACTATAACATTCATGGATATGTTTTGATTGGTGTATAATCACCTGAATTTAAGAATTATTGTGTTTTTGTTAACTTAGAATGAGCTGTTTTTTTTTAAATCTACAGACTCTAAAGGTCGCCTTCCATGGAGTCCGCCATGTTCTACCACCATGTTTCTACAGTAGCCCAGAACAGACAAACCAAACACTGGCTGTAGATTGGGTTTTGCAACCACCTTAGTTTCTCCTACACACTTAACAGCCCATGTTGCCAAATTAGATACGCAAGCTGTGTTCAGTTGCTGTCTGCAACTTCACCACTAGATGCCACTAAGTCCTACACACTGGTCCTTTGAATAATAAATAATCAATGGGTTGACGCTGCTTTAGGATGTGCAATCTAAATTCAAAACATTAAGGTGCTGTATAACACAACAAAGTGCACGTTTGTGACTAATAGCAATAAATACAATAAGTTTGTTTGCTGACAGAATTTCCTACATAATTATCATTTTTACATTTTCTGTCGTTATGTTCATGTTCGTGTTTTGTTGTACTATAAAATGCAGGAAATAATAACGACTGCACGTCAAACTATAAAGCTGAGATCCTTGTTGACAGATGATATGCTGATATCTCTGATGAAACATGCAGAGTGGTCAAACTACAGGCTCACTAGTATGTGCTTAGAAACGTTGAGATTGCAAAGAAGGTGTAAATTGTTTGACGAATCTTTCCTGCTGGGACTGAACAATGACACACATTTTCCTCCTGGGACACATAGATTTTCCTTCAAGCAACACCACAAACACGTGAACCCTCTCATCCTCCTCCATCACAAACCTTCTCTGACGTACACAAACAGTCTGTCACATGAAACCGCCCACAGAGCCGCTCTGATGGGCGGCGGCCTGAGTATTTGTCATTGAGCTCAGGCGTTTGGATGCTTCAGCTGAACCCTCTCTGCCATCCGCCTGGCGCTGTACAGAGACACTCCCATCCCCACTGTGGCCATCGTCATGGCGATGGGATCGATGAGACTGCTCTGTGGCTGCATCCGGACCTCACCTGAGACCTGCCTCTGCAGACAGGACGGACAGACAGACGCAGTTAGACATACACACTGCTGATAATAGGGCAGTTAAAATTATAGTATGATACTTATTTTCACATTAAAACCACAGTGTGTTTAATTTATGTGATCATGGCAGCTTTTAAAGTTTTCTGAGTGTATAAGTTTGATAAATGTGACAATCCTGATAAATTTGGTGCAGTTCATGTAGTCATTCTGCTCCTGGAGACTTTTTTAGACAAACCACTAGGGTGTGTAATGTGAGTCAGTCCACCACTTTGGTCCAGGGTGAAGTATTTCAGCAATTACTGGATGGACTGCCATGAAATTAGGGATGTAACGATACACTCAACTCACAACAATTCACAAGTCTTCACCTGCAGCCGCCATATCTTTGTGCGTTGATACAACTATTGACGCCACGAGGTCGAACAAGAAAAGCAAAAGTAGATAGTGCCCTCAAGGTAAGGTAAAGTACGACCTCACAGAGCCATCAGGGGAGTGGCAGGAAAGTTGGAAAATGTCACACATAATGGCTTAAAACTGAAATCCTTTCCATTTGTACTTGTCTGTAACTAATATTCCCACTTAAATTCTGTTTGTTTGAAACTGGTGTTTTTATTTAACTTCAGTGTGTAGGATTTAGTGGCATATAGAAACTGCTGTGGCCACGAAACGTGTGAAACACCAGAACAGCCCCACCTAGAGCCGAGCTACTGTAGAAACATGGCGGTATGGCGGCGTCTGTGGAAGGCGACCCGTGGCGTCTGTAGATATAAAAGGCACCGTCCACCTAAAGCCGGGTCTGCTCGAGGTTTCTGCCTCTTAAAAGGAAGTTTTTCCTTGCCACTGTCACAAAGTGCTTGTTGGGTCTAGGAGTATGGTCTATTTAGAAAGTGTCCTTAGATAACTTCTGTTATGATTTGGTGAAATACAAATAAAATTGAATTAAATCCTACACACTGTTCGTTTAACTCAGTTCAGTACAAAAACTTGTCCCACAGCTCTGTTTCACATCATGATCTTTCAGTAAGCTTTTAAAGCCTCTATGATTAGACTCTAATAATGTCAGACTTTGGCAGCCCTCAATGGTAGTATCAGAAACACTGTGGCAGACAGCAATGCATGCAAACACCCTCCTCCCTTCACTATATTCAGAACATTTCTCTTTTATGGAGCCACTTCCGTGCAACACGAGCTCTGAGAGTCTGAACATGTTATATAATGTAACCTCCTGACACCAGCCGCACCAGCTCTCTGTAAAATATTAATTGACTCCTTGTTGATTGCTGTTCCTCTTTCAGTGTAAAGCAATTACATAAAAAATTTATGAAAATAATCTGTGTTGCCGCAAATACTGATCGAAACATTTACTTTCACTGAGTGGATTTATTTATCTGTGCTCTCTACATTAGAGTTATAATGCATTTGTCTCCTTTCAGAGATACAAAATATTTCTCTGTGTACATTTAGGGAAGTACTGTTGCAGCTATGGAGACCAGTCAAATAAAACCTAAAGACCAAGCTGCTCTCGGAGGTTGTGACCCACCTGGAGGAGACGGAAGTATCCTGGTGTCAGTCTTCCCAGTCTGATGATCATTTCTGCTGCTGGAGCTTCTCAGGCGAGCCAACCGCCTTCCTGCAGGAGAGAAATAAATGTCACAAGTTTACAATGTAGGAAGTATAAGATTTCAATCCTGAAATTTGTTGCTCCACCAATAGGTACGCCTTCCTTATATAATCAGCTCTGAACGAAGCTGCTTCTACATAATTTAACATAATTTGTATATTTTTATGAGCTGTGAGCACTTTAACCAAAGGGGGAATTTCTTTTATCAGGTTGTTTTATTTTAAATATTTGTAAGAAACTGAAGGTAAAACTATAAATGTATTTTGTTAAGGTAACGCTCGACAAAATATGCATTATTTTCTAGACTGTGCCCCTATTAGTCGTCTCGTGACCCCTGAGATTCACCTTGAGACCCCAGAGAGGGACTAAAGAAACCTGACGCTGTTTGTCAGAGGATGTGATGAATATATTTTGGACATTTCTAGTTATTCTGCAGCTTATCTGGAGATAACTGAACCACATTAAAGAGAACTTTGTAACTGGAATTAAAAAAAGTTTTGTAATTTACTTTAAGAAAAGCACAAAACAACAGAGGTGCTCAGAGTTTATGGAGTGTCAGTGAATACATTGCTCAGATTGTTTTACACAAAATATTCAAACCATTTCTTAACGTTGCCTGTTTGATCTACTGTCAACATTAAAATACCATTACATTCAGTTTTTATCCCTTTTGTGTTTGGTTATAATATTATATATATATATATATATATATAGTAATTTGTAATACAATTCTTAAACATAACAAAGTCATTACAGCTTAACTGTAACTAACTTAACTATTTTCCTTGCTGCAAAATATCTCTTTCTCACAGCTGACACTTGGAAATTTACCTTAAAAACAGTTTCTAAAACACCAGCAGTTTTTAAGTAAAAACAAAGTCAGTCTCACAGTTTGACTCTGGGAGTTGATCCGAAAGCACCCTGACCTTCATCGACGGCTGCAGCACCCGCAGACAGACAGCATGTGAAGCCCCTCAGCAGCCTGAACAAACAGTGGCCAGCCTGTCGTACTGAAGAGGCTCCTGTGTGTCCCCGATCTTTTGTGCAGCGTGAATCTCCCAGTCTGACGGGCTCAACGGGCTCAGTCCGGCTCAACACACACTCACAGTCACATCACTCACAAAGCTGCATGAAAAGCAGAGGCCTGTCAGGGATGATTTGGTCATCCAGCCAGTAAAATGAATGAGAGCGGAGAGAAGAAGAAGAAGAAGTGCCTCTGTGCAGCATGTTGCACGCTTGAAGGAACATGTGTGTTAATGCATTGCAGTGACTTACATAACCCAAAAAGACTCTAGAGAAAATACTGTTTAACAATTGTCCTAAATGGACCTTCTGGGTGCCACAGCTACTGAACACAACGGGCTGTAGCCTTTGGCAGAAGCTTTAACCTTTAATTAGATTAGACAGGTTATTTTTTAATGTTTAAAGTAATTAGGTGTTTATTATTTTGATGTTACATAAGTCTCCATGATGCCCAACTGATTGTTGAGGGTCTCACTGTTCACCTTGCTTCATTGTTTATATAAAAGAATAAATAATTAATGCATAGGAGCGTATCTAAATTATAGGTTTAATGACGTAAATATTGGTAACAAAAGATATACAAATCAAATTCTTTCATTACTTTTCATCTTAACTAAACTTTCCATCCGAAAAAAATGTGAATACATGCATGTTGTTTTATTTACTATTATACATCCATTTTAACAGTTAGTGTACTAAAATAAGACATGTTAGGTCACAAAGGCCAGTCAGTTAACTATACTGTGTGTGTGTGTGTGTGTGTGTGTGTGTGTGTGTGTGTGTGTGTGTGTGTGTGTGTGTGTATATGAGGGGGACTGGAGGTGGACTAGACAACAAGGTGCTGATTGTGCACATCCACTGACCTCATGTCTGCATTTGCTGCCAAAGTCAAATAAAACACTTCAATATGCAGAGATGCTGGGAATGAATCGGCTATTAGAAAATAAACAACTATTAATGATAAACATGTAAATGTGCTGCACTGTTTGGTCTGTAAAGTTCTGTGTTGTTGCACATTAAAATCTTTAAGATAAAATAAAAGGTATAAAGAGGTTGCATTAGACCAGAATCTTTGTGGAATTCAGTCTTTTACAGATACAGTGCTGAAGTATTCTGGGTCCTGTGCTGTCGGTCCCACTTCGTCCTGACCTGCAGCCTTGATGGGAGTTGTGGCCAGCGTCAGTTTCACTCCTGCAGGTCCCGGAGCACCTGTGGTCTCTACAGATATGACACGCCCGATGAAATGCTGAAACACACAGCAAAACACAGCCGATGGAGTCATCGGAGAGTAGGCCCCCTCGTTGTTCTGCACAGCTCTAATATCAGACACATGCACACTCAGTTCACTTACAGCTGTATGAAGATTTAAGGTGAAAAAAGCTAAATCTTTACAGCCTCAATGCCCCGACTACATCCTTCTTTTGTGTTTTTGCTTTTATCAGACAGTGTATTTCCCCCTTTTGTGCAAATGGAAAACTTTACAGTAGAATTTTTCACTGTAGGTCAAAGCCGAGGGGAAGAGAGAGTCTTGTAAGATAGCTCTACAGATGATATTGTTTATATTCCTAATGTTTACCTGTAGAGGTCAGTAAAACTCTGATTGCTTCTTGTAGGAAAATTTAATTTTAACTTGTGATATAAAAAATAAAATCACCCACCGTCCAGGTGTCTAGCTTTAGAGACTGAAAGTGTTTTTTGTACCAGGCTATAAACATTGATTTGAACTGATTTAAATTTGGGCATATTAACATGGAGGTTTATGGGGATTGACTTGCTTTTGGAGCTTTTAATTTAATTTAATCTCCTTTAGCTAAATTACTGATAGTGAGCAGGACAATACTGTTAAAATCTGTGAAGTCATAGAAATGTTGTGTGTTAGTGAGAGACCTCTTTAGGCTGGACTGCAGCGTCCTCGTGCTTTGGTTTGGGTCGGGATGATTCAATGTGTTTCTCCCTCTGTGCTTTTACTTCCTGTAGAAAATAAGTTGTTAAGACTAAAATTAAAAACATAGTTATTCAAACTGATTCTTTGACAGTGATGGAAACTTGTATTTATATATATATGGATGATGAATATAAAACCTTCAGGATCTCGTAGTTTGACGTCCTGGAAACGTAACTGTCCCACGACTTGGCTGTGAGCTCCTGTTGCTTCCAGTGAGATTTAATCTGCAACATAAATACACCAAAAAAGAGTTCAAATTATCTACTGTGTCTACAGTGATTATGTCAAGTCTCAGAGACAAATTACCTTCAGTGAAAGTTTTACAATCCTCTAAAATATATTTTTTTATGAGGAAAATGCTTTGAAAGTCTGGATCTCCTCAAAATACACGACTGGCAGATGGTTGGTTTTTTTCCGTATCCGTATCAATTTGTACTGCCAGCATCGGAGACACTAGACAAGTTTTGTGTGTTGTAATTCAAGGAAAATATCGTCAGCTGACTTTCACACACTTTGTTGTGGCTTTCTCTTTGTGGCTTTATTTTCTTCTCAAATTCAAACTTAAACTCTCTCCGCACCTCTGTGTACATGAGCTCCTCCTCTCCGATTTCGTCCTTCTCCTGTAGCTCCAGGATGCTGTTCTGTTCGGCTGCGACCCTCCTCGCTGTGTCCTCTGCAATCTTACAGATAGTGCTCAGAGCCTCCTCATCAGGGGTGATCGGCCTCACGCCGTCCAAACTCAGTTCCCTGCTGATCTCGTCCCAAACCTCACCAACCTGCAGCACCACAACACACACAACTCAATGTACATAGTGTTTTATGTGTTTTTGTGTCATCTGAAACAAAAGTCTTTGCTTGCAGCATTAAAATTACGCTTTAACTACAGTTTTAATATACATCCAGGAACATTTTGGCCTCATATTTGGCACTGACACCATCTCTCTTTTCAGCTCCTTGAACGAAAACTGAAGCTCAAACATGGAGGATTTTAACACAATTTCAACATCTTTCAAACTATTCTGAAGGTGTAAAAATGACCTAATGACCTTGATGTTACAACTTATTTCATATCCAGCACTGATGTTTTTCTTTGCTTGATAAACAACAGTTCTACCTTAAAGTCCATATATCTCCTGACGATGCTCAAGGTCACATAATGTTGTGTTGACAATCCAGGAAGGTCTTGAAAACCTGCAAACATAACAAATAATTATTTTTCAAAGCATAGTTCCTCATATATCGCTTGTTGCAAATTTACTGTAATGCTAATATTTAATTGGCCTCGTATTTCTTATGTACATCGTTACAATATTTTCCCTACAAGGAACTTTCATTTTGTGTGGATTCTGGCGGCCCCCGTGGACAAAAGCGTTCCCATGGGAATCCGACCAAATCTGACCCGGTGGTTGGTATTAAAAATAACTATACAGAAATAGTCTTCTTGCTGATAGTCTTGTTTGTTCATGTAGGTCAAATAAAGGCAATAGTATTAATTTTAGACTGTTTCATAACCAGTTGAACACTCTTTGTATCACATGTAAATAATCATGAATCATGTGTTGACCTTGCATACGAAAACCCCATCGATGTAGAACTAAAAGATGGATCTAGAGCTGAACTGTTACAGATATTTTGAGGGTGTATATCTACAACAAAGGCTACATGATGAAAAAAGCATTATCTAAACATTTCTAGATGTTTAAACCTGGTCTAATTCTTTCATGCTTTACCAAGTTTGCAGAAGATAAAGTAAATCTTTGACCGCAGGTTCTCTGACAACTCCAGCACTGCTGCACTTGGTACTTTGGCAGGAAATGACAGTTGGGTGGCGTCCTGCTGGTGAAGACTGAGAATGGGCCTCTGGGGATCTGAAAGTCAAAAGTGAAAATCAGAAAAGAAGAGGGGAAGATGTATAAGTATCCACAGACACTGAGAATAATTTAAAACATATTAGTTCAGGGCTGATGTTTACTTCCAGTCACGCCTGCTGCTCTCTGACCGTCTATCTTCACATGATCTGCTGATGGCTACGAACCGATCTAGATAAGAAAAGTCTAGTTGCAGACTGACCTGCGATCACTCCGTGTCGGTTTCGTCTGACTTCCAGCTCCTCCTCCTCCTCCCTCCACAGCTGCAGCAGGAGTCCAGGAGCCATCTGACCACCGTCGTCCTTCCAGCTCAGGATGTGAGACAGAGTGTTCGGGTTGTCACATAACTCCACCAGGGTGGACAGGATTATGCAGTGTACGCATCTGGGGCTCGACTGTGGGAGAGAGAGACAGTTTCATATCAGTACTTTACATTTAGATGCATATGGATACAGAAAACAGCAACTTCAGCTACTTACATAGAGCAAGTCCAACAGAAGAAACACTCCATCTTTAGCCAAGAAGTAATCTTCAGTGGTGTAGCAGCCCACAATACAGGACCTGATGGGACACAATCAACATTCATGTACCCCTTAAATTAATCTGAATCTTTGAATGAAACATTTAAATATAACATAAAAAACCCCACCAAAGAGTTACATTCCTGAATGCAACCAAGACACATTTAACAGACTAAAATCTGATTTTTGAAACCAAAAGGAGGACACAAGACCAGTGTCCCAATTCAAGGGAAAACTCCTGAAAAGATCCTGAAAAGAAATGATGACTAACAGAGACATAAATATGTCTTTGGGTGACAGATGTGAACTGATTCTTGATATAACAAGTGTAAATGTGGAATTTGTTGGCATGTTTCATAATAATAAATTACATAAATTAAATCAGTTAGTGTGCTGAGGTTTATCTGAACTGACCGCACACAGTCCACTGTGGAGAGGATGAGCTTGTTGTGTCCCAGACCGCTGTAGAACTTGTTGGAGCCTTTCCTCAGGAAGTGAACTGCCATCTCAACTCCCTCTGATCCGAACAGTTCCTGTGGTACAACATAACAGGACTGTCAGTATGGATATACAGTATGTTACAAAACTAATAACGACATGCTCTGATCTGAACATGAGATGACGTCTGGCTGTCAAATATAAACATAAAGTAAGTTATAAATCAAAGGTAAATCATATTAGTGTTTAAAGGTTCCTGCAGATGGAATAACAGCGAGGACCAGTGTGAGAGAATGAGAACAGGCTGTGAAGTGTGTAGGGGAAACTAAAGTGGCTGTGAAACCTTATCTACAGCCAGTGTTTGGTTTGTCTGTTCTGAGCTACTGTAGAAACATGGTGGTTCAACATGGCAGCCTCTAGCAGGCAGCAGGCGACCCGTGATGTCTGTAGATAAAAACAGCTCATTCTAAGGTAACAAAAACACAATAATTCTTATATTCAGGTGATTATACATTCATGAAAACATACCTCTGAATATTATATTCAATTTCTGCCAATAGAGCCTCCTAAATGTTTCACACTGGACCTTTAAGTTAATAAATATATTCCAGATTTAAGTTGATGTGTGCTTTTTAAAAAAATACATAATGGCTTCAAATTAAACTACCCAAAAGCTGTCTCACTGTGACTTCTGTAATTCAACAGGTTAGTTACAAAGAGCGATTTTGTCAAGGTCATAATCTCAGCATCACCTTTCTGTGCATGTCGCTCTCACACAGCAGTGAAAGGATCAGTTGAATGTCTGACTTTATCTCCAGGATGACGACATCCTCCTCATCAGGACTTGCTTCCATCTGCATCAAAATGCCTGAAAGAATGAAACAGGTGTATGTCTGTACTGAACACGTATGATGATATGGTACACGTTGTGATTGTGGAGTCAAGTTTGAATCTAATTTACCCAAAAGCTGGCTGATGGTTCCTTGATCACAAAGGTCCTGGTTGACTGAGTCTTCGCCTAAAGATGTCATAGATCTCAGCACTCTGATACAATACCGCATCTGAGCCTTCTTACTGCCTCTTCCTCCTGTGCCATGGAAGCTGTTGCCCTGACCAAAGTAAGAATCTGGACAAAGGGAGGAGCTATAATAAGTATAAAAAGGTTACAACAGACTAACTATTATGACATTGTTAAAAACTAGAGAAGGTTAGATTTAGTGCTTGTGCTGAAAATTGCGGGTACAACCATTGTAAATGAGATACAACGTCTAATAATATGAATTAATTGCATGTGAGATGTCGTACTGTTTGGGAGTTGTAGTTTAAATCGAAGATCTGAGGCATCTTGTACAGGAGCGTTTTCACAATCAAACCAAAGAGCCATATTTTTGGCACATACATTAGGTGCTCCAGTGTGAGATGAACTATGGGAGGAATGCTTGTCTGGTATACAGAACTTTTCTATTAATACTAGATATAGATTAATTCAATTTAAAGTCCTACGCAGCCTCTGTTTCGCCAAAATTAAACTGCTACTGCTGAAGGGTCACACTTATTCTGGCACTGTCCAGTAGTAGGTAATATCTGGTGTGACAATGATTAATTGGTTTTCCAAACAATGTGAAATACACATTCAGGCAGACTTAATTTGGCAATATCTGGTTGCTCTGACAGGACAAGGGCTCTTCCCTCGTGCCTGTGTTTTAGTAGGTGGCTCATCGAAATGTTTGGCACAGATCTGTTTTAGCAAAGGGAATTCACAAAACTATTTCCTTAAGGTGTGGAAACCGTTTCTGACATTGCTTTATGAGACCTGTTTAATATATGAGCTCTGCTGCTATGTTGTGTTTGTGCAAACCTAATCCTGCATACTGACTTGTATTCTGGCAGTCCCCACCCACGTGTGTTTTCTTTTTGTTGTTGGTTTATTTATTTTTTTATTTTTCTTCACCCTCAATCCTCCTGGTAGAAGTTCTGGATTTAGTAGATCTGCCTTTATTTCTGCTGTTTTATATAATGCTACTGGGTGCTTTATGTCTATTGTGTGTGTTTGCTGTATTGTAAAAAGAAAAGTCTTAAATAGGCTACTCAAAAAGAAATTGAAGCAATTAAAGCAATTAAAGTCAAAGCATTGAAAGGATTTGAAGGGTCTTTTGAAGTGTAATCCCTGAAAGCAATTTCAGGGACTCAGTATTGTGCTAAAGGTCACTCTGACTCACACATTAATGTTGGTGTTTGAACTCAGGACAGACTCTACCCGTGTGTTTTGATGCATCCTCACCTTGCTTGACGCACCAGTCCAGCAGGACCAGCATACACGTGTTTCCCTGACAGGACATGTAGTCATCCAACATTAGTGGAGCGACAGTGGCCAGGGTGGCCAGCGCCTGCAGCTGGAGCTCCTCCTGCTGGACAGAGGACCAGCGACGTGAACCTGACCTGCTCTCAGACGAGGCAGCAGGCGCCTTTGCAAGTGTCAGCAGAGCCAGCATGACTCTTTCCTCTTTATAGAGCTAAGAGAGGAGGGAACATTGGTTATTATCTTTATTTAAACAGTTACAGAGATACTATAACTGAATATCTGACTGACCCGCAGGGCTGCTAAGTCCTTTGACATTAAAACCAACAGATTCAGGAGCAACCGCTTCATGTTCAAGTCTTCGTTACTGAAGCTGAGCTCGAGGTTGTGCACCAAAGGGTTGTGACTTCTCACTAAAACGTAAATGAAGCAATTTTGTTATCATAAAAAGAGCAACTGAACTGTATTGAAAAAACTAAAATGTATAAAGACAAAGTGGTCTCACCCTCTGGAAATGTGACGAGAACAACGAGCTGTTTGGCAAATAAACTCTCCTGAAAATTAGAAACATGATGTCAAGTAAATTGCAGTGGCACATTCTAAATATACTTTAATAGACTAAAAACATCAGCTGCAGTGTGTTTCCATCATACAATCACCCATCCTGTACTCACAATAAGCAGAGAGCTGGGATTTTCAGCGATGAGAGTTGTGATCACGAGCAGGTCGGTTGTGAGTTGGAGGTCAGAGTGTCGTAAGCCGTTCATCAGCTGGTGAAGAAATGCTTCTTTCAGAGATCTAAGATACAAATGAACAAATAGTAAGATAACTCATATCTATTTGTACATAATGAGAGCAATAATGTATTCAAACGTAATATATTCTTGATTCATTCATAACTTCTTCTAGATTTTAAAGTTTATATAGTTCAGAAATGCTTGATGATATATTAAGAGATTTACATTTTAGGATTCAGTCAATTTTAGGACTTGTTTTAGTAAATAAAAGGTAATTCAATGAAATGAACTCAAGCAGGTTGCTCTCCATCACACACTGCCCCCACTAGCCATACATTAAAACATCTTAAACCCACAGGAGACACATACATGACACACTCCATGCTGCTGAGCTGTGCAATGACCTCCTCCTTGCTGCCTCTCTCCAGCAGGTTCCAGAGGATTACGCAGGAGCGGAACAGGACCTGACCGGACGGGTCGGGCTCGTTCATGTGGAGACAGATTGTCTCTGCTCCTTGTGCGTTCAGTATTAACGCACAGTTCTTATCTGCGTTTAAATGAGAATTAAATGTGATTAAAGAGATGCAATTAATAATAAAACAACCCATTGACCTGCTGACATTGACACAAGGACACTTAAAATCACTGTTTTGATTGTTTGTCTGATTGTATTATGCAATGAGCTGATTCATGCTCTCGAGAGCTGGCTACTTTATCTAATGAAGGGGGTCATCTGTTGGATTGACATGTCTGACAGATTCCCTCCTCCACTACCTCAGTGCAGCCAGTTACTGACCAGAGGAGGTGGAGAGGATCTGAAGTGTCTGCAGGAGCTGCAGCTTGATGGAGGGCTGGTTCTCCAGAGCGGCCATGGAGAGGAGCAGAGTCTGAGCGAGGTCACTCTGCTCCAGGAGCTGCAGCCTGTAGCCCGGAGAGGTTGGCTGGAGCCCTGCAGAAACAGATGGACAATAATAATAATATACATTCCTGGATGTATGGTATAAATCACAAGAAACAAACTAAAGAAAAAATTAAAAATACAAAAACAGAGAGAAAGAATTTCATTTAAAAGAGTCTCTTAATGTGAAGTTGGGGGAACGAGAACAACAAAGATAACAAGAAAGAAACAGTAAAAGTTGATTACAAATATTGAAAATTAGGTTATAAGACAAGACAAATAGCAGGTTTAATGGAAAACAATAAAAACAGAGAAAGAAAAACCGATTCAAAAGAATATAAAAAAATATTTTGTGGATTTCTGGAACCAGTCAGTATCTGTTCAAATCTATAAAAAAATATTATAGTAAATATTTTTTATAATTGCATTTGCCAAGCCTGAAAAGCCAATACCGACTCGTAGTATGTAGGACTCTAAAAAAGGTAAAACAAAACAGAAAGAAAGAGAGAAAGAAAAAAAGAAAGAAAGAGAGAAAGAGAAGAGAGAAATGAAAGAAAAGGGACCAAAGCACTAGCATGCCACCACAAAAGCCGTGACAGAGCCTCACTTAGTGAAAGTCTAGAAAATCGGTTGTCAGAGGGGAAAGTCCGAGGCTTTGACTTGGAGAGACGGTCCGTACCATGGAGCAGCTGTTTAGGGGTCACACAGCTGTAGAATGATTTCACTGACTCAACTATCTGCTGTCTCACTTCAGCATCTGACACCCTCATCAGACACCCTGCCAACAGAAACACATCAGTCAGAGTCACACATCATCCTCACTCCTGTCTGCAGGAGTCAAAGTCAAATGAAGGATAATACGGATTTTCTTTAACCTTTGGATGATCTGTATTAAAGAATAAAAGTGATATTTTACATACATACATAAACAAATCTCTTGTCCTGCTGCAGAAAATACTATTATATTATATATTTACTGTATCTGGTGCTGATTTATTCCTCCATAAATACACTGTTTACTCCTGTTAAACTTATATTTGCCAAAATCTACAGTGTCCAGCTGTAATCACAAGTCTTATTTATAAATAAACTGTATATTCGTGACCGGTTTTTAAAGATTTACACCTTCAGAAGGAACCAGCGGTCTTATATCAGAGTGCCACAGACAAAGTAGGGAAGTCATAAAGTACTGAGAACCCAACTAATGCAAAGTTGCAACCTTATTCTTTAAGTTTCAAGTCTTCTAATAAATGTTCAAGGATCCAAGGTTATTCAATCGTCATTCACAATGCAGGGTTGTATAATGACATTCAGATTATAGTTCCCTTTATACCTCTTGTAAAAAAACAAAATAAATGTTTTATAACATATTGAAAGAATGGGAATTAGCCTATTGTATGCTCTTAAAAAATCTCAACTGTAATTTAATGTAAATGTTATTATTAATAAAGCGAAACAACTGCTCTTTGTACCCAGGTGAGAGAGGAACTCTACGACGTCCTGAGCGTACTTCAGCTCATCAGATGTTTTCTCCTTCAGGAAGGGAAGCCTGAAAGCGGAGCAAAGCAACGTGTCGGTGTTCAGGTACGAGATAAATATCAGTATTTTCCATGTAGGTTTGAAATATTTGAGTTTCTTACCTACAAATTTGAAGCGCCTCACACAAAATGGGAACATACTCGGGGTGATCCTTCACTTTCTCAGCACAGAGGTTGAGTATTCTGGCGACGTCTGTCAGCTCCTTTAAAAGCTTTGTATGTTTTTTAAGAAGTTTTTAACATTTTGGTGTTTTGCTTACAAAGAGATGAATCCCAGTGAGGGCGGGGGAAGTGATGGGGCAAAGAGTCATCATGATAACTGAGGTTATTTCTGAACAGGGTAAAATGCTGACAGACACAGCGGCGCAGCGGTAAATTAGAGCCTTGGGAATGATGTTTGGTACTGTGCTCAGGTTGCATGAGAGCAATCATCACATCACCATCACTGCACCCGGGGGGGACAGTGATAAGGAAAATTAGACAACCTGCCGCAGTGTCTGACGTCTGAAAGATAGAAACTTCTAGGAAAAAGAAGTCTGCATTATTAGAGGAGTATGTCAGAAGACTAAATCCAAAGCAAAGGATACAAAGCCAATCTGGTTTCTCTTCAGAAGTTTCTTCAGTACAAAAAGGTGCCTCTCCTTCAAGTGAGCCTTTAGTATAAAACAGAGTAGACATTATGATTGCATATAACATAACTTAAAACAGAAAACTGATGACGTTCAAGTTTAACTCACCGTTAAAGGATCTTCAAGAAGACGGATCACCTTACTGAGTTCAAGACTTTTAACACTGACCTGTTGAGAAATTAGAGTTACTGGCATTACTGAGATTATAATGACTCAGAAAAACTTCCAGAAACGTTAAACTAATGGTTTTCTGGCAAATATATGATATTTATTTGAGTTTAGCAGATAAAATATAGTCCATAGGATGATAATATGTACTCTAATAATACTTTTTAACCCCTTTTCACAGTTTTGGGATTATAATAACCCGGATTAGAGCTTTTATTTGCACACTAAATGTGATAATATACTATCTTATTGTTGTCTTAACAATATTCTTAATAACAAGTGCAGGTGTTTATCTAAAATTGCTGTATATGGTGAATAAATAAGCAAGCCTAATGCTGTGTGTTACTCAGCTTAAAGAATCTAGTTTATAGACAGTTACAATGTAAACTAGGGCTGCACGATATGGTAAAAACATCATATTCATATTATTCTGACAGATATTGCGATTCATGATTCATGTGGGAATGATAATTTTAGCATCACAAATTAAATTTTTACATTTTTTTTAAATTTAAATCATTATTATGTGATATTTGTTGGAGGTCAGTACCACACAAACATGTTTTCTTACATCTGGAGAACAAGATTTAAAGACCAGGGGTAAAAAAAAACTGCATATTGCACTTGGTCATATTGCAGTTTTAATAATATTGCTTTTACTTATGCAGCCCCTAATGGAAGAGAACATTTAAAAGCATCAAGAATCATTAATATCTGTTTTATAGTCAGTTGTTGATTATATTTAGTTAGTTTGTGTATTTAAAGACCTGTAAATCAGTGTTATTCCAGTCATAGAGTCTTTATTTACATTCCCAGTGATGATTATTATTATTATTATTATTATTATTATTATTATTATTAATAACAGAACTTCAGCAGTATAATGAGTAAGTTCTTTATTTAAATGCTTCCGAGGAGAGACTGTTTACCTGCTGGTTCTCATCTGAAGCTCTCGGTCTGATCCCGGGAATGTCCGGTTTCCTTCTGTGTAAAAATGTTCCTGAATCCATTTGCAAAATAAAAAAATAAAAATAAAAATAAAAATAAAAATAAAAAATGTGGAGGAAGTTTCTTGCTTCAACTTCTCACTTCTCAAACATTTTTCTGGGTTCCGGTTTACTTTAACCGCTTTACGGTGTCAAAAACATTCAGAAATTGTTTATTTTTCCGACCTGTGTTTGTTTACTAGAACAACAACGAACAAACTAAATCAACCCGAGGTGTTTTTAATAACACAAACCTCCGATAAACACCTCCTCCTCCTCCTCTTCCTCCTCTTTCCTGCTTTTATGTTGCTCCTCCGACTCCTGGCAGCGTACTGCAGTTGCTATGGTTACCGCCTAGCACTACGGAGAGCGGCGGGGTTCCAAAAAAAAAAAAAAAAAAAAAAAAAAAAAAAAAAAAAACGAAACGCCCATTTCCTCTTAAAAACAGGAAGTGGTATTCTGGCAACAGCAGCGCATTGATTCCCCCCACCCCCTCACCCCCTCACAACAATAAGAGGGAGACGAATAACATTTTAAAATAAAACGTCTCAGAAAGTCGAAGAAACGCGAATAAATCCGGTTTGTTTGGAGGAGAAATCGCGCAGTCGCCATGCTGTCGGACGCAGGTGAGTGTTCACAACGAGCCGCTGCTGCTTGCTACGTGCTAAAATGTGTGACAGGCGGACATTGCTCGGCTGCTTTAAAGGGCTCACTGATGTGCACGTCGCTCGCCACCTTTGCTGCTGTGCTGCTACGAATTAATCTCGTGTTTTTTAATTCGCTTTCGTGGATTCGTTAATTGGTTCCGTCAGTGGGAAGGTTTGATGTGGTCTGTCTTAAAACAAAGGCCCCCTGTTTGTTGAGCTGAGCTGCATTGTGCATTGTTGGGGAAGGTGTAAATGTTGTTGTTGGTTGTTTTAGACTACTCCGGGAGTGCCTCCGGGGCTCGGCGAGCCAAGAAGAGGAGCTCCGGGGAGTCACCGGGGGACGGCCAGACCCTGCGCTCCTCTGGAAGACAGATCAATGTCCGGGTGAAGCGCACCAACAACCCTCCACCTGGACAGGTAAACTACAACATGCATGCTCAGTGTCTCTGTCCTCCTGAACACGTCTCATATGTGTTTACTCCTCTTCATCTTCAGCACGCACTCTTCTCCTGTGGCGTCCCCCATGGGTCTGTACTTGGTCCCTTTTTTTTTTTTTTTTTTTAGCCCAACCGATGCTTTTTTCCCCCTGATGCTGATATTTGAAGAATATACCAGCCAATATTTTTTTAAATGACATTTCTGGGTGCAATTTACCTTTAAATTATAATAATAATAATAATAAGAATAATAAGAAGAAGAAGAAGAAGAAGAAGAAAGTTATATAGTCAAGAGAAATTGCCATGACCTATAACAAAGGCCCGGCTGGATTCAACCCAGGGTCCTTGTGGTAACATAAACACCTAACATAAGAAGTGAGAGTCGTGGTGTGCTAATCCAACTTTTTCTCTCCTGATACCAAGTTCCAAGCAGTAATTTTTCCTCGGGATAAATAAAGCTTCTTGAATCTTGAATCCCCCAGTTTTAAGTCTATATGACTGCATGTAATTTATGTAAAGTAAGATGAGGCAGATCTGTGCATCCCAAGTTTAAAGATTACTTTCTCCACTCTCTTCTAGAGCAAAAGAAAAGCCACAGACACAGAGGAGGAAGACGACCAGTCTGAGAAGAAGTACAGAAAGTGTGAGAAGGCTGGATGCTCTGCCACATACCCAGTTTGTTTTGCAAGTGCATCTGAAAGGTAGCATGTTTTCTCCTTATATAATATAATATAATATAATATATATATATATATATATATATATATAACTCAGTTGTTTTTAATCAACCTGATTGTCATCGTCTCCTCAGATGTGCTAAAAACGGATACACATCTCGCTGGTATCATCTGTCATGTGGTGAGCATTTTTGCAACGAATGTTTTGATCACAACTACAGAAGGTAATGTTGACTGAACAACTACTCACATAACATTAACAAAGAACTGTCTGTTTCACTATATTATAAACAAACATGTTGCAGTATTTGTTTTTTTTACATGGTGACATTTAAAGTCCTTTTATTTTCCCCCATTGGCAGTCACAAAGATGGCTATGAGACCTTTGCTGCGTGGAAGAAGGTGTGGACTAGTAACGGGAAAAGTGAGCCTAGTCTCAAAGCTTTCATGGCAGATCAGCAGCTTCCATACTGGGTAATTCAGTTCAGTTTATTTGTATAGCACCAAATCATAACACAAGTTACCTCAGGGCACTTTTCAAAGAAGGTCTCGAGCGTACTCCTTTATAAAATTATTTACAGAGACCCAACAGTTCCCACCTTGAGCGACAACCCCGGCTCTACGTGGGCGGGTCGATGCAGCTTTACTGGTTCCTGTTCAACAGCTGAATGTAAGATCTCCATGTCACAGTCATTGTGGTATGTTCCTTTCAGGTTCAATGTACTAAACCGGACTGCAGGAAGTGGCGTCAGCTGACTAAGGAGATCCAACTCACTGCTTCCCTGGCAGCAACATACCGCTGTGGGATGAAGTTCAGCAACATCAAGGTAAACAGGAAATAGCAAAAGAATCAAACAGGAATTCACAAGTGACATTTTTTCTTTTTTTTTGTGTGTGCTGATAATTTTGTGTCCGTTGTGCCTGCAGAGTGAAGGTCCAGACCAGTGCTCCCAGCCAGAAGACTTGGTAAGCTGGTGGATGTGTGTTTACATATATGATCTGTTTTAGAATCACAAAATGAAATGTATTCGTCATCTTTAGGCAAAGACACGATGCTGCTGCTGCTGCTGATGTGCATCCTTCTTTAATCCCATGCCGTGTCCTTCTCACAGAGAGTGGCCGAGGTGACTGACAGTTGGTGGCATTCAATGTTGATTTTGCCGCCGTTGTTCAAAGAGAGTCCAGCCAGCCCTTTCCTCGCTGCCTACTACCCTGACTGTGTGGGGATGAGTCCCTCAGGCTCCCCCTGCAACATGTCTCTGACTGAGCTGAGGGCCGATCACTGCAGAGCCGTCCAGCCACAAAGTGAGTCTGTGAGCATGTTGTTTACTGTACTATGATACAGATAATTACTCAGCCTCCCATGTAGAGATATCAGTATTTACCATATAGGAATTTGGTGTAGTAATCATGATTATATCCTTCAGTTCCAGGTCTGTGTCCATACTTCCAGCCCTTCTATCAGCCCAATGAGTGCGGCAAGGCTCTGTGTGTGAGGCCGGATATGATGGAGCTGGATGAGCTTTACGAGTTTCCAGAATTTTCCCGCGATCCCACAATGTATTTGGCTTTGCGTAACCTTATTCTGGCCTCCTGGCACAAGAATTGCAAGGTACACTGCAGACATCTGCCAACAGTGGCTCATAGACAATGCAGGTTTTTCATGTTTTCACCTTTTTTTTTAGGTTTTGGACCTGGAATATAAATGCTGGCAATTAACTGTTTTTCCTGTTTTTTTCTAAAGGAGGTGCTGACTTCCCAGAAATGTGCTCTGCACATCATTGTCCGGGGGTTGGTGCGTGTGCGCTGCGTGCAGGAGATGGACCGCGTGCTCCACTTTATGACCAGGAAGGGCCTCATCAACACTGGTGTGCTGGCAGTAAAACGGCCTCTGCTCCCTGAAAGACCGTGCTCTGTGAGTGTCCTCATCTTCACTTGATCATCACAAAGTGCACATTTCATGTAAAAGGCGTATTTTAAATAATTCATTTGGCTACTTCCCACATTTTTATAATTTTTCAGAGGAATGTTATCATCATCGGTGCCGGGGCTTCAGGTCTGGCTGCTGCACGACAGCTGCAAAACTTTGGCACTCAGGTAATTGTCCTTGGATCAAGTTAGTTCCTCCTATTTTACCCTGTTTGCCTGTCACAGTGCTGTTCCTTTTACACTCTTTGTTTTCATTGGTGTACAGGTGATGGTGCTCGAGGCAAGGGAGAGAATTGGAGGTCGTGTGTGGGATGATGCCTCTCTGGGCGTCACTGTTGGGCGAGGAGCTCAAATTGTCAATGGCTGTGTAAACAACCCCATCGCCCTGATGTGTGAACAGGTAGGAGTGTGCAAAGAAATAATTCTTCATATTTGTGCTATACTTCAACCCAGATCTCCAGGATTTGTGTTTTGTGTGGATTGACTCTTCACTCCACTGTTGCAGATGGGCGTCAAGATGCACAAGCTGGGAGAGCGGTGTGACCTCTTTCAGGAGGGGGGGCAGGTTACTGACCCGGCCATCGACAAGCGCATGGACTTCCACTTTAACGCCATCCTGGATGTGGTGTCAGAATGGAGGAAGGACAAGTCGCAGAACCAGGACATACCGCTCAGAGGTTATTATGTGCTACTCAGCAAAACAATTTCCTGCATATGAAAACATTTTTATATTTTGTTTTTGGTCAGTTTTGAGAGATATTTGACCTTTTTAGTTGTATGTGTTTTATCTCCACAGAAAAAGTCCAGGAGGTGAAGAAGAACTTTCTTCAGGAGTCTGGAATCCAGTTCAGTGAGTTGGAGGAGAAAGTGCTTCAGTTTCATCTCAGCAACCTGGAGTACGCCTGTGGAAGCACGTTAGACCAGGTCTGAAAACTCAAACACTAAAGAGCTCCAAGCTTTTGTGTCCATTTTGAATAGTTTTTCACTAAAAACGTCATTGATTTTAGGTATTTCCATGAAGAAAATCAGGCTGGTTTGTATGTAGAATCAGGAAAACATTCACCAAAGAAGATGATAACATTGCACGTGTCTGTGTGTTTTACTGGGAAATCCCTTAGTCAGTGTCTGACCTGTAAGGAAAGGGAAGGAAACTCCGGAGCCATTTCTGCATTTTGCACATTTTGTGACATTTTAAGTTTTGTTATTATGTCTTCAGGAGAACTGTGATGAAAATGTGCTCAAGTGAATCTATTGTTTTTTTTAGGTATCAGCAAGATCCTGGGACCACAATGAGTTTTTTGCTCAGTTCTCAGGAGATCACACTTTACTCACCAAGGGCTACTCTGTGTTACTCCACAAACTGGGCGAGGGCCTCGACATCCGCACAAAGTGCCCGGTTTGTAATTCAGTCTTTTAATTTTTTGTCACGCTGCGTTGTAAACTACATAAATATATTGCATTGTTAAAAATCAGGTGTACATTTCTGTTTTTCAATTCTAGGTTCAGGCCATTGATTACTCAGGTGATGTTGTCAAAGTTACCTCCTCTAATGGGTCCCAGTGGACAGCACAGAAGGTAAAAAACATTAATAAATGTTATAAAATGTATGTAATATATAATATCTGTTATCATTTCAAGGCTTTATCGTACAAAATGTGTCATTTCAGTGAATGTTGGATGTATTGAATGC